TAAGCATTTATTTATGTATGTGCGATCTAAGCAGCTGAAGCTAGCTCAAGTGGGCTTTAAGAGGTTTTATACATCCCAAAAACGTCTATAAAAACAGGATCAGGCATCTAATTGAGACAGGTGTCTAATTATGATGCTTTTAACTGAAGTTTTATGGTAGCAAATGGTTGCAGATTTCCACATTCAGCAGAGACAGAACAGCTGTCCTGTTTCCTCTGGATGTGTAGGTTGGTAGTTGTTGCGCTATCGTAGGACTCAGTGAAGAGTTTGAAAAAATATATCTAACAAAAAAGATGCAGCAGAGCCACAGATATTGTTCTTCTTCCTCGTCCAAACCTGGTGCCTACTTGGGTGTGTTAAGCTAGCAGTAATGTAGCTGTAAGCCATAGCAGACATGAGGAGCGGGCTACAGGTGTCCTGTAAGCTCACTTATAAAATTCTTAAAGAGAGACTACTGAAAGATGAGATTCATTGAGATTTGGTTGCTATATACTCCTAAAAACCACTCTACTAGCTGTATTCGCATGAGTAACGTGAGGTGAAAATTTGCTTCGTGTTTGGTCTGAACACAGCTTTAGGCTATGTTATAGCATCGTCATATCATATCATTGTAAATGTGATTTGTGGCCACAGTTGTTGCAATCCAGCAAAGGTATAGGCTTACTTTAATGTGAATTACTTTAGGGGTAAAGCTTCAATGGATTGTTTTTTGTGTACAGTTCAGGGCCACCGTACTTTAGATGAAAGTAGCTCACTCTGAATTTCCTGCACTCAAGAATTTCTTCTCAGCACACAACATCTATTACATGTCTGTCCATCCTGGGAGAGGGATCTCTCCTCTGTTGCTCTTCCTGAGGTTTCTTTCCCCATTAAAGGTTTTTTTTGTAAAGCCCTTTGAGGCAAATTTGTCTTGACTTCTCTCTTTGTGCTGTGGAGTATCAAATGCAAAAGCAAACATATGCAAAAAGACACTTAAAACCAAAACCTCCCAGACCCAGCTGTGTGTTTCTACTTGTGATCTGATGTTCACTGTGCAGAGCTACTGACCGCTGTGCTGCTGGATCTCTCGCACTGATTAACCAGCTGATGGCTTCTCTGGCACAGTTTAGTCACCGTGAGGTCAGACGGGCTAATCATTTTGTGTTTTTTATATTCTGTCTCTGGAACAAATGTTGCAGGTTTATATACACTGTCAATAAATACAGAGTTGTTCTCTTCGCCTTTGACACTGCAAGTTGTTGCGTCATCACAGCAAGTTGTTGCATCATCACAGCAAGTTGTTGCGTCATCACAGCAAGCTATTGCGTCATTTTACCTGGCTCATCAAACTCAGAGAGAAAGTGCATGTTCTTCATCTGTCCACGTCAGTCAGTTACATTATGTAGCACTCAAAAGCCTTGGGTTAATGATTTGGTATCTGATATTAATCAGGAGCTTGCACATTCTGTGAATTACTGTAACTGGTGGTGATTCTGTGGGATTTTGGCTGATTAGTTTCAGGAACTATGGATCCCAAGGAACTAAATCAACAACTGAATGACCCCTTTTATGGGGGTTTTATTAGGAAACCATGACCATCAGGCAAAATAGGTTCATTAGAGAGCTTATTTTTGGATACAATGGACACTAAACACCCGTATCCCTCTCCTAAATGTCTCTTAATTTTTCTGAGGTGCTTGATCATACGAGGATTCTAAGTTAGGCTCACCATACCTTCTTAAATGCAAAAACCTGTCTTCCTTTCAACTTGATGAATACCTCCTGTTCATGAGCAGGTGCACACAACATTCATTATATTTGAACACTAGTATAACCAAAGCTAGTTCTCCCCCATTTGTGGGCCTATTTCATTCACAAAAATGTCACCAAGATCAAAAAGATGAATAAGCTAAATCTTTTGCTTTTGTCTGCTGTCCAAAATCAGCAGACAAAAGCATAATGAAAATAGCAGTGTCAATAGTTGCAGGCTATCACAGGAACAGAACAGAAAAGTGCCACTGAAGAACAAACCTGCTCTAAGGAGTGGTTCTCGCATGATGCCCATTGTGTTCTGTGTACTTTAGTTCTGTAAGACATTGATGTTTGAATAGATGTTGTAAAGAAGACATAAAGACGGCTGAAAATGCCTGAAAGGTGAGACGTCTGTCTGCAAAGTAGTGACTGTCTGCCCTATGTGTACTGTGATTACTTTACTGCTTCAGTGTGTAACTGTGCAGCAAATGAAGTTGGGTTTAGTTTCACTAGTTCATAGTTTTTTAAACATCATTATATATTACGAGACATTGCTATTCACAGTCCTATTATTGATATTACAAGCAGTCAGTGGTTGCTTACGGTGTGAATGAACATTGTACATGAGTTGTAGCAGTCCCATGTCTTGTCTTCAAGCAGTAGTAACATGCAGTGTTTCAAACACCGTGCAAAGTAGTAACCCCAGCTTTTTGGGGGACAGGAGCTACAGTGTTAACCTGGAGTTAAATTTAAAAGGTCTATAAGTGTGTTTCTTAGTTCTTCTTTTTGTCTCATCTTGTGCAGCAGCAGGGTCTCATTTTACCGCCTGACTGTGGTTCACTCCATTAAAAAAACATCCCGTTATCTTGTGTTTTCATGTGGATTCTTGAGTGTCCTTGAATATTAGCACAACAGCTGGTGGTAGGATGAGCCCTGTTAACTCCCATTGAACTGAATTGAGTCACAACAGCTTAATTTTGGTAGAGAGCCTGATGCAGACAGAATTATGGCAAAATAATAAAGGAATGCAGTTTTTGGACATCTGGCTGCCACCCAGCAAGGTCTCTTTTCTGTAGTTTGTATCATCGACAACCCAGCATCTAATGGCTACCTCTGGTACGACCAGCCTACCACCAAAGACTGATACTATCCTTATGATATGATTTCATCACTCAGCTGAATGGAGTGGGTTGTAGCTTAAAATAGAGGAAATGGTTAGCAATGTGACTAGAATCTTAAATGTTGTTTATTGTCTCAGACCAGATAATCAGCCTTTGAATCTGACTTTGTTCCAGTGCTGTTTCTCTTCACTGATCTGTCTCTTATCTGCTGGTAAAGAGGTGTATAATTCAGGGAAGTCCAGATACTAGTTAAATTACTTGCAAAGAGAATCAGTGTCAATTTAAAAAAGTTTAACCATCATAAACTGAGTTGCAATACATTACATTTATTCATTTAGCTGACACTTTTATCCAAAGCGACTTACAATTGCTATATATGTCAGAGGTCGCACGCCTCTGGAGCAACGAGGGGTTAAGTGTCTTGCTCAGGGACACATTGGTGGATGGGTCGCAGGGAGACATCAAAGGCATGTGTCTTATCCATTGCGCCATCACTACCCCGCACCGCAACCGTAGCCTTCCTTAAAGCACCTTAAGAGTCCACAGCCACGCCAGGGGCGTTGTTAGGTTCTATGTAAGCACAATTGTGCTTTATGTTACATGCTAATGTTAACATGCTAAATTGATGTATACCATGTTCACTAGGGTGACCACATGTGCTCTTTTTCCCAGACATGTCCTCTTTTGGGATCTAAAAAATGCCCCCAGCCGGGATTTCTAAATTGCCCAAAATGTCCGGGATTCAGCTTCTGCTTTCTACAGTCAGCATTCATTTTATCCAAGCGTGTGCATAAAGTTGCTCATAAGTATCACTTTTCATGAACCGACCAATCACAGCCTGGATGGGGTGGACACCATGTGGACAATTGTTCTTGCACAAGGATTTAATCAATAAGAACATCATGTAACAACTATATGGTTGTAAGTTATAATGGATACACTAAGAGCTATTAACCCGAATCAAACCTTGACAAGACAGAAAACTTTTATTTATATATATATATATATATATATATATATATATATATATATATATATATATATATATATATATATATATATATATATATATATATATATATATATATAAACGTTACACTTTTTATAGTCATTTTATTTATTGTTAAATATTGCACTACTGCACTACACAGATTTCTGCTGGTTACTCTCCAGGTGGATAGAGCCTCTGCAGTAGCCTACACATTGCCACAGTGCCACCAATTACTTCCCAGTCCTCCCAGCCCCAACCTTTCTGCCTCCTGCCCTCACTGTCCTCTTTTTTTGAAAAGCATAACATAGTCACCCTAACAAAACTAAAAGTACATCTACGACTGAATGTAATGTCTTGACTTTTGCAGGTATTTGGTGATAAATTAAAGTATTTTACACATTTTAAGTTTGCACTGATGGTGCCAGGAGTTCACCAAAAGTTATTACAGCTCATCCTGTGGCATGAATGTCTTCATGGCAATCCAGTGAATAGAACAAGTTCAATATATCAGTCTGGAGCAAAGTGTTGGACCGACTGACCAACATTGCCGTCCCTACAGTTACGCTGCCAGCATGGCACAAAAAACCTACCCTGTCAGAGACGTATGCTATTAGCAAGATGTCAAAGTCCACATTTTCCTTGTTGTTCTCTAGATTAGCTAATCAGACTTTTTTGGGAGATATATTTCAACATGTAGCGATGACCTGATTTAGAATGAAATGAGAAAAAAATAAATCTTTGACTTTTCAACCAAACGCAAAATCCAAAACATCAAAAATAAAATGGTTTTACTTTTGCTTTTTAACCTGCAGATCACCAAATCAGTGCTTGGTGGGACCTGGTCAGTCAACTGTTTTGTGTGTTTATGGTGTAACTTGTGTTGTTTTGCTTACAATTACATTTATTCATTTAGCTGACGCTTTTATCCAACGGGACTTAAAATTGCTATACATGTCAGAGGTCGCATGCCTCTGGAGCAACGAGGGGTTAAGTGTTTTGCTCAGGGACACATTGGTGGATGGGTCGCAGTGGGGGACTGAACCTGGGTCTCTCACACCAAAGGCAGGCGTCTTATCCATTGCTCCATCGCCACCCACACTTAAATATGGATTTGATATTTTATCCCTAACACAGTATTTCTCTCCCCTCTGCCCCAGGATTTGTCTACACTAGAATATGCAATAGAGGAGCCAGCTGCGTCATCAAATTCATCATCACTGTCAACATATACAGTTGATTCTCCCTGACATGGCCTCCTCCCCCGGGCTGGATGCTGACCCGTTACCACTGCTTCAGCTCCAGGAGGTGGACTCCAGCAAAGCCTCTCAGAGGCCGAGCTCCCCGGGACTCCTCCCCGCCGTGTACAGCCCTCCTCTGGGCATGGACAGCCACACCGTCTGTATCCCCTCTCCGTACACGGACAGTAGCCACGAGTACAACCACAGCCATGGACCTCTGACCTTCTACAGCCCATCTGTGCTGAGCTATGCCAGGCCGCCTATCACTGACAGCCCGTCATCTCTGTGCCCCCCCCTTAGCCCATCAGCCTTCTGGCCCTCCCACAGCCACCCCAACATGCCCTCGCTGACTCTGCGCTGCCCTCAGCCTCTTGTCTACAATGAACCCAGCCCACATGCACACTGGCCGGAGCCCAAAGCCCACAGCATCAACCCCAGCAGGTAGATCTACCAACACTTACCCACTGATGGAAACACTATAGCAATACCACCTACAAACCGTCTGCCTGTAACGTTCTGTCTTTCAAATGGACCTCGAGAGGCTTTGTCCCATGCTGTCATAAAAGATGTTTTGTTGCAAAAGAAAAGGGGCTTCATATTTGTATTCGGGTAACCGTGCAGTCAAATCTTAAGTATGTGGTGTGGCTTGGGATAAACATCTTAAATATCTTTGCTTTCGTTGCCTCATAGCTGAGCATGTTCCTTTTAATGTATGCTACTAATCAAATTAGACCTTTTCAGATCAGCTAACTTTCACAAACCTGTTGTCAAGACAGAGAGAGGTACCACAAGATCAGAAGAACGGAGCTACAACAGAGTGGTCTGGAGCAGAGACTGACCTCAGCTGCATGCTGTTTAAAATATACTAGAAAATAAAATTTCATGGACTCTATTTAATTGCCAGCAAAATGGGACTGGGAGAGCAATTCTCAGCAGGGGCAAATATTACTAACTGGTGCAAATGCTTTCACAAAATAAAGGAATAATAATTAATAATGAATTTAACAATTGGATAAGTCTTTGGAAAAAACATGCTAAATTGTTCAGATTATTTTGAAGATGCATTTTGATGGACGTCTGTTGGCTCATCATTAATTTAGTAAACATGAATTTCTTCTATACTGACAACATTAGTACGCACTGTACTGTCTACTTGCGAAGCACAGTGTAATTAAAGATTATTTTCATGCAAAACAGAAACCCCAATTTGGAAAAACATAATGGCGGGAGTTTTTTTTCATAAATAATTTGGTATTAACCCCGTAAATTAGATACATGTATTGGGATAGAACTCTGCTGCTGTAGTCTTTCTTTTAAAAAATAACTTTTTTTCATATTTGCTGTCACTATATCCAGACAGATAATGTTAAAAAAAAAAAACACACCTGCATCCTCCTACTGCTCCTTATGCCATTTGCAAGTATCCACCCCTGAACAAAACAACCAATCAGAGCCAGGAGCAATCTGATTTAGTGTCATCACTGTTTTTGCAGTGCTCTCACTAAGTTGAGCTCAATATCTTCAGCAGCAAACACAACGTCTGAGAAACAACAAGCAGGAATGAAAGATCTGCCCATCCATCCTTTGCCAACAACAGTGTATAGTACAAAACGTGTGTGATCACATCCTGGCTCCACGCAGAGTTTCGAGCTTAGTATGTTCAATGTCATTGCGATGGTATTGACAGCTGGCACAGAGGAACGATGACAAACAGTGGGGAATAAAGTTTGAGCTGCCGCTGAAGCCTGAGGCCACGAAGCATCGCAGGGGCTTCTTTGAGAAGATACGTCGGCAAGTGAGAGGGACAGGAGGCTTTGCGAGGCTTGTTCCAGGGAGAGCGAGCCCTACGCAGGCTGAAATTGGGGTTTGGTGGGCGGGATTTAGCGGAGTGATACGAGCAGCGGAGAGAGAGGAATTGTTACCGACTGGTGCTTTAATACCAGCTAATCGCAGATCCCCCTAGTGAGGCTTAGTTTTTTTATTTCATCTTTATTTATTGAGGTTAAAATCTCTTTTCCAAGACTGACTCGAGTACAAGAAACATTCACCACAACAATAAACCACAACCGTAAACCACAACAACCACCAGTAAAATAAGCACAGTAAAAACTGAATCAGATAATCAGTTCCTGAACCCAGGTCTGCCAACATTGCGTTAGGTAGTGACTGGATCGTGTACTGTAGTTACGAGATTTAAAGAAGAGAAGAGATGTGAGTTAGAGCTTTATAGATAAATAACATGAGATGGCTTTTCCTTCTAGACTCCATCCAACTAAGGTATAGAGAGAACAATGATGATTAGAAATTTTGTCATTTGTGATAAAGCGTCAGTGTTGCACAGGATTTACCTGCTGAATGCTGATGTGACAGCACGACAGTACAGAATGTCTCCGTAGTCAAGGACAGCCAAGAAGGTTGATTTGCACAGTAGATTTGCAGTTGGTTGAAGACGGACACCCGTTAATTCTTTTGCAAGTTGTATATATTGTTGTTGTTGAACGTAAAGACATAGACTGCAATGACAGCAGAGGCAAAATAACAAAGATGGTTTAAATATGCTTCAGCTAAGATGACTGGATGATTGGAAAACCTGCATGCAGAAGACAGGTGGACACAGTGTGATGACTTCATTTGACTTTATTTACTCTAACCACATCAGTTGATTTAGGATTTATCTCTTTCTCTGTAGTTATACTGTGTATGTCTGTATATCTGTGCTACCAGTGGATGGATGCTGGAGATTTATACCATTATGTTTAAATGATGAATTTTCCAGTTGACTGAAACGCGGTTGTGGAGACATTTTCAGCGAAAGAGCACCTCTTGAAAGACTAATGACAGGTGAATGACAATCCTAAATGTCAAGTTGTCCCTTTTCACCAAGTCTGTGTTTCTTCCTGCAGCTCCATCCTCGGTTGTAACAAGCCGCTGGGGAAGAGATTAGAGGAAGGAGTGGAAGGCGTGAACTCCTCCTTGTGTTCTTCTGCGGTGGGGAAAGCCGACATGCACTTCTGCGCTGTGTGCCACGACTACGCGTCCGGGTACCACTACGGTGTGTGGTCTTGCGAGGGCTGCAAGGCTTTCTTCAAGAGGAGTATCCAGGGTACACGCTCTGTGTTTCTGTCCATGTTTACTCACCATTTATCCCTCTTCTTCATCCACCAAAAGAATTCTGCAGCATGTCTTTCCTTTTTTCAGGACACAATGACTACATCTGCCCCGCCACAAATCAGTGCACTATCGACAAGAACCGCCGTAAAAGCTGCCAGGCCTGCCGCTTACGTAAATGCTACGAAGTGGGCATGATGAAGTGCGGTAGGTGCTCACCTTTTTATAATAATTGGGTTGTTTTGTCATTGTACAGCAGCACTAAGGTTTAAGCACTCAAGAGAGGAAAGCTGGAGAGTGTTACCTGTGAGCTCATTGTGTCATTTGAACTTTAGTAGTTACGCTTCCCTTTCTTGCCTTGAGTTCGATGAAAAGATGGATACCACCATGTCTGACCGTTAACAGGCTACTGCCATCCCAAAACTAGCTGCACTAAGACTAGAAAAACCCTTTCAGACAGCCAGCTGCAGGTCTTTATGCTAAGTTTAGCTAACCATCTGGGTGTATCAGTGTTTCCCATTAATTAACGAGACCATGGCGGCCCGCCACAGTCTAATTAGCTCCATCATAGTTTCAAAATGAACTGAAAATATTTTTACACATCTCATAACAACATTACAGACCTCTAACGTGTCTTGTGGACGCTGCTGTGAGCTCGCACGCTCACACTCCCATCCGACTTGAGACAACCACTTTTCTTTTGAGATACCGCTAACCGTCTGTTTCTGTTTGTGAGAAGGCAATTAGGCTAGATTAAGCTAAATTTGGAGTGCACACGTATTCAAGCCTTTATGGTAAATCCACTGAAGCGGCCCAGAGCGAGCTGACAGGCAGGTTAGAGACTTTATCCTGTCAGTTTCTTTTTACAAAGTGTTGCAGTATGAGAGGCTGTGAAGTCTGTGAACCACATTATTTATCAAACTGGGTCGGACTTAATTAATTTAGCGCGAGCAGGAAACACATGTGACAACGTGGGGTTTTCAAAATAAGGCCTCTATACAGGGTGTAAGATTAATTGGATTATATTCACAGAAAGTATAAAACATGTCCATTAAAAGGAAAAAAAACAACAACAGTAAGATGTTTGGGAAATTACTTATTCTATTTTCTATTCTTTGATTTAGGGTTGCTGGAAAAACTGTTTCATCACCATTTATAGCTCTACACTGGGTTTATGATTAAATAGTTTACTAGAGCTCAACATTGTTTACAAGAGTGCAAAGTTCTTCATAGATAGCCTCTTAATTTTGTACCAAATAGATGCATTTAGCTTTAAAATGTACAAAACTTTCTCCAACACCCGAGAGAGTCCGAGGCCGACCCACCATAGTCTCTTAACATCCTGTGTATCTTCATATTTAAAGGATAGATAGTCCAGAGGTATCAGTCATCTTAGTCTCTGCAAGAAAGTGAATATGTCCCAAAAATGTCCCAAACATTTCCCAAAAGGTCAAACAATTAAAGAGAGCTGCTCAGTAAAAACCAAAGCTGTGCAAATGACAACCAAGCTTCTCCGCTCGGTTGACAGCAACTGGACAAAAGCTTCTGACTGATGGAAGAGATCTCCACAATTTGAGGGTTCTGGGTTCATACTCTATGTTAAAAACAACCCACAAGACACAAACAATAAAACAATCCAAAACAAAATAGCAGCTTGCACATTCTTATCCAGTGCTGGTGTCCAGATTTGAGCTTGCAATTTGAAAATCTGCACGACTTATTTCCTTGTAGATTTGTCTAACTGATTCCAGATAGTGGCAGTCTGCCCTTGAAAGCAGAACTTTTGTCTGCTGGGATTTCCAGGAAATTTTGATCCCACTATTTGTAAGAATGAGATGCTGACCGTGAGATTTCTCTCGAGTATGGGAAGGCAATTAGTCAATTTGTCAGTTCAAGCCATTTATTGTTCGTCAGTCTTTCTACGGTTGATTACTCTGGGAATCTGGTCAAACCTTTGTAACACTTCAGCAGTGGTGGGAACCAGGCTTTTCCATACTTGTCTTAGTGAAAAAGGAACATAGTGTGTTTTTAAACGTCTTTGCACCCAAACCAGCTTCCACTCAGAGGTCTAGAAAGAGCCTGCTGCTAATAGTCGGGGAGTTTCCGATATATCTGTGTTTTTAAGAAAGATGAAAGTGGATTTATGTTTTTATCCTTGTTTTGAAGCTGCTGGTAGCCGATATTTAGTTTTATCACTTTGGATCACATGAAACAAGAACCATGTCACCTTACAGTCCAGTTCTCCTGCTGTCGTAATACACCAGGTGTAAGGCGTGAACGCTGCAGCTATCGAGGAGCCCGACACCGCCGTGGTGGACTCCAGCCTCGGGATCCCACAGGCAGGGGTTTGGTCCGGATGGGGCTTGGTTCTCGTGCCCAGCGGCATCTCCACCTTGAGGCTCCCCTTGCCCCGCTCACCTCCCTCCCTCAGGCGAACCATGTCCACCCCTCGGCCATGAGCCCAGAAGAGTTCATCTCCCGCATCATGGAGGCGGAGCCCCCTGAGATCTACCTCATGGAGGACATGAAGAAGCCCTTCACCGAGGCCAGCATGATGATGTCCCTCACCAACCTGGCAGACAAGGAACTGGTCCTCATGATCAGCTGGGCTAAAAAGATCCCTGGTAAGATCAAAGCTGTCAAGTCTAATCTTGAGATGAATCCTCATTGCATATTTTTCAGCTCATCCAATCTTGGAACCGTTTAATATGAATGTTCAACTGTGTGTCTCAGACTAAACTGGACATTGAATAGATTTTGTCCAGTAAGATTTTAAGTAAGTGTAGTTATGCTTTGTCTTTTCTTGAGCACAGTTTCAGTTGTAGCCTCTGTATGTAAAGGTTCAAAAACAAATCAGAGATTTTGTTAAATAAAACTAATTAACTGTTATTTAATAAAACGAATTAATTGTAAATGAAAAGCTAAATGTAATTGTTAATTAAATATTTAGTTGGTTCAAGATGAATATGTAAACTCAAGAGGCGCAACTGTAAAGTATTTTTTTTTTTCTGAATCAAGTTTAATTTCTTAAGATTAAATAATTAAAATTTAATTTTTAAATTAAATGTTAATTACAAATGTTTTCGTTCAACTGACATTTCACCTTCTCCTTTTTTTTAGACAACGTTTCTAATTCGTAGGATATAACCTAAAACTTCAATTAACAGCCGCCGACCCCGTTTCCTGGCCTGGTGTGGGAATGCATTTAGACAAATAAACGCAGGTCTCCATTAAACACCTTGGTCTGGTTTTTATAGAAGTTCTTTGGATGTATAAAACCTCCTAAACCCCGCGGTGTCGCCCGCTTTAGCTGCTTCTAAGCTGCTTAGATCGTTAATACAAATATTAATGTTTAAACGTATGATCAATGTGTCAGTGTGGATATGCTGCACATCGTTACATCGGTTAGATTCTCCACAATTCAATCGTTCAATTCATTTAACAGAAACAACGAGCCCCAAAGTCTGATTCTTATAGATTTACAGGTGTAACCTGCCTGGTAGGAGAGAAAATAGTGCTGACTCCCGTTAGCTTTGAAGCGCTCGTTAAGTCTGAATGTGTCTGTTCCTGATTATTTATCTTCCTTTAGTCTGTGAGGGTCCACCGATCAAAAGAGTCAAAACAGCTTTTCATAAAAATTCTTCCAAGTTATGAAACCTGTCATGTGAAGTGCTCTGTCTAACTTCTGCCACACGTCTCTCATCCTGCACCTTGTTGTTGGGTATGTTTGTTTTCCTTACCTTGCTGCCTACAAAATAAAAGTGCATATACCGTCTGTCGGAGCTAGATCAAATGAATGACGGTCAATTCAGTGAATTTAGCTAATAAAAGCCCGGGCTATTAATCAAAGTTTTATGGTAATTATTAACCTTTTTATGTCTATAGTTAGAGGCTGCAATTAGTCTTTCTTGACTGACTGATCCAGTTTTTCTTTCTCCACTTCCCTATACCTTTTTATATGTTCTCCTCTCCTTTTCTTTCTTTCCCTCTGCTCTCCTCCTCTCAGCCAGTGTTCATCCCAGCAGGTGACTTCCCAGGAGACCATTTTCCCAGATTTTTTTTCTGTACTCAGACAGAAGTGAAAATGAGTGTGCATTGTCTGCTTTATAAAAGACCTCAGAAAGCACAGACAGGTGAGCAAGGAGCTGTCAGGCAAAATACATAGTGGCTTTTCAATGATGTCATTGTAGTTACAACTACTACTGTAGCGGTGCTTTTTGAGATTACATGCATTTCTGTTTCTGTCTATAACTCATAATGGCTGGCTAATTTTAAAAGCTTAATTCACTGTAGTAGTTTCAACATACTTGTTAAGATCAGGGAGAAGAAAACGAGAAGCAAACCTCTTGACGAAGGCAGGACTCCTGAGATACCAGCTATAACTGTTCAGTCAAGAAAGTACAAGTTAAATACTCATTAAACCACAAAGTCCTGTTTTCTGTTTGCTTTAGAGTTGTTGGAAGGCACCTTGTCCCCTGCTTCCAGTCTTGCTTTAATCTCTTTACTGAGTGCACACAAATTAAACTGATGTCATTGTCAGTGTTGGAGTATTCCTTTTAAATAAACTCATTCATCATAAAGGTAAACATAAGAGACAGAGGGAATAGTTATTTTTTTACTCGTTTGATAGAAGCTAGCAGTTCCCTCTTGCTCCCAGTCTTTTTGCTAAGCTAGGCTAAACATATCTTATCCCATGTCTTTACCGAAATACATTTCAATCAAAAGTGCACAATAGGTCAGTACACAGAAATGCAACAATGATTTTTTTCAACATACAAAGACAACTTTAATTGCTGATGGTTAAATGCAGTTCCTGTGTATCCTGTTTCTCGTTCTGTGGCACCTTTTTTTCTCTTCATGTTGTGTTTTGCACTTTAGGCTTTGATTCTAAGAGTGGTGGGGAAAGTGGTGCTAAAGTCATTCAGGCAAATTCAGAAAGGGGGGTGGTTGAGTGTGAGGTGTTTGTCATGTGACTCGTTAACGTCACCTGTGTAGCTTACCTACCTGTAAACCAGACAGAATCACTGAATCCTGATGAAAGCAGCACTGTCAATTAAAACCGCACTGAAGCTTTAGATGTGCATCAGTCTGAGTGAGTATCAGTCCAAATGAACATGTACCTCTGTAGACCAACTGCACAGTTTTCTCTGTAGTCACAAAGAGAGGGTTGTGAAAACAAAGACCACTGACAGCAGCTGCTGCAGAAATGTGTCTTTGTCTGTCTGTTTCATGGAAATTAAGTATCATCTGTCATGTGACCGCTGAAACTCAAATCACTTGTCAAAATCTTAAATTTGCTGATTTATTTTCCAGTCTTGGCGTCTTTTGCAACAATGTTCATGTAGTCTTTTGTCTAAATAATTGGCAATACCTCACAGTTCTTCTTGTCCAAAGGAATCGACTAAAAGACTAACTAGGAAAAGCAAGAGCAGAGAAATGTATTGATGCACTGAGTACTTTATCTTACTCGTCTCTTCATCCATAAAGTTTTCACCATGTTGGGGGGAAATTTTTACACTGGGTTTTGTATCCCCAGTCTGTAAAAGCTTTTTTCATTCTGAAGTGAATTTTTCCTGTAAATATGTAAATATGCTCCTGCAACTAATAATGCTTCTGAATCCAGGCAGAATATGGACACGAGGGGTAGGTTAATTCGTGGTCTAAAGCTAGACTATTTGTCTCTGTTTGGTATGTTGTCAGGCTTTGTGGACCTGAGTCTAGCCGACCAGATCCACCTGCTGAAGTGCTGCTGGCTAGAGATCCTGATGTTGGGCCTGATGTGGAGGTCGGTGGATTATCCTGGAAAACTCATCTTCTCTCCAGACTTCAAACTCAACAGGTGAGCAGGCTTGGAAATGTTTATACCTTCTGTTATAAACGGCACAATGGCTGTTTTGTGAGGAGGGGAGGGAGTTGAAAGAGACATTGGACATCACTGTCTGCAACATATATCAGATTTGAAATTTGTTTCCAAATGAGACCAAAAGAGAATTCTTCTAAAGTTCTCCTTAAGAAGTCAAGAACCCACATTTGAGCTGAAAATAACATTGTCATTTGTTATGACTCTAAAGGCTTTAATGAAGTTGTTCATGGCCAGTGTGCAGGTTTAGAATCATTGGGTAATGTTTTTGTGAGACAGGCTCTTCTGCTCCCACATACTGAGGCTTGTTGTGTGTTTCAGATTTCCATGAAATGTTTTGCAGTCTCTTTGCTTTCTGGGAAAAAAGCTCTTATTGTGAAACATCTGCCAGAAGTGTTGAATTTCATTAATAGCGTTACCTCGAGTTCAGCAAGGTAGAATCAATGAACAGAAACACTGTTCTTACTCACTAAGTAATTCAAATAAAGAAACTCAGAGTATCAGGATATGTAGGTCTGTGGTGGAAAATGGGTAAATGCTTTTATTCAAGTACTGTACTTGAGCAAATTTCTGAGGAGGTACCTGTGTTTTCTGGTCCATTTTCTGGTGCTTCACACAAAAGGAAATATTTGAGTACTCTTTGAAAGCTGTAATCACTAAAAATTTTGCAAAATTAGATTGTATTTGTAATACATTCAGCTACACGGCATATAAAGTAGTAACTTCACCATGACTAGCTTCAACAGTAAATTGCTTTAATAAATTAATAATATAATACAAGGAGCCCTGTGCTGCATAATGAGCACTATAGGTTTTGATACCTAGCAGAAATTTTTGTACTTTTGAATGAAAATGTTTTACTTACAGTATTTTAAGGTTATTGTAGGTGATACACTTCAGAAGCTGTCTAAAAATCAAATTAAACATTAATGTATCAGATTTTTATTTTTTTTTAAGTATAATTTCCACATTAAAATCCTTAGGGAAGGCATCTACTCCTTCTTCCTCATTACAGTTTCCAGAATCTATCAATATGAGCAATTAATTAATTTTTTAATTAATTAAGTTTTCCTGCTGGACACAAGATGTCTCCTTCACTGTAAAGTCTACTCTGTGTCTGTGCACTTGCAGCTTGAAGTTTCTACATCAAACTTTTATAAGTTGCAAATTGGATTAGGATTGGCTTCCAAATTATTTTGTAATGTCTCAAATCATGCTCATAGGTTTATTGCAGGTACATTTTTACATACACATCCAACGAAGGTTGAGGTCAAGGGCAACTGGACTTGGTTGAAGATACTAGAAGACTCATCCAAGAGACTTCTTCAGTTCTGACTGACTGGTAGGGAAACTCAGCTGGATTAGTGCCCCTGGCTGTGGTAACGACTGTCGTCACGGTCGTTAGCCACCCCAGTCTGAACGACCATCGTTGGCAACTTCACCTGAGGCCAAGAGGAAATGCTTGTTCAGTTTCCAATCGACTGAGAGAACCAACAAGCAGTAAGACAAAACCAAACCCTGCGCTCTGACCAAGTGATGTCCTTTAGCTTTAGTCCTAAAACTCGTAGCCAAATTGAACTTAGTTATGATCATATAACTTGAGTTCATTAGTTCTCACATTCCCAAATTCTTTCCACAACATCTAAATTCACATTGAACTCCATTATTCTCATTGATTGCATCCTGGTTGTTTAATCATCATTGTTTTTATGTGTTTGGTATATTTAACCTCACTTGGTATTCACTTTAGTTAGTTAATAAATTTCACCTTAATCACAGGAACTGTGTGTGTGTGTGTGTGTGTGTGTGTGTGTGTGTGTGTGTGTGTACTGTTTAAATCCAGGTCACTGGTCAGAGGATTCACGACTTTGATATGAGACTGACTGACTGATTAAATTGATTAAGCAATTATTTAACTGATCACTAGTAAAGAATTGTGTAATTATTAGCTATACCCAAGGAGTCCTAAAGCCTTGGGCGGACAGCAAAGTTTGGGTGGTGCCCCAAAAGGAACCCCATAACCATCAGTAGGTACACTACAAGGGACTCTGAATGTGAGTCTCGTGTGCAGCTGCTGTGTTTATTACACCAGTGATGGTGGTTACAGTGTAATCTTCCCACATTGATACGCCCTGAAGATGAGCTGACATCACATCCCATCAGACCTTGAAACTGTGAAGATATCGGCAACATTTGCTGCAGATAAATCTCTAGTTCTTTTGGACTGCCAGCTTATTTTCTTGCCAAAAATCTTATTATCACTTGCTGTTCCCTTCCACGCTGACCTTCAACTTTGGCCAGACAACAGTTGGCTGTTTCTGGTACTTCTGTTCACCCTTTGTATTCATGGTAAACACACTGGACTGCCGCTTCACCAGCAGTCTGGATTTTCTAATGAACCCCAGTAAACTTACTCCTGTCGTTTGTCAGCTGTACCTGTAGTTCACAAAACATTTAAAAAGGTGGTGGTGGTAGTAAAATGATAATGGTTACAGTCGCTACCCAGAGCAGTTGAGAAAGGAGAAGTAGGATTTATTCCCTTTCCAAAACCTAAAATGAATCCAGAAAAATGTAGGCTGTCGATCGATCCTAATGTAATGTTAGTTAGCTAATGCTAACTAACTTACTACTGAATGTAACGTTATGTAACCTTAACTGTACATGGCTTGTTGGCCAATCGGAGCCTTATAAAACGTAAACAAAGCAGGCAGTGGCGCAAAATCTGACATCAAACACAGCGGATAACGGCGCAAGGCAAAGTGTTTACACGACAACAGTGGAACCGGCGTTTCTTTAATTCATCACCCTGACAGGGGTTTTCAAAAATGTTCGGTTTCAGTGACCTGATACTGTTTCCGTGTGGACGAACGGCCAAACCGTGTGGAAAAAGTCACGGTTTTGAAAATACCTGTGTTGGATTAGACAGGTTGGAGGTAAAATATCTGTAAGGAGCTAACTTCATCTGCTTACTGTGACAATTCCATTATAATGAACTGTTTGTGCCCTTTTGCAGTTTTAATTGCTGGAGTAACATTTTTGTTGCTGAAACGGGACGAAATAGTGCATTTGTTGGGGACTATTTTCAGTTGCGGATGAATCCACATGTGGTGCTCTAGTGAGTCTTTGGGGCAGCAGGACGGTGTGTTCGTACTGAGTCATACTGATTGATGTGTTAGTTTTTGGACAACAAAGGAGCTCTACGGCCCAGAGGAAGACGATATATCAGGCTGTGATGCATACATTGCTTGTTAATGGTTATATTCATTGTGGGTTTTGGTCTTTTCATGGCGTTTGTTGATGAGAAGCAGCAGTAAGAGTAAATTTAAATAAGGACAATAGAAACAGTCTTTCTTCCTCGATTGGTGGGTTGGGTAGTGTTTGACCTCTCTTCCTCCACTACCACGGAAACTATCACTATAGGCTTAGGTTAACCTTGGTGTGTTTTCATAACACAGCCTTATTTTTCTCTGTGGAGTGGTCCCCGTTAGCCTGTGGTAGCCCTTTCTCCTTGGACAGCTCAGGAAAACATCCTGGATGCAAATCCATCCTCTCACTCAACCAGAGGCTCAAACAGCCAGAAAGTAGTCACTTTCTAACTTCCCCCCTGTAAAGGACTCTCCCTCTCTGCCATTTGGGTCTCCTCTCATTGTCTCTCTGTCACGTATTGTTAACCATTCTCACATTCACTTTAATCAGCCTCTTGTTTTTAATTTTTTCACTCACTGTTCTTGTTTGAATTACAGCTTCAGAAGATGAAACAGATTTTTAGGTGTGAATCACCTAGTTGGGAGGCGTTTGCTGTTGAATTTGTCGGAGGTGATAAGTTTTGGAAGATAATTGGGCTAATGTTTTTAGCCAATCAACACTCAGAATTTTTGGGAACAGATGTGACGAGTGTCTCCAGTTCACTGCAAACATTTGCATCACAGTGGTAGTGGTAGTTTTTTTTTTTTTTTTTTTTGTGTCAGCGTTTGATTTATTGATTTGCTGTCAATTTGTCAATTTCAATGCTTTGGAAATAAATTGCTTTTCCCACCTTTAATGCCAGGTGTAAAAAAAGTGGCCTTTATACACAGACATTTTGTGAGTAGTAATAAAAGTAAATATAGCAGTAGAGATAAAGGATTAAGAACAGAGCCTGGCTGGACTTTCTCTTCTCTTCCCCATGGTCTTTTTTTCTATAGATGTTCTGAAAGGCAAAGTACAGGACGGGAATATTCTGGTGATCTAAATAGTTATCTCTCCTCTTCGCCCTCTGTTTTTATAAAAAAAAATTTCTCCTCTTGCCTTTCCAAATCTCCCCTCCTTTTCTCTTCAGTTTGACTTTTTTTCCTCTGTCTCTGTAGGGAGGAGGGACAGTGTGTTGAGGGCTTCATGGAGATTTTCGACATGCTGCTTGCAGCCACCTCCCGGTTTCGTGAGCTGAAGCTTCAGAGGGAGGAGTACGTCTGTCTGAAGGCCATGATCCTCCTCAACTCCAGTGAGTTTTCTTGCCGCAGACAAACCGCAGCCTTCACTTTAACCAGACACAAGTGTTTTTTAGCTGGAAGATGAATAACATTAATTAGCTGCAGCCGATGTTTGTCATTTGAACTGGTTCATAAGCCTGCTGCATAAATCTAACGTTTACAAGGACAGATAAAAGGCTTGATTTAAGAGATTTGTTTGTATCAGAGTTGAACATATCAGGGTATTTTGCAAACGGGAACCCAACCTTCCCCATGTTGTTTTAATAACTGGTTACTAAATCCTTGTGCTTGTGGATTATTTGACATAAACTACCTTTTTATTATTGAGTGTTCTGTGCATTTGAAACCAAACAAGCACTGATCTTTCCCGTGGCATTACAGCAACTTGTTGAATTGATACAAAGCCCTAATATTTCCGGAGTTATTTAAATAAATCAGCACCAGTGTCTTTCACAAAGCTTATTTTCAAACAAATCTGAATTAAACCTACGAATACATGCTATATATACTATTAAAAAATAACTAATACACAGTTTGGCAGCTTGCGGGGTGCAAGTTTGAAATATTTCACGGATTTAAAGTTTATGGAAGTCGTGCATCTAGAGTGGGACAATACATGCGGTTTTTCAACTGTGTAAATAACCTTTTTAAGTAGTGTACTACTCCAGGGTTGCACTCTCCACTCTTTGGATGTAATTTCATTAAAACTAGGTGATCCTCCCACAAAAGTTGGATTGGCAGAACTTTCAGCCTGTTTGAAAAGATTCTGGATGAAATGACCTGTGAAGATTGAGTTTATTGTTGCAGGCCGTTTGTTTTTTAAACTTTCATGTGTTCCCAGCGGGTCAGAGTGCCCCACCCCCACCCAGCGCTGCCAGCAGCCACTGTACAGGTTTCATTGAGGTGACCGACCTCTCTGCATGTCCTCGCAGAGTTAAACAAAGCTCCTCCTTAACACACTCGCACACAGGGTTCTGTGCCAGACCCTGTTCCGTCTGTTGACTCCGCTCCAGCTCCGCTGCAGCTGGGGTGGGAAAAAAAAGAACAAATTGTGAAAGAAGTGAAAGAGAACAGGAAGGAATTTTAGAATTATGTATTTGGACAGAGGGAACGTGATGGCTCAACTGCTCAGTCTGTCCCGGTGGTGGGTGTCCAGGGTGATCTACAGCGTCTCTTCTCTACTGCCCCCTAGTGTAACTTCTGGATGTCCATCACAATGTCATTAAGGGTCTTTTATGAGCCGGACTGAAGATGTTTACGAGTGTTGGTTACTGTTTCATTGAAGAAACGCAGCTTTTAACAAGTAAATGGTTTTTAAATTAACTTTGTGTAAATGTCACAACTTGGATTGGGTTGTGGTGCCGTATAAACTCAGAAAAGAAATGTCCTCTCACTTTTTCAGGAAAATCAACGTGTAAATATTTGTGTGAACATAAAAAGATTCATCAACTAAGACATAAACTGAATTAAGTTTCAGAGACATGCGACTAACAGAAATTGAAAAATGTGCCCCTGAACAAAGGGAGGTCAAAATCAAAAGTAACCATAGTCAGTATCTGGTGCGGCCACCCGCTGCATAAAGTACTGCAGTGCATCTCCTCCTCATCAGCTGCACCAGATTTGCCAGTTCTTGCTGTGAGATGTTATCCCACTCTTCCGCTGAGGCACATGCATGTTCCCGGACATTTCTGGGCCGGAATGGGCCTAGCCCTCAAGGTTTGACATGAGGGAGGAGGATATCTTCCCTGTAAATCCCAGCATTAGTCCAACCATCATCCCTGGTGAGTCAATACCGCGTCAGTCAAGAGAACCTTTTGCCAGTCCTGTATGGTGTAACGAAAGTAGGTTAGTGCCCATAGGTTTCCATAGTCCAGCCTCTCTCAGCCTGTTGCAGACAGTCTGAGCACTGATGGAAGGATTGTGCACTCCTGGTGTAACTCGGGCAGTTGTTGTTGCCATCCTGTCCCTGTTCCGCAGTGGAGATGTTCTGATGTACCGATCCTGTGCGGGTCTTGTTACACATGATCTGCCACTGCGAGGACGATCAGCTGTCTTTCCGGTTTCCCTGTAGCGCTGTCTCAGGCGTCTCACAGTACGGACATTGCAATTTATTGCCCTGGCCACAATTGCAGTTGTCAAGCCTCCTCGCAGCATGTCTAAGGCACGTTCATGCAGATGAGCCGGGACCCGGGGCATCTTTCTTTTGGTGTTTTTCAGAGTCAGTAAAGAGGTCTCAAGTTTTTATATCTGTGACCTTAATTGGCTACTGCTGTAAAGCGTAGTTCGCACTACACCATTTTAAGCCCGATTTGCCGGTCAGCGAGCTCGGTGACAGTCAGGCTGTGAAAACGGCTCCCTGACACATTTCTCACACCAGATATGTAGCATGCCAAATATCTGGAGGACATCCGCATCCAGCCAATGGGAGCTGGCAGAGCAGGCAGCTACTTTTTCACTGCGAAACCCTTTTTACTCCCCTTCAGCTCTGTCAGTTTTTTTGCTGAGTTTATAATCTCTTTCCATGCACAATACAGGAAATATCATGTGTGTGGGGCTGTATTAGCTCACTCTGTTAGGCCGTGGCTTGGAAACCGGTGGGTCTCCGGATCGTGTCCAGCTCGAACCAATGCTGAACTGCTCCTGTGTGCCGTATGATAGCAGCCCACTGCTCCTAACTAGGATGGGTGAAATGCAGAGAACTAATTTCCCCTTCCTGTTTGTGCATGTGTGTGTCTTCCAGACCTGTGTGTAAATACTAACATAATAATAACAGAGTGAAAACATTGAATTTCCCCTCACGGGATTAACAAAAGTCTATCTTCTAAAGCAGGTAGTATATGGTTAATGTTGCACTATGTAATAATCCAGTGCTTCAAAGTGATGGTATGAGGTAGTTTTTGCCTGTGAACAAAAGTCACACACATAGCTAATTGTGGTAATTAATGAAAATAGCCCAATATTAATACAAGAGAAGACTACTCTTTGTATTTCGCCTCTGGCAGTGAGACTCAAAGATGGCGATATTAGCTGATTGGCCAGTCTTGAGATGTTTGAATATCGCTCATGCCCAGAAGATGATTGCTAATTAATTAGCTTACCTTTCCACTAGCTACACTATCAGGCCAAAATTTTCCTTTGACCATCACAAACTAATGGCTGGATTTTAGTTCTTGGTTTGCAGAAGAAGTTGTTTTCGTAGCTCAATCCTCAGTCATGTCCAACACAATCTAAAGGAGGTTTTATGTGATCATTCTTACATTTTATGTGGACTGTACAATAATCAAAATTGGCCCTACACTTTGGCACGTTATTAGTTTACCTGTAAAAACGATAAGAGTGTGTGCTTGGTAAAATGTTGCTATGTTGTGTGTTGCAGATCTGTGTACGAGCTCCCCTCAGACAGCTGAAGAGCTGGAGAGCAGGAACAAGCTGCTGCGTCTGCTGGACTCTGTGATTGATGCTCTGGTCTGGGCCATTTCCAAACTTGGCTTGTCGACCCAGCAGCAGACTCTGCGCCTCGGACACCTCACCATGCTGCTGTCCCACATCCGCCACGTCAGGTAAAGCCATAGACGTCAGGGAATCATGAAACCGCAGCAGAATCCAGAGGAGAAAATGGAAAAAACACACACGTTCAGATATTTACAGACAAGCCAGTTTCTGTCTTCTTTATTAGTATGTCCAGAAACATACACCTACATTAATGCTTGTGTGTGCAACAGGAATATGTATACCAAACTTGACATTTGGTCGCTTACAGGGAACACTTGATGTAACAGTTCTTGAAGGATGGAGACCTATCAATTATTTTGATTATTATGATTTAAAAATTTTAGATAAACAATTTAACACCTGGTATACAGAGAATGAGCTGTTTCCTAACATCTCCACATCCTGCTAAATAAAGCCAACAGCTTGAAACATCAATCAAAACTCTGTCAAGATCTGTAAGACTTCTGTGACTCCTGGTACCCGTTTCAGAAAGCGGGATTAGTGAAAATTCTGAGAATGTTAAGCCAGAGATGAGGGAAACGTTTCAGAGAGCGAGATCAGATAATCCCTAGATCAGTAACTGGCAGTTCCTCCCTAACTCCTGCCCTCCTGCGGAGCCTGAGGCGGCTGTCTGACACACCATTTCATTTCCTTATTCATTCTGTGTATCAAAGCACATATCTGAACCCATTTACATCTTTAAAAGCTTTAAAATCCCGTTTGGATAGGCTATTACTTTTTTACCCAAACATGATCTTGAACATGACCTCTTTTATGATCAATCTGTCAGCAATGTAAGGACAGATCTCCGCACATCGTGGATTTATCCTCAGCCCACAATAAAATCTATGTCTGTCCTTAACGCTGTGACTTTGTGGACAGTTGCACTGAAAACACTTACTGTGTGCTACGTTATTGCAGTAATCAGTGTTTAATATGTAGGCTAACCTATAAAACTGATCAATGAACAGTAATCTTTCATATTGTAGTTGCACTGATTGGAACATTCGTAGTTATGTGTTTTGACAGCATTAATAAAATACGAAATGAGCAAGATTTTATTTATGTAAAATAGACGTCTAAAACTTTAACCTATAGACACATTTTCCACTGCAAAATATAATTAATAGCTTAACCTGCTGGGTGTGACTGTGACTTTACATTCACAGGTTCATAAGTAAACTGTCTTATATTTGTTATTTAATAAATATAGCCATCCTATTTAAAATTGAATGTAATGGGCTGTAGCGCTTTATAATTCATTAAGGACAGTCCAGTCTGGTAAATGATGAATGAGCAACGCTGTGTAGCAGCCTAATAATGTTAACGCATTGAGTCTTCCTCCACTCCTACGTTTTAGAGCCCATCTTGGCACGCATTCATATTTTTAGTTCCACCCCATTTAAAATGGAGGCTCGGCCTTTATTAACCCGTTGCCATGGTGAATCGTAGTATCGGAGCTCCACTGATGATGGCTTTTTTTCATCCCCACGCACGCGCTTCAATCAGGCTCAACATACTCAGAGTTGATTGAACTTATTCTGATCAGCTGTTCTGGAACCGAAAATTCTGAGTTTCCTACCTCAGGCTCAATCAACCCAGAGCTCAGGGATAAGTTTAGAGTTTAAGCCTGCTTTCTGAAACAGGGCTCTGGGATTCACAAATGTTTTTAAAGCTCATTGGATGATAATAATTCCAAACACAATTTTGAAAATGTTATTTGGATATAAAATGTAGTTGTTTTTAAAAAAAAACTAAATTAACATCTTTTAACTAAATTAACATTTTTTTTAAATATTAAATGATTAAAAAAATGATTTAAATATTAAAAAAAAATAATTGAAAAACTATGTACAAATTTTAAAAAGACAAATTAACATTTTAAAAAGTAGTTTTTAAAATTTAAATAAATGCACGTTTACGTAATGTATGTGTAAGAGGAAAACACCAGTGTCTAGGTCCGTAACACCATCAGTTACTAATATTAAGTGACACTATGTACAGTTAGCTGGAACAACTGATATATTTGCTGTTTCTACACACGTCCAGCTGAAACTGAAGTAGAGTCAAAAGCTTGAAATAACAACCATAACTGTCAGGATCTGTGAGACTTGGCTTTTTTATCAATATGTGTGACCCCTGGGGCTCTCAAGCGATTTAAATTCCATTGGATAATAATATTTCCAAACACAATTTTGAAAGTGTTAAAATATTTAATTTTTTTTTTTGAAGGATTCAAATTTCTTTACATTTTTTATTAAATGTTTTCAAAATTTTAATGTTAAAAGATTTTTTTAAAAGTAATTTTTAAAAGTAATTTTAAAAAGACAAATAATTCATATTTTAAAAGTAATTTAAAAAAAAATAAAACAATGTTTAGTGACAAGTGTTTATGAGAAAAACACCAGTGTCTAGGTCCGTAACACAATCGGTTACTAATACTAGTTGACGCCATTTACAGTCAGCTGGCACACTTGCTGTATTAGCTGTATTAACACCTCCGCATCATGATCTTGGCTTTTTTTTTTTTATCAATAACTGTAACCCCTGGGGCTTTCAAATCTTTATAAAGCCCATTGGATAATAATTCCAAAAACAAATTTGCAGATGTTAATTATTTGTCTTTTCAAGGTATTTTTTAAAATAATATTTCACACAATTTTAAAACAATTTATAAACTTTTTTTTTATTATTAAATGGTAATTGTTTAAAGTTTTTCCTAAATTAAAGCCAAAAGTTTAAATGAAAAAACTTAATTCCATCATGATCTGCGAGACTTGGCTTTTTTTTAATCAGTGTCTGTAAAAATCTTTCTGCTCTGTCAGCTTGACTTATTGTCTTTTCTTGCTCTACAGTAACAAAGGCATGGATCATCTGTCCACCATGAAGAGGAAGAATGTGGTGCTAGTGTACGACCTCCTCCTGGAGATGCTGGACGCCAACACATCCAGCAGCGGCAGTCAACCATCGTCCTCGCCGAGCTCTGACACTTACTCCGACCAGCACCAGTACCCCCAGCCTCCGTCTCACCTACAGCCGGACTCAGACCAGACCGGCGCTGACCACACCACTGTGCCTCCACATGAACCTGCTGAAGCCCCGATCCTCGACGGACACCTGCAGACTCTGGCCCTCCATTCATCACCTCCATTCCAGAGTTTAGTTGTGGCTCACATTGACAGCAATGAGTAAGTTACAGTGGTGGAGGACAAACTAAGATCATTAAGTTAATTTAAAGTAGTCATACCACCAAATTAATGTTATTACTGGTAAATATAAAGAAAGGTATTCAACTATCTTCTATAAAAGTATCCTAGTGAAGAGGAGTAGAGTTTAGTTTTGGTGTGAGGTGGGGAGGAAAGATGCAAGAAAAAAAGGAAAGGTGCATCTCAAAACATTTGAGAGAGAAAAAAATAATTGAGCTGCACCTGTACACTCTTCAAAATATTTAAAATTTTTTTCAGCACACCTGGGTGTCTAGTTTGTGTGAAACCACATTTTCTGTAACTAGTAGGATGGACGTAATTTGGATGTGAAACCAGATTGTAAAGTTTTAGTTTTTTTTCAAATTTTTTGAGATACACCTGAAAACAAGTAAAGTTTTATGAGCTCATGTTTAAAGTTGTTAAAATACTCTCAGTATGTGAAGCAGCTTCTTCAGAACAGTACTTAAATAATGCAATAATTTACTTTATCTCTGTGAAATAATTGTAAATAACTTTTCTTCCAGTTACATCCACCAGGAGCAGTGGTCACTGGACACAGCAGATGCAGGTCCACCAGTGGAAGCAACAGACTACATCGTCTCTGATCGAGTTGTTATGGAAACTGCCTTACTGGGGTGACAGGACTGAAGGGACAAACTGAGACTCAGCCTTAATGGCTTTCCAACCCCCAGAGATTGAGAAAAGAAAAAAAGAAAAGTATAAAAAAACAGAACGTGCTGTTGTGAGTAACGTTTTTCTTTCTTTCTCTTGTTGAGATGTTTTTAGTCTTTTGGGGGGAAAAAAAAGTTGTTTTCGATTGAATGTATATTTTGTGTACGTAAATATTTCTCGTGAATGTGCACTACATTAGGTGTTCGTGAGAACACCGCTGAACCTCTGCCAGTCAGTTTGAGCTCTTTTTTGATATACAGTATTTGTATCTCTTTTTCACTTCGGTGTAACATCCAGAACAAGCCAGCCGTCCACAAACCATCTGCAGTGACTTACAGAAACGTGCATGTGGTCAACACCGTAAGCATCCGTCTATAAGCGTTGTTAGTCATATAACTTTTAAAAATCTTTCTGTCACACTGGTGTTTTCCTCCTTCACTACTGTGTACTTTGGTGTTTTAATCTGTGCCTGTTCATCCAGGATTTTTCTACTCTTTGTACAAACTAAGTGTCAGTGAAGTCAAGAAGCAGCGGTTTGTGGCCTTTAAAAAAATGACTGTTAACAGAAGCTTTCTTCTCTGTTCATCTGGTTAAACAAAGGCTGGATTTGCATGTGGCCCAGATATGTTCTTAGTCAACATTCGCGCGAGCAAAACTGAGTCAAATTCAACTTGGTACACTTTAGTAGGTGACAGGATAGCTCTCAAACTGACAGCCTAAGATCATAAATGGTAAAGTTATTGTGTGTGTATAACTTGCTAACTGTACTGTATTCATAACATGCTAAACATTACTTGCTAAATGTTCTGACCTAACTTCATTATGTAAGCCATATGTTAACAAGCTAACATGCCAAACCACATGCTAAAACATTAGCATGTTTTACAGAATTAAATTACTTGGCACCAGCAAAAAAAAAAGCAGACACATTTAACCTAATGCTTATTTACTGTATGTATACAGTATACTTCATGTATACGGTTAAAGTTAAAAGCTAATAAATTAAGTCCTGTCAGCCTCATCTGTACTTTTTAACAGTAATTGTAACATGCTAGCATATAATGATTTTACCATGTTAGCAATGTTACTGTTACCATGTTTCTGAATTAAATTACCCGAAAAACAGGGGGGGGGGGGACGCAAGTCATGCAGGTCCATCTCAAGAAATTTTAATATTGAGGAAAAGTTGATATGCTGCAGCGGATTGATGCAGGAATTCAAAAATGCAAAAGGAGCCCTGACCAAGTATTCAGTGCTTAACGTAACTTTTTGTTGTCATTTCTGCTTTATATATTCTGTATTATAAAATTCTAATATTTTGATGTTTTATTTCCATGAGCTGTAAGCTGTAATAATCAAGAAAACAAAACAACTTCAAGTTCTTCATTTTATGTGTAATGAATCTAGAATATATTAAAGTTTCACTTAATTAAATTACTGACAAAAATGAACTCTCCCACCATATTCTGAGATTGAGATGCACCTGTACGTGTGCATTAGGCCTATGTTCCTTGAAGCCTACCTGGTCTAGCTAAACTCGGTTAAATTACTTGGCACTGGCAAAAGAGGAAAAAAAACAGTCCTGTTTAACTTGCTGCACATTAAAATATACATTAATGTATACTGAAGTTCATAACATGATACCTGTAATACTGGATTCTTGTTAGCTGTACCAACATGCTAAATGTTACCATGTTGATATGCTAACATCAGCGTAGCTTAACCAACTACACTACCAAATTTTATAATTAAATGTTAGCTTCAAACTGTTTAAATGCAAGTTTATTTTTCTGTAAAGACATTTTTTAAACACTGGCCAGATTAACTTAATACACACATTGTGATAGGGATTTTATCAGATTTTAAAATTTGCAACAATTTTAATGGTATTGTATACAATCAAATTTTTACTATTAAACAAGTAAACACTAAATGCTTACTCATTATACTGTATTATAGTATAATAGATCAATATTTTGTGCAATTCTTTTGGAACAAGTTCCAAAGCTTATTTCCACAGTGGCCAATTTAAACTAACATCAAACCTGAAGAATGTATTCAGTTAGTCACGCTGTACCTTTTAGTGCAGGTAGTGAAAATGACAAACTATTGATTTTTACATATTATTTTTAGAGTAAAACAGCATATTTCTTTTAAATCTTCCCTTTGTGTCCTGCTGATGATTTTCAGAATGTAAGCAAATTCAGATGTTGCTCTACTCCTAAAGAAAGAAAAGTGTATATGCATTTTTATATTTGGTTAGTTTAGGTTCAGTTTTGCTTATTAAAACATTTTGTTAACCTTATTCAACAAAGTATCTAAACAGTGCTCTTTGCTGTAATTTATGCACTTTCTCGCATGTTAACATGAAGAAAAAGCTGGTTCTTGTTCTTGGCTTTTCAGGCATGTGGAACTGTCAGCTACATGTTCTAAAACTATTTGTCATCTTGTCACGTTTTTACCTCCGTGTTTCGGACCTGTTTACTGCGGTGTTTTTAATTACATTCTCATTAATCCTCCCTTGGAAGACAACAGTCAGTTTTATTTGATACAGTCCAAGTTTTTAAAGCTTTGAGCTTACCAAACAAACTGAAATCATAAATGTCTCAGAAGTTTGGATTAACTGCCCCAAACGCATAATTTAGGTTGTTTTTAGACGTCACGCATACTGCCTCTATGTTCATGTTCCTTTCTTTCCTGATGTCTGTGGTTTGTACTTGCATGCGCAATCGCACACACAAAAATCTGATGTAAAAAAATGTTTTTGTTGGCAGTTTGTGCAAAATTCATTTCTCAGATCTTGTTGAAGTTTTTGCCTATCAAACCTGTCAGCTCTTAACCAGGGTCTTTCTGTAACCCAGCGATACTCGTAGTAAACATACAGCTTCAAATCATGGCAAACACCGTTTTTATTGTCAAACAAAAATGACAATCTATACATCCCATAAATAAGAGTTCACAAAATAAATCAAAGTTTACACACATTTTGTCGTTTTGTTTTTTGTTCTGCTGGCCTTCTGAGCAGAGTGTGAGGCTGACATTATGTACAAATTAGAACACTGAGTTTCAAATCACTCGCTTTAACATTTAAATTCAATATTTAATGATGTAAATTACGTACATTTAATGATCTTTGATTGTGCATGTACACAGCTACATTCAATGCCCAAAGAATCACTTACATTCATGTTCTACTCAAAGTCTGGCTTGTTAAGATTTGGACACCAGTCCTTCAACTGCACCACTGAAGAGTGTCTCAAAGCAGCTTTCAGGTAAATCCCACACGTACATTACAGTATAAACGACAACCGTATATTTTTAAATCCTTAAAATAATTTTACCTGTTTGATGCCTGCAGGGCTTTACTCCATGGGACCAATTCGGGCAGCATTGGGTAAGTTGTGAATGACAATTATTCTTAAATGGGTATAGTTTTGACATAAGATAATGTAGCCGTGTGTTCTTCGATAAATGTCTAAATGACAATGTCATGTAATAATCTACAAAAGCTTCCTGTTAATCTCGACACAACATTCCCTGCCAGACCTGTATTGCTGCATTAATATTAACCTAGCCTCTTCTAGCTAACAGTAACCGATGTGTAGGTACCTGTCCAACAACAAAACGCAGACGTCTGAATTAGCTAGCAGCCACTGAAGAAACCGAGACAGATATTTCTCAGGAGTGCACATCTCCTGTGGGATGATAATGTTGCTGTGTCTGCAGGAGGACGCGGGTAGTTTTTATTCTGTTAGCAAATCAAGTGCAGCTTTTGTTGTATCAAGGATGTGTTTAAGTCAGTGCATTTAGACTCTTTCTGCCCCCTAGTGGTCAAGAATTGCTTAATGCAGCTTTAATTTGAGGATCTTTGCCTTTTTTTTTTTTGTTGTTGCAAAACTTCTAGGTTGAGTAACCTGCTGAAATATTCAAAACTGACCTCCAAAAACACTGTCCGTAAAGCTTACATAATCGTAGGAAAATATCATTTTATTATATCTGCTCTCATATAAAGGGAGGGCCAAAATTCTACACAAGCCAGTATGACTTTAAAATCCATCAATATCATATAAAATAACTTAAAACTACTGCCCATGTTAAATGACTTTGATAGGTTGCAGTGCCACACTCTTACACAGAAACAATAATTTACCTACTTCTTTCTCAGTAGATTGCCCTTATATACAAAATGCATCAAGTACATCATCTGTAAAGTATGGAAGTTCTATCGGCTACAGAAAGGCATGTCTGCAGATGAGTCATTTAAAAAAAGTTGCATCTTAATACCTCTAAATCAAACAAAAACAACGCACCCTTTTTCTTCTGTACAAAATCTGCTATCAACAAGTGGCTGCTTTCTAGGAAAACAGTAAAAATAGCTGCTGTGGTAGAAAATGGCTGGCGTAGTCCTCCTTCTGGATGCTTTGGTAATAACTGTCCTTCAAATTAGATCCAACGGACTATAGTGAAAGTACAAAAATTGCAAATATACTGTAGATATTAAAATAACTCTTGACACCTGTTTTTTCTTATATTGAAGCTGTTCAGTGGGACGTTAGATGGTAAAGCTACATATAAAAGATGACTTTAAAACCAGTGATATGGCTTCTGTTTTTGACTGTGGACCTTCACAAATAAAAACATTTTTAAATACACCAATAAAATTTAGTCAAACACATAAGATGAAACCTTCGGATATGAAGGGCGGTGCTTTTTTTTTTTTTGTGGAAGGGAGAAGGTGTCTTGTACCTTAACACTGTTAAGGGGTCCATTTTGGATTTAGACCTCCATATGATCGAGTCTTTCAGTCTTCAAACTAACTCCACAGCTGGGCGTTATGGCAGTTTTCATGTGGGCGGAGGGCCGTTGGTGTACCGCAGCATGGGGTAGAAGGAACGGGCGAAGTTGTTGGACAGTGTACAGCTGTAGTCCTCCTCGGACAGAGGCACCAGGCAGGCCAGAACCAGCAGCACGAAGAACAGAAGGTGTAGAGGGAAGGCAGCTCGTAGAACCCGGTAGAAGAGGGGTCGCTGTGGGGAAGACTCCCTCCTCCCCTCCCTGGATGTTACAGATAATTATGTTAAGGGTGAAAGTTCATTCTTCTTTGCAGCAGTAGTTTCACAAAACAGCCTTAAAGGGTAATTTCAGTATTTTTAAACCTGGGCCCTATTTTCTCATTTTTGGGATTGGAGGGAGTCCCGGTGACCCCCTTTGGTTTTTAACAAGAAACTGAAATCTTGTGAGAGGCGAGTTGTTGGTGGAAACCAAAGGAGTTTTTTTTGTGTACATAGAGGAGCTGTTATTCTAACACAACTCCTCTCCTTCGTTTCCACAGTCATAATTCCTGCAACAACTCGCCTCTCATGAGATTTCAGAGCGAGTCCTGGAGCGACACTTCAGTTTCCTGTTAAACACACGGGGTCACCGGGAGTCAGTGGCAGAAATAGCTGCAGTATCTGTGCAGTAATAGCTGAAGCATCTACTGCACAGATTCAAAACTTCTTGTACCCACGAGTCATTTCAACACCAAAATATGTGAAAATAGGGCCCAGATTTAAGAATACAGAAATCACACTTTAATGGCTTTTCCAGACCTTTCAAGTACATCTCAAGTTCCACCTCTGAGGATGACTGAGATGATACTGAAAGATAAAAATTGGGACTTTGATACTTCAATATGACCATGGTCTTCCAGCCTCCAATGTTTTTGAGTCGGTTCAACAAAATTACAAAAAACACTATATGGGAGATTCCCATGGTGCTCACAAAATGTCAACATTTAAAAAATTCTAATGCAACTATTCCCGTCACTCTGGTTAATCCACAGACCGTACAAATTTTTCTTGATTGTAAAATGGGTGATTTTGTTGGTTTGTAAACGTTCTGAATCACATTTTATATGGATATTTCATTGGAACTACTTTCTACCAAAGAAATAGTCCCCATAAAAACTGTTGACTGTGAGGTCTGTAAATTATCCAAAGTAAAAAGGATGTTGTTTCTACAAAGATGCATAACTGGTAAAATGTTGTAACCACCACAAACCTCCCGTGTATCTGAGCGGAGGCAGAAATCTCAAAACTGTCTGCACGGCAAGATAATGCTAGACGTTAGCTAATGATTTCTGTTTTTTTATAATTTGGGTGAACTTAGGCTCAACCCTTACAGTAATTACAGAAAACAAATCAAGTACAAAGTTGGAAAAGTTACCTTCTAGTCTCTGCTCGTCCAACTGTAGCTGCCTGTAGACCGGCCTCCTGCTGAAGAAGCAAACAAGTTGAAGGTTTTAACCACTTTGGTCATGCTTTGAAGATGGAGTGGACACCTACAGCTAAAATATAATACATGCAGTATCTCTAGATTAACGCTAACATGCATCAATTAGGAAGTAAATGTACCAAATTATTGTACTTGGATTTACATTTGATGCTACTCTATACTTCTACTGCGCTACATTTCAGAGCAAATATTTGAAATTGTTACTTTAAAGATTCAGACTAAACATATAAAACATAATACGCTGATTAAATATGCATTGCAGCAGATTGTGACGATGGCATTTTTGTATGTAAAAACGTGTGATTTCTGTGTTGGAAGACTAGCTGACGTCATGGCGTTAGCTAATGGGGATCCTAATAAACTAAGATTCAACCACCAAACTTTTGTGCAGGAATTTTCACTTCACTCAACGATCCGGATTTGTTTCCTACAGCTGTACATTTTTGAGAACTAACAACCTAACTGAATGATTACAGTTCCTTTTAGTGTTATGCGTTCGTAGGCAGTCTAACCAAAGGTAAATATTCAGGCGTACCTTGTGCAGCAGACCGATACGGTCCATTTCAGCACTTGTTGAGCAGGTTTCCTGAAACGGACAGCAAAAAGATCAGATAAGACCGACCGAACCTGTTGCAAGGCGAGAGGTCACAGAGCACTGACAGTTAATTTCCCTTTGATAGCATCTCATCTGTCCTTTTTGTTTTGAGGAATGTTGAAGACTAGACTGACATATTGTTAAGGCAGGTATTTGAACTGATGAGTGCAGTGATGATGTTACCAACAACACACAGTCCAAACACACTGCTACTAGCTAAGTCATATATGTAGCCCAAAATCAGAGGACTTAATGTTTCCATAGGATTCATTTTATATAATTTTACTTGATTAAATGTAAATGCTCTGTATTTGTATTGCACCTTTCTAGTGTTTTCGACCACTCAAAGCACTTTTACACTACATCACCAGTCACACATATTTATACGCTGGTGGAACAGCCACCAGGGGCAATTCAGGGTTCAGTATCTTGCCCAAGGACACTTGGACATGCAGCCTGGAGGAGCCGGGATTGAACCGCCGACCTTCCGATTAACGGGCAACAGCCGCCCCCTAATTACCAACTGATGTGGCTAAGGCAGATTATAAAATGTTATTTATTAAACTGTGTCTGTGGCAACAAGCACCGAAAGTTGTATTTTACGAGTCTGCAATTTCCGAATAATTCCCTGGAAAGAACTATGTCATCTGGCACTATTTAAGATGGGAATGTCCTTGCAAAAATAAAGTTGTTCCTAATATTAAAAGTGACGCTGGTGTTTTGACCATTTCTCTGAACACGGTGCCTATTTTCCCTTTAATTGGTACCAAATTAGAGTATTTTTCAGGACACTTCTTGGAAGTTATCAGGAAATTATTCAGAAAATACAACAGACCCATAAAATAAAGTGTTACGCTCAAGTGAGATTTCAGGATCAGTGAATGTAGCGTTAGAACTACTTGGTCTAATTTTAAAAAATATTAAATGAAGGTTTTTTTTTAGGAAAATAGGAAAGTAAGATATTGATAACTGTTTTGGTATTAATTTCAAAATGACAACTGTAATTAACCATATGCTCAACTCATTTAATTTGTTATTTTTCAATTTCCACGCTCTGGTGTAGTCAGATGGACCTACCAGTCTTCCCTGCAGCGCACGCAGCTCAGCCGCCACCTGGCGCAGCAGGAGACGCAGTTTGTTGCAGATGACGTGGACCTTCTCCTTTGCCTCCACGCTGTCTTCTCTGGTGGTCTCTAGGAGGAGCTGAGAGGAGATCTCCTGCAGCGAGGAGACCTGGCGCTGGCGGCCACGCAGCTCCTCCTGCAGAGCCTGCAGCAGGGGGCGACAGATAAAAAACAAGTTTGAAGTCTGTGTACAACAGAGGTTTTTATTTGTAGAAGGTGCCAAATAAAATGAGCTGAAGGGACAGCAGAGCCAACACGCCATAAACATGTCCGCAGTGTTGTGTAACTACTGTAAGAAGGGGGAGACAAGAGGTTGGAAACCCCCTAATTCCCCCTCGGCTCACTGAAAGGCAAACATTTTGGAATATGTTTGGAAAAAGGCTTTTGGGTGCATTTTAAAAAAACAACACTGAGGTAGCGATGGATGAAATGATCAGGCGTCCGCTCACCGTCAGCGTGTCTCGGCGTGCCAGCAGGGTGGAGCGTGACGCAGACGGGTCGCTGACATTCACGGCGCAGAGTTTGTTCTCAGCCTGAGCGAGCCACAACAGCAGGGAGTGCAGAGTCTCATGAAACTCCTGAAGAAGAACACAGAGGTCAGAGGGCAAAGGCTGTGGGAGCCAGGTTTAATTTTAACGTCAGCGTTCGATCACATTTCCTGAACAACACTTTCCAGTAAAGTGTCTAACCTGACACTGCATGAGGGCAGAGTGCAGCCTCCTCTCCCAGCTCTCCAGGCCGCTGCAGGCCTGCGTCCAGCTGTCATTGGCTGAGCTGACAGCCTCTTGCAGCTCCTGCAGCTCCGGGCTGTCGCCCCGCAGGAAGTGGCGGCTGCTCAGGTTCACGGAGATCATGAGACACTTGAAGCTATTGAAGGTCTTCTGTGTCTCCTGGACATCAGAGAGGGATGGCATGAATGTCAGCGTGTTTTACCTCCTAAATTTAACCGCCCTGTGTGATTGGACAGTTCAGCGGCCTGTGATATGTCTTCACTGCCCAATAATACGTTTTCTGTGTTTGAATTCCAAACTAAGATCCACAAATTTTCATACATCACTTCTGTCCCAGCATTAAACACATAACTAATTCTGCGTTCTTATTTTCCCACATTTAAAGAGCTGTCATAGTCAAGTAGAGCAGAAAAGCAGCTACTTTTGTTTCAGTCCTGTTAAGTTCACAGTTAAAATGACTCACGAACATATTCCAGGCCTTCACTCTCTGAGCTTCACCAGACCACAGTGACATGACAGCTCATCAACACTCAAACACAACATCTTCAGAGTCTCTGAGAGTTTCATCAAGTAACAGCTCGTCTTTTTTGGGGCCCTTTTAATGTCATTTAAACTGTAATATAACACCAATTTTGACTTGAAAATGAAAAAACCAATCACTGTACTGTGTCTGATTTCTCTTTTCAAAACAGCAACATCTGAATTCAAGGCTCCCGAGATACATTTGATGCTTTTTTTTTTAAATACAGTCAGAAATGATTTCAGTACCGGCCGATACCCTGATCTCACGATGTGGTTTCAACCTTATGCCTTCGTCAACAAACAGAAAACTAATTCAATACACTCCAAATATAACACTGTACTCCTAAACTCCTACACCTAAAATCCCAGGAAGCTGGTTAGATACTCCTCTTTATCAGATTTACTGATTCTTGATTTTTGAGACCAAACTTTCAATGACAAACTTAACATGCTAGACATGGGCAATATTTCACCCACCCAGCATTTAACATTACAAAGTTTTTACAGCTATCTAATTAAAGAGTGTTGATATTGAGTAGTTGATGTGAAATACTTATTTTAATTACTATATTTTCTTTTTATTGTTAGTGCTGAGTGTCTGATACACGTTAAACTGTCCAAGTTTAAGCCAGTTTGTAGTTTTGTAGTACATATGTAAACTCTGCTTTTATGCGTATTACTACATAGTATTTTTGTAAAATACCCTGCTGAAAGAAGGTCAGTTAGGGCTGCAGTTACTTTTCTTTTTAAAGCTACAAAGATGTTTATTGTTGATGCCTCTGACCTGCTCTCTGAGATGTTGTTGCTGTTGTACCTTTAGTTTTCTGATGTTGACTTCGATGTCTCGGATGCTGGTGGACGGTGCGATCCGTTGCAGCCTCTCCAGCTCTGGCAGCACCCTGCCCAGCCAGGAAGTGACATCACAGAGGTCAGAGTTCAGCTTCTGCCACTGCTCCAGGTTCTGCTTGATGTCGGTCTCGTTGCTGAACTTCTGTACTTGCAGCAGCTCCCAGCGCTCGATCACACCTGCGGAGGAGTCAGAGTCATGATTCCACTGTTTCAGTCTGGGCTCACTTTAAAGATATTAGCAGGGTGACTTTTTAAATTGTGTTTCTAAGTTAATTCTACAACTGATAAAGTAACTAAATGGTATTAAAGGTGCTTTGATTAACATCAAAGAAGTCATTACCACTAACTAAGGTATGAAGCAAACTCTCAGAGAAAGACCAGCCTCTACGTGATTTTGTTACATCTCTGTCGACAGAAAATGAAATAACAATTTTAACAGCTGATTAAAAAGTCAATGATCAAGCAAAATGCCAACTGCTGCTTTGTTTTATTATTTAAAGTGAAATATCTTTGTGGGGGTTTTAGATGAGCAATCTGAAACGTGACAATTTTGTAACGTATAAACTTTTATTTAATAAAAAAGTAATTTATTACAGCGGGATTCACAACGCAAAAATCCCCCTTTCGGTCACATCAGTGCATATTCCTCCCATCTCTAGAAAACCCCTGAAAGGTACAACATCCACCTTTGTGAGAGGAAACCAGGGGCTTATGGGAAAGTAGTTGGCCCCCATGACATGTTCCAGTCGCATAACAATCTGTATTTTCTAGCATTTCCATCGGGACCTTGAAGGCGTCCTTCTCCTGTCAGTTGTTTAATTTCTCAGACATTGTGTCGCCTCTCACTCAGCTGTTTGTCTCCGTCAGCGTACCTGTGCTGGTCTGTTTGTCGGCCGTGCTGCTGGTCAGACCCGGATCGTCTAGCTCCTCCTCATCGTTCAGGATCAGCTTGACTCTCTTCACGCTGTTGATGCTGCCGCTGCACTCTGACATCAGCTTAGCCTGAACACACACACACACACCGTTAGCCTTAAACTCTCCTCTTCAGTGGAAAACAAAAAATTCTAGATGTATCGTGCTGCATCAGGCTGGACACTTAAAGATTTCAAAGCTTGTGATGTGTGCACTTACGTAGCCCTGCTGGTGGAAGGGAGTACTGGTGTGTGTGGGAAACGAGCCCAGGCCTCGGATGATTTCTCGAGGAACTCGTTTCCTTTCTGGGGAGCCGGGCTGGTGCCAGCTGGGCGGCTCGGTCACTGACTTCACTGAGGAGAGAGAGAGAAGAAAACTTGTGTACAGTTAAGAAAGAAAGAAGAAATGGAGCGAGGGGCCAAGACAAAAAAGGTTAAAGAAGAAACCACAGAGACAAAGACTTCAAGATTCAATACTTGCATGATTCACAAACACCATTTGACACATGCAAGAGACTAATGTACCCGTCAGATACATGCAAAACACAATAATGGATAGCAAAAGTAAATAACATCCATTGCCACGTCATGCAACTTTCATGTTTTCGATTTGATTTTGCTAAATGTTAAAATGTGAATGCTGTATTTCAGTGGTGCACAGTCACATCTGTAGCTCAAGGTACCAATGAGGCAAAACATAAAACATGGTCTCTTGAATTAGATGAGGGACAATGTGGGGGTACTGCCGGGTGAGTTTGGGGTTGCTAGAAGATAAGATGTCGGCCCATGAGCACACAGTGAGGCAGTCGCATGCAGGAGGCAGAGTGCCTACCCGAGGCTGCTTTCACTGCTCTGACAGTGGATTTAACAAACGACTCTGAGCTCTCTGTGACCTGCACATCTGTGAAAGAGAGAGTGGAGGTCAACGCTGTCTGGCAGCTGTTTCAGGAACATTCAAGAATGAAAGTTATAAGAACAGAGTGGACGCCAAGAAGAGCGGAAGACGAGGAGGATCTGTGAGGGTGAACTGATTTCTAATTTGTAATTAAAGTGAGTTTAACTTGAAGGATGAGGCAGCTGGTGATGCTTTGTAAGAAATCCAATGAATAGACCTAAACCAATGTGTTGGTCCATCGCTACATCTGACTTTCCCCTTTTCATGGGATTTGTTTAGAATAATAAAACTATAGAATATCACCAGACTTCTCCTTCAAAACCTGTAGTTTTAAACATTTTGGAGAATAATTTTCTACTTTCAAGGCCATTCGTGGTCGCTTTTAATTTCACTGCAGTCTGGAAATCATTTTGCAAGGACCTGAAAATAAATGTCAGCTAACTTCCACATTTCAAGACTATACAATCCTCTGAGATTTGTATTCACACTTTTCAGCAGGCAGCTGTCAGTTTTTGGGTGTCCTGGGATGCACCACACACCAACAAGACTTTTCAATCACTGCTTCTTTCTTCCTTGCTGCCGCCGCACTACATGATGATAAAATAGATTCTGAGAGCAAATAAAGCTGGAGGATTGTCGACTATGACAGATTACATACAGAAAATAGTCCAAATTTGTACTAAAACATCCCAAAAAATTTCTAATAAGAGTAAATAATTAACTGACGAGAAGTGCCGTTATTACCTGACAGAGCGCTGAAGAAGGTGGCGTCCTCGTCGTCCTCGTGTGATGACGATCCCCCCACGTCGACGGTGTGGTCCCACTCCAGCGGGATGGAGTCCACGCTGACGGGGGTTTCTCGTCCCGACCGCTCCAGAGGGGGCGCTAGGAGGTGACACATGGTCTGCCGTCCAGCTGAGACTCCACCTGCTGACTGAACCTCCTCCTCCTCCTCCTTCCTCGCCTCCCTCCAGGATGTCCCGTTGGTCAGATCAGGGGAGTCGTCCAGGTCTGTGTCCCGGTCTGACAGTTCCCTCTCCTCCTCCAGAGCCTTAAAATTATTGAAGTAGAAGACAAAGAAATTAAGTACCAAAAAAGCGAATTGTCGTGAGACGCCTGTCAGCTGTGCCTACATGTTGACAACCCTGGGCTCAAAAATTTATTTCACAACAAACACACGCTGAGGAGAGCAGAGCCCAAAACGTGTGTTGCTGACTGCTGTAAATGTTTCAATCAACAGAAATATATAAGAAGAACTGACCGGTCGCCTGTTGATGAGGCGGTGGTGGAAGCGAGCCACTCTGCCGAACACCTCTTGGCAGTAGGAGTGCAGCTCCTCCAGCTCGTCCTCTATCAACACAGCGTCCAAAGGGGCGCTCTTCTGGATCAGGTTCTCCCCAAACACGATCAGGGCGTCGATCTTGTTGGTGTTCAGGGTGATTTCCTGCTGGAAGCCCTGCAGAGGGTGAAACCAGGGAAGAAAAAGGTCACGTGGGGAGAAGTTTTTTGTTGTTTTTTTTTTTAGAAAATTACATTTTTAGAAATGAGATATTGCAGGGAAACATTTATTAGAAGCAGATTAACTGCCGTTACGGACAGACTTACGTTCAGCTGCCTCATCTTGTCTTCGATGTCGCTCACGGAGAAGTGCTCCACGTTGGTGAGCTGGAGGTCCATCTCTGTCAGCCAGACCAGGATCCCCTCACGGGTTCCCTCAAAGTCTTCCCTCTGAGAGGTAAAGTGCTGCAGGAGGAGCACCAAGCAGGAGACGGACATCACTGTTTAAATGCTGTTTAAATACCTATAGTGTGACATATTATTTATGCATACTGTTGGACCACATCCATTTCGTTGATATAAAGACAGAGATAAACAGAATTGGTCCTGTATCAGCAGTAAACATTTGTCTCACTTGAATTTAAACTGGCCTTTGTGTCACCTTGTCCTGTCACGTGAGCAGTCTTGTGTGTTTTTAAGGTCTGTTATTGCTGATGTTTCAATTGTCTGAATATTTTACTGTTTTTATGATTTTATGATCTATGTTTTGATGGTCTTATTGCTCATATTTAACTCTTGCTAAGCACGTTATGACCTTATTTGTGTAAACTTATTATATACTTCCTTACTTACTTAAACCTCAGTGGGTTAAAAGAAATCATAAAAGTCACGGTTTTATTTATGATTTAACCAGATTCAGTGGTGATTTTTGAGCCCTTCACCTCCAATCTGGGGATAGACCACTGACTGTACATCTTTACAATGAGCACTGTTGACTCTGGTGGGGCTTATAGGGATGGGGCCCACAGAGGTCAACCTGCATCAATCAGCTGAGTTCTTTGAGTCCATGCAATCTTTATAAAGCAACATAAACGTCCTCCATCTGCTCAGCGCCACATGCCACGATGAACACAGCTTCCTGCCAACCTGATGCCTCGTTCCTCGTCACCGTCTGAGAGGTGACCTAAATCCTGACGGCTTAGAGCGGAGCTGAGAGCAGGGAGATGCCGCACAGATCAGCCGGGAAGGTTTGATACGTGCCGATGTTTGCTTCCTGATTGTTATCCTACTCATTTTATTTTCATAGTCATGTATGCATTTTGTTGGGTATTGAATTTATCCATCTCTTGCTGCTATTTGAGGACGTTTCCTAATGCAGTTCTAAAAATCCTTCATCATTTTATTGGCTGCATGTGTGAGATTTAAGACAATATTTTTGAGTCACTTAAAATCAACCAATCAGCTCCTGACTTCCCCGTCTCACCTTGAGTCTGCGGAGAACAGCAGCCACCCTCTTCTGCAGGCTGTCCCACCTCCGGTTGCCCTCTTGGACCATGACTTTGAGCTTGCTGGCGGCGTCGGTTCGGTTCTCCCGGGCCAGACGGCGATACTGTTTGTTGACCAGCTCCAGCTGAGTCAGACGCTCGTGAACCTGCCGCTGGAACGCCTGAGAGGAGAACATATATATGAAGGCCGAGGGCCAAGCCTGGAACTTTAAGATGGATAGATATAATCAAACTAGCACACATGTTCTTTTTTCTGTGTAACATTTAAATAAGGTCACTATAGAGTCTGACAAGTTGAAACTGGCCAAACCACACAACAGCTGCTCAGGAGGATTAACAACATTTCCAGTCAGTTTATGGATTTGAACCTTCATCCTACTGCTTATTCAACAATTACGCTCCCATTGCCTCCATTACATGCCGTCATACAGTCAGTATATAGGCCACACGTCCTCTGAAGGAGGAAGCAACACCATCAACACCAGATTACCAGACACTAATCTGTGTTTCTAATCCAGACTGACACCTCAGATACCTCTGTGTTTGTGAAAGAGGACACCTGAACCTGAGAGACTCATGAGTGGGAGGCACGAGTGTTTGATTGGTTTAAATCTGCCCCAGCAATCAAGGTAGAACACAAACCGGCAGGTATTTATTTCTCTACCACTGTGATTTCTAACTACAAAAACCTTTTACTTATTTTTTGCCACCCTTCATAGATGTCGGACACTTCCAGCAACCCATTATGGGAACAAACTCTGCTTTATGATTTAAGAAGTCTACCTTGAGTGGCTTTATGAAGACTTTCTTTTCTAATTTGTTTGCTCTCCAGTGATGCCTCTGGACGGTGATGTTGGTCTTACAACTTCAGGACTCCAGAGCAAGATGTTATTATCAACGACTGGACAGATTACCATTTGTCTTGCAGTGAATATTCATCGTACCCAGAGGATCAATCATAATGTTTTTGGTTATTTCCCTTAGTGCCAACACCTGGTCAAAACATGACTGTGTACACAAGAAAAATCTATATCTAATGGGAAGTTTATCATTATTTTTACATTCATGTTTCCCAGAGGATGAACCTTTTACATTAGATAAGACATTGTCAGCATCACCATCGGGCCAGAAATCTATTTAAAGTTCATATCATATTACCAAAAACTCTTAAACTCTTGTGATTTTAACGAGCCTATGCCATGTCCTGTAGCATCATCATCAGGACAAACATCAATTCGTTAAGCCTCGTTTTTTGGTTTTAACCTGACAAGTAGTTCTGTGACAGGACCTGTAACTGATCTTCTGGCTAACTTATGGTCTTTCTTTCCATCCCTTTGCCTTCAGTCCTCCCCTTGCAGTATCCTGCCAAAGCAAAAGGAAAAAAGGGAGAGAGAGAAAGATTCGTCTGCTGACCTCGAACTTCTTGAGCTCCTCTTTGGCGCTGGTGTAGAGGACGTCGGCAGAGTCTGGGTTCGCTGCAGTGAGCTCAGCGGTCTTCAGCCAGTCTTCAAAGCGAGAGAAGTCGTCCATGAACTTACACCACAGACGCCAGGTCTCCTCAATCCTGAACACAACAGAGGGGATAATTTCAAAGTTTTTGTGTGATGAGAAAAGTAATCTGAGAAGACCTGAGCAGCCTGGGAGCCGGAAACAGAACGGTTCATTTAATTAAAGTTAAGCATTAATACTCAGGCTATGACACGGTCTGACCGCTCACCTCATCCTCCTCTCCATGGACATGGCACATATGTTCCTCCAGCGTCGGTCCAGGCTGCGGGTGGTCTGCTGGATGGAGTCATTTTCAGAGTCGCTGCCGCAAGCGTCTGCATCGTGGAGCAGGACGTCACAAAGGGTCAGCACCGACGCCACGCTATCCGTGTGCTGCTCAATGTCTCGCTGCAGATCCTGCAGGTCAAACAGCACAGAAACCTTTCACATCACATCTACAGTTCGTAAACAAACCAGGGATTACAAGTGAAATGGACTGACATGCAGCTCAGTTATCAGGGAGTTTTTTCCTCTCAATGCAACACTATGCTTGGAGGAAGATCAAGAGCGTTCCTCGTATGGTCATTTTGAGTTTGAATTCAAAAGTTGTTTTCAGCTGCCCAAATAAACCAATCTAACACTCCAGAATAAACACTCCCGACTTGGTCCAGAATTTAGACAAGTATTTGTTGTTGATGATGGCTCAGTACAACAGTGGAGAGACTCTGAATTTGACAGAGATGTGAAGAGCAGCCAAGTACCAACATGAGTATTCCTAAAAGCAGCAGTAGAGTTAAAAAACAGGGGCTCAGTTGTCATCAACAAGGGCTGGAAAATGAAACAATATCAATAATCATCGCAATATTACATTTTCAATAACAATATAAAAAAATGTTCAGTCTTTATGCACTCTAACCACACTGGGACTTAATTGTTTTATTAAGATGTTTATTTAGTTGAGGAAAAAGGATGAAAAAAGCTTTTACTTAATTTCACTCGTGCATATTTGTTGACAAAGATTTTATCCTAATTGTTTTGAATGTTCTACCTCAGATCGTGATAACATTTTTGGCCATATCGCCCTGCCCTATCATCAGCTGACCCAAGGTGGACACAGCTGGAGGAAGATCAAAGAAGCCATCCTTGGACAGGAGATCATCTCTGCACATCCCCTGCTATCATGTGACTGAAGTTACATGATAGCAGGGCATGGTTCCCTTGTAAATGACTATACATATGAGGAAATGACAATAAAGCTGCTTAAGATGATCATTAGTATGGGATTGTGGACACGTCTGTTTTAAGGTGTTGCATTGTTTGTTAACAATATCTTCTATTGTCTTGATGGTTCCCACTGTCACCCAGAGTAATCCAAAGGGCTGGTGTGTAACTCCCGCTGAAGCCTGACAGCATTATTTTTCGGCTCTTGTTTGTTCAGAGTTACCACTCTCTGGGCTGCCATGGAGACAGCTGAAAGCTTAAAGAGCCCCTCAACACAGGAGTCATTTCAGCCGTCCCTCATCCACTAATGGTGAGAGCTGCAGCCTTTTCCGAGGAGCTGCCTCTTTCAGCCGGCCTGGCTATTTCTTCCTCATTTTTACCAATTCACTCGTGTTTTCTTTCTCCTTTTCTCTGCGCGTCTGTCACGTCTCTCCCTCTCATTTCCTCAGACATGTTCTCTTTCATCGGGTCCCTTTCCAAATTCACTCAGGCTGCTCAAGTCCAATCCAGTATTTTGAAAAGAGATAAAATGATAAGCAAGGTATTATCAGTTTCAACAAAAAAAAAAAAACAAGCGCTGGTCAGCCTCCTCCATTGTTAACATTTTGAGACATGAATGCATCTGCGCTCTGACCTACAAAATCCATCATAAAACTACAACAAGAAATATCCAAACTGTCCACAAAGCTGCACACACAGGTTCAGGACATAAAAAGTTCTGTCAGTAGCTTTTTCTGAACAAAAAATGGCTGCATAAAGCACTCCTCCTGACATGTTTCTGGCAGCACGGAGCACTTTTAAAAGAAAGGCAGAAAATGTTGAGCTTCTCAGAAAAGCACTGACTCTTGTCAACCAATCTGTGGTGCCCAGTGTCTAAAGGAGAGGCACAGAGGCTGGTTGCTGTGGTGTTTGAGAGTTAAGTATTCTGAAATATTCAAGCGTCTGTACCACAGTAAAGGGTTGGAATGAGATAAAACAGAAACAACAGATGACAGGACGCCCTACACCCTTTTTGTTTCTCCTCACCAAACACAGAGCACATAGAGGAGCTGAGTGACGTGGGAAAAGTTTCCTTTTAACAACCATAATCTGTTCAAATAGCAACAGTCTATTATACAATCAATTATATCGTGCGCCCAACATGAACCGGTATACAACTGGATTTAAATACCACAAAGCATGATGTGACTTGTAAAAAGCCTCAGGGGAACACTCAGGTTGTTGTGTAGGATGTTGTGCAGCATCAGCGAACAAGGACTCATGTTGCCAGTCCCATTGCAACTACAGACAATTACTATATCAACTAAGATGGCGACACTACAAAAATACAAAATAATCTACACACTGTGGCCTTAGTTTATAATATGTTTATATTGAGTTCCTTTCGCAAAGGGCGCCTTTTTTCTGCCAATTAAGTCCCATGTATTTAAAAACAGCTGAAATGTGCGGTGTATCTTAATCACTCCAGGGTGGATTTTCCCATGTTTTCGCCTGTGATGAGACACGTTGCCCTAAATACTGAAGCTCCAGGCCAAGTTAGCAGTCAAATGAGAACACTTGTTCTCATAAATGCATGCAGTCCACAAAGCTGCACGAGCGCTGGCAATTTGATAGAGATAACATGATGGAACATGATTTGTGCCAACAAAACTCTTTTGATGGAACAAATTCGTTGCATTTCTTCTGATTTTCATGCTGTTTATTCGTGACATGCTCTGTGTAAAAAGGCCGAAAGACTGATGTGTTTTGGTAAACAAGCTTTTCATCAGAGCCTGAGAGATTTGTTTTGTTGATGCGTTATTGTAACTCAAAAAAATGTCCACTGACCACAGATATCCCTTGTCAAAGATGTCCAATGCGTTCACCCTGCCCTGGCAGGCAGACCCATCTGATAAAGATATTGGTGAAGGCAGTGAAGTAGCCACCTTACTGTACCTGTACAGTGAACCTTTCCATCCCTCCACTTTCTCTCGCAACAGAAACTTTTCTCCTTTTAGTAAAGTAACACTACGGCAGACTACAAATGGACTGAAGTCCATTTCCCTTGCGTGGGCCGCCGGCTGAGGCCTGGCTCTCATTGCATTTACCGTCTCTCAGCCCAGTGTGACAGCTTCCTCCTTCACAAACACCCTTCTTCCTGCAGCTTGCTGAGATTTTACTTTGCCGCGCACATTACTCTACTCTTCTGTTATTATGCTGTGGCCCACTACAGGGTGGCCATAACATAAAGGGTTTAAAAGCAGGCATGCCTTATTAGTGGGTACTTCCTGCCCTAAAATTCCCTCAAAGTACCCTGCGGTGTGTACGCTCAAAGTGGAGTCTACATTCTGCGCTGTGCCATCGCCAAACAGCTTTTAAAGCCCTGGAAGATGTCCAAGCTCAGCAGTTGTATGCGAGGTGGGACGAGCCACTAGTTCCATATTTTTTTTAACGCTGTAAATAACTATTTGAAACTTTTCTTTTACTGGGAACTTGTTCCTCCACAGAAACATTGGAGTCTCCAGTTAGTCTTTGATTTATTTTACTTTTGTTCCTGAGATCTGCCTCTTTTACCGCCAGTTCGGTTTGGTAAATGGCTCTAAATACAACAAAACCAATTAGCCTGTGGCCAGTGTGCCGATGAAGAAGTTAGACAGAGGCCGGCAACTGAGCTGTTGCAAATTAACTGTTATCATTGTAACTGGGAACACGACATTGTGCCATAATTTCAGTCCGAATCTGAAAAAATGACTTTACGTGATTTCCTGACTTTTTGGTTCCTAGTATGTGTAAACCTTCAAAACCCTACATCCTCCCATAATGCAACTTGATTGTACACGCTCATTGCCTAGTTACCCCCCCCCCCCCCCCCCCGAGTTGGTAATACATGCGGTCTGTTAAAAAACTGCCTTGATATCCAGTCTTGGTTTGCATCACTAAGATGATAAACTGAAGAAAGCTCCACTTTTTCCATGTACTAGATATTACTATAGTAGTACTATTTTACTCATGATTGAGTAATATGCTACTCAAACGCCTCACTAAAACTAAAATCATTGCGTCTTCGCCCACCTGCTGCTCAGCCAGCTTCCTCTGAATCTCGTCGCTGTGGCAGACGTTGTAGACCACCGGCTTGGCCAGCTCCGCCTCGATGCGAGACAGCCACGTCCGCAGGTTGCTCATGTTCTTATCAAGCTGCTGCACCGTCACCAGCGTCTCCTTCAGCTTCCTCACCCTGCGGAGAGAAAAAGGGCACGTTACAGAAGGTGTCGCCGGAGTTTCGCTTGTGAAAGATCGTTGTCCCCTGAAACCTACCAAGTCCTCTGCTGATCCTCTCTTAATTGAGACTACTGAGATTAACCCCCTGTTTTTACAGTGCTACCTCTTAAATCTTACTTTTTCTTAGTGTCAACAAATTCCAGAAAAACACTAAAAGAAACATGTAATTGATCCTACTAAAAAATACTGTGCGTGTACCAAAGCCTGATGTATCCTCTTCCTCGGAGCCATAGAGCTCCACTGTTGTCCAGAAACTATTAACCCATCAGTGAGCCTTCAATCACCATGAACACACACACTGTAGTTTATTTTGACTCAGTCCCACACATACCGTCCTGCTGCCCCAAATACTCCACATTCAGCACCACATTCATCCTGCCAATGTAAATAGTTCCTAATAAATGCACCATTTCCTCCTGTTTGAGTTACCAAGTTTCCTTTTCACGCCTCAAAAACACATCAGATCTGCTGTATGTCTCATATGAGAGGACACTAAGACGCAGCGTGAACACAGCGTCACTTCACTTGTTGAGCATGGCCATCCCAGGTGAGAGTCGCACCGGCTCACCCTGCCATTGTTTGCACTACGCTCGGCTCCACGCCACAGAGTCGACATAGCGCTGTGGCGTGTTGTCACGGTGTCTGGGAAGAGCTGCTATCGCTCTCACATATGACACAACAGGAGCCATTATAGCAGAGCGGCAGGCTGACCTACATCCGACTGAGTGCTGGGTGTCTGGGAGAAGAGACCACATTCCAGTTCAGCCCTCAGGTCAGTGACCTACATCGGCTCATTCTGCAGCACAAACCCAACACAAAGCACAGAGGGTGACACTGCACCCACATGTGACGGCAGCCGGTGAGAGCATTCCACCAAAATCCAATGTGTGTGTGTGTGTGTGTGTGTGTGTGTTTGTTGTCTGGAGGTCTGTCATTGCCCTTAAATATGTTTAGGGTTATGTCTCACTGACTGTGACCCCAGTTCAGTTTATTTTGTGTTCTATAAATGTCTGTAACAATCACGATGACAATGTTCATGTTTTTAGCAGTGGAACATGCCTTTTTCCAAATCACTGAAATGAGTTCCAATGCTTTCACAGCCAGTCCTGGATCTTTGAGGCTAATGTTATCATGTCCAAATGTTTCGGTACGGATCTCTTAGATTTGGATTGTGCATGCTGGCATTCAAGACATAAAGCATCTTAGCATGTTAACATGGGTACAAGGGGCATTTTAATAAAGTAAAAGATGAACACAAACTCTATTGTATTATGCTGACTTTTTTTTTGTCAAAGCTTTTTCTCTAAGCTATCGGGGACTTAACTTTTTGAATGAAATTTAGCATCTACTTTGCTGTGCATCTCCGTAGCATAGACTTTCTACAAACCAAGAAAAACTCTTTCAAGGTAAGAGATTTGGTTTTGAGGGGATTTTCTCCTTTCCTTTACTTGATCTGAAAAAGTATTGTCTTCCTTGCGTCTAGAGGTACAGCGGCGGGCAGCAGCAACATTACCATTAATAGCACACAAGCGTAGCTGTGTGAGTGCACGTTTCCGGCTAGTTCAGACACTATTCAGCGTGTCCAGTCAGTGTCCACGTGAGCCAGCACGGCTGAATGATGCAACACACACAGCAAAGCAGCAACAAGCAGCTGTCATCTGACCGTCACTGAAGCTTGACGGTCTGTCCGAGACGCTGAATACCGTTTTGTGATTTCCATAATGAGACACAATTAACAATCTAAGATGCTGGCGCTGCAGTGACATAGACTGTGGGGGGCGGGGGGGGTTCCTGTCCTGTTTTTGGCTCCTGATGCATCTGCATGCATGTGTTTGTGTGTCTGTGTGTGTGCCTGCAGGTGTGAGCTCAGTGTTGCATGACTCTACAGTACATGAGGACAGCAAATGGAGGGGCGGAGAGAAAAAATCAGTGACATAAAAACATGCTGCTGTGATTGTAGACTGACATATATAGGCACACACGCGCACACACACACACACACACACACACCTGCTGTCCAAGCTGCCAGTCTAAATACCAACACACACAAGACGACTCGAGCTGGCGATCTGCATTGAATTTCCTCGGCATGCATCTGCCTGCACCGACAAAGCCTGGCCCATCCCCCTTCGCTCCTGCTCTCAGTGTCTCCACCTCCTCCTCCTTCTCTTTACCACAACAAAACACCCGATCTGCTCCCCTTTCCCCCTCGTCTGCCTCCTCAGCCTCACGCTAGCCCGGTGTGCCGGGGCGTGATGAGGGCTCAGGATCGTACTTACAGGGCTGGTGAGGAGGCAACTCCATGGCGATGGCGCATCCGCTAGCAAGCGCTGCCCCCCCCCACCTCCAACATCCCTTCCTTCCTCTATAGGCTGCCTGTCCTCTCCTCCTCCTCCTCCTCCTCCTCCTATCTGTCCAAACATCTGGCTGCAGTAACAGGTTCACTCGAGGATACTCATCATAAGGAACTCCTTTGTAAAATGTATTATTATTATTATTATAACAACTCATTATTAGTTATTATTTTTAAAATTAATATATAAATGGTTTAGTTAAAAAGGTTATAAAACGGTATATAAAACTGAAAAGTTCTTTGCCTTTTGCTTTATAATCAAACAATTACTTTTTCAAAATTGCTTATGGTTGTGTGTTGTATGTTTCTGTTAACTGATCATCTAAAAAACAATAATAAAACAAAATAAATGTCTTATCCACTGCTCCATCGCCCAAGCCACAGATCTGGATGATTTTGGTGAACTGACCCTTTAAGACTAATCTAGATCAACACTGTAAACATCCTTTACCCCTCAAGGGAAACCTCTGAAACGTTTACGCTTCAAGTTACATCTTTGGATTTCACATATTCCAAAAAAATTTAACTATGTAAATGTGGATAAAAACACGGAAAATCTGAAGACAGTTTTAAATTATCATAAAGTACATTTAAGTGCTGCTAAATGTGTGTCTCCAAACATACACACACACACACACACACACAGATTCAGGCCAACTTTTTTGAGGCACTTAAGTGCAGAAAGAGGCTGGAAACAATTTGAAAAACTGTACTATCACTTTACAGCCGGCACTGTCCTGCAACAACAAACACAGCCAACAAAGTGGAACAAAGTAACAGCAGCCTATTAAAGTTAGTCCAGCAGATTACAGGTACGGCTGTCGATTGCTGTTACTGTCGTCGGACACAACCTCGGACATTGGATACGACGTTACAGCCGGCCGGAGCTGTTGACACAGACAGACCCAGCGGGGAACCTCTGTCTGAAAAACCTCCATCTGCCACCTTCTTCCATTTCAAATAAAGTAGCCTGGGGTTCAGAGCGCCGAGAGCAAGTAATACATTACAGGACTGAATCATGAAGATCAGTGAAGTCAACAACGGGTGGAGGAGAAGAAGGAAGAATGACACACACAGAAACTGACATAAAACTGTTCAAAGAAAGAAAAGAAGAATGTAAATCTAAAGCCCTTTTCAGAAAAGGAACATATAAAATTGCCGGCTTTGTCTGTCTGTTACAGTAACAGCTGTTTGTCAGCATCCATAACGTAAATTGCTTTATTCAGACACAACGATTGTGTTATAATTGGCACCTGGTGCGAGAGAGACGGAGCAGTTGTACGTGTTTTCTTTTCTCTCACAGGCTGCATAACTAACAGACTTTAAAACATTTTGTCATTTAAATCTTCAATGATCATCTTTAGCCACAGCATCTCATCATTTATTAGAGAACACTGCAGCCTGTTTCATAATGTCCAATAGGGCACAAGCACAGAAGGAGAAGACCTTGAGTTCATTCTGTCATGCAGCTGGCGTGGCTGGGAAATAAAAGTGTTTGGAACATTAAAATGGTCTCATGGAGTTTATTAAACTTGAGTTCTTTGTGTGGGATCTTGAAAAGGTGAACATATCTAGTATCTCACCTTGTGCTGCTGTGGTCCACATGATAATCTGACAGCATTCACATCAAAAGTGATGTGGGCACCAAAAAGTTTGCATCACAAGCTGCGTGTCTGAACGTGGCTTTAGGATACAGATGTTGGAAGCTTTACACTTACACATCTGCATTGTCAGCTGATGACTAAAACACACTACAGTCCTGATAACAGGTATCAGTCAAACCACCTCCTCATTCACTCAGAGGTTCTCACTCTGTAGTGAACAGAAAGATGAGATAACCGATCATCAGGTGTAGTGTGGCAGGACTGTTAGCTCTTCAGTTATCTAAAACTTAAGTCAGTGTCTCAGAATTCAACTATTTAAAAACTAGGTACTGTCACTCCACGCATCCCAGGTTAACGGTATCGACTTAGTAACACATTTCTCATCTGCTAAGAGTTCCTCTTCAACAGAATTAGTCGTTTTTGTGCATGTATGTGTGTGAGCAGCCGAGGAAGTAATTGTTACGATAGCATATGGGCCAAAGTTATCTATCAAAGCTGCCGGTTTTCTTTTCATTAGGACAGCCTTAAAAGTTGGATTTGGGAAGAAAGACACTTGTTACACAAACACGCCAGAAATCACAGAGCAACTTGAAACCTGTAGGCTCAAATCTCTAATTCGTCGTATTTGCCATCACACACACTTTTACTTCCATCTTTATGAGGATTGTCACTGACCCCCCCTCTATATTTCAACACAAACAAACATTTAACTCCTGGGCAACTCCATCTTTCCACTCACAATCCCTTGTTCAAACTTAACAAATCACTGTAGTAACTCTCTTCGAGCCCGGGCCAGCGACATGAGAAGTAGGGCGTTGTCGCCATGGCGACCAGATCCACAACCACTTGAAAACAGGGCCGAGTGCTCGTGAGTATTGTTTTTATGTCAGCATTAAACTGCCAAAGAACCAAATGTGAGCGCGCCACTTTAAATTAACGACCCGACAAACTGCAATTTAAAAAACAAAAACACACTATGTGACAATAAGAGAAGTAGATTTGCTCTACCAGGTGTGAGGAGACGGGGAAGGCCGTGGAGCAGGGCGATTGTTTTTTGAAAGACAAACATCTGCCTGGTGTGCATCTTATTCAGACAATGAGAGGAGAGGATGGTGGCCCCCGGTGGCCCCAAGGCTGAGGGACTGCCAGCACAAAGGCTCGTGTCAGCAGACAGCAGCTGCTGGGACGGGGTGACGGAGCACCGGTTGGTTTTGGGGGACAAAGGCGAGCAGCGGGCCAGTGTCAACGCATCTAATCCCTCGGCAAGTCAAACCTCAGCAGTCATCTGCCGTAACTTCGATTCAGACAAAGGCTGAGGGACGCCGCTCATCACCGACTCTGAATCAGCTCCTTTTGAGCCCCATCAGTGCTTATCAAAACGTGTGACACAGTACTGCAGGACTCTGGCGCTGGACCAACCCGTGGAAACAGTGACCCGCTTCATGTCTGTGACGTAAACTGCTTCTTTTCATGCTGTACAGAAGAGGATTGTGATGGAGAGAAACAGTGAAACAGAGAGACCGGGTGTTAAGACGGAGTTTGTTTGTAATTACAATAATTAATAACACTTTTTCTTAATTGTCTTTGTGGAATAGTATGCACAGAGTCTGTCTTCCTCCAGGTGGAGGAGAAGAGGTTGTGTGGCTCAGGTCTGTTTGGCGACACCTGAAGATGCTTAACTTCCCTCCCGGATCCATATTTTTCATATATTACAATCTAAAATTTGTCGTCCTGATGGTCCATACTTTAATTAAGTCAGTCTATTCTGTACTTGCCAACAAGACACACACTAAACAAAATGAGTTGTTTGGACTCTAATGCTTTTGGGGCTTCATGAAAAGACTTTAATTCAGCCTTTTTGCACCTAGTGGCCATTAGTGGCACTGCACCTTTAAGTATTTCTTGTTTAGGTTCAGCTTTCAGTTAATAGTGCGATTTAGTGGTAGAAAGATTTTTTATTACAAAGTGATGGTGTAATCAGCACCTTAATTCTAGCAAGCTGCTTGCAGCATGTTTGATTGGCTCAGCCTGCGGAGCCTGGGTGGATTAGGCCACTGGGGGGTTAAGTGAAGAGTGGAGCCCAGTGATCTACACAGCTACATTTAACCAAAACACACACACTTGCAGCTTTGATTAGTCACAGTGCTTAGATTCATCAACACATTATTGTTATCAATAAAGTTGGTCATCATTAATTAATTGCTGAGCTTGCGAAAAACACTGAATAATCTAATTTCATCCTTTTCTTTTACCAAACTGCTCTGATGCTTCGAGGTGTGAACAGCATGAACGTCACAATGGTGAAATGGTTCCCTCAGCCTGTTAAGCAGCTTGTGAAGACCCTTGTGAAGACACTCCCCACGTTTATCAGCTTAGTGGGTTTTCACCCCCTCACCGGTCTGCAACAGTAGATGCTGAGCCTTCAGATGACCACTCACAATACTTTTACGTGTTACACATATTCAGTGAAGTGCTAATAAGTAAGGACCTTTGTTCTTCCAACGTTGTGTCAACATTGTGAGAAAGGCCCTTTCTTGTTTCAATGTGACAGCCGCTCCTACACAAAGCCGGCTCCACAAAGAAGAGGTTTTCACACATTGGCACACACAACTTGACTGGGCTGTACTGAACCTCGACCACAAGCCCATCCAGCACCTTTGGTGCCTGCAAGCCAATCAGAAACGGTGGTCAGATAAAATCTAAAATCAAGAGTTTGACAACTGCACATTCCATCACAGACACGAGGCTCGTGCCTCAGCAACAGCTCATTAACAGGCTTAGCCTCGTTATGTTGGTCAGTCCCTGAGGGGACGGGGGGGCAGCTGAGGGAAGGGTAAATCCTACTATTGTGTGTCGCACTCCCTCTACACTCCAGTCCCCCTTCTATTATTAAAGACGGAGGGCACATCTCTATACTAACAACCTGTCAGTCAAGACAAAGACCCTGGTAACTGTTCAAGTTTAGTCCTTCTCAGGCCGAGTCTACATTTAATAATGTGCCATTATATGGGCTCGTGTTCACCAGAACAATCAATGTGAACTGAGAGGTATTCCTCATTTACCACAGAAGGTAAAACAAAAAACATCTTGAAAGGAAATTGACTACTTCTTCATGCACCGTTACAGCGGCAATAGAACATTGGAAACAAAGCGTTCCAAGTGGAGCTTTTGTTAGTAAATCACTTGTCCTACACAGACACAAGCCTCAGAGACAAGAGATCGTCTGACATTTATACAGATAAATCATTCATACCAATAAGAAATTCAGAATTTAGTCTTAAAACAAACTTATTAAGATGAACTTCAAGCTAAAATTCTCCTTTGAGTTTAAAATGTGAAAGAAAAACAGAGCCTGAGAGGACACATAGTGGCCAGAGTCTCTAAACAGCCACCATATGGCAGATCTAAGTCAGTCCTTCTCATGGAGGATAAGTCCCCTCCTCAGCCCCCTCCCTCTGGACTGGTTTAACCCATCTGGCTCCAACAAAACATTCCACTGCCTCTCAACTCGACTCAGCCCAGGTCAATTTACTGCAATTTGCTGTTTGGAATTTATGAACTTGCCGTCTACCAGACATGGAGTCGTTTATAGTCACCAAACAGGCAATTTACAGGAGCAGACTCCAATAAATAATCAGTTTCGACTCGCTGTCCTGTTGTTTGCCAGAGATGTACCGGTAATTGTTGTGCACTTCCCCACCCTGCATCCATTCTGCTGCACAGAAAGCCAAAAATAATTACTGTACTGTCTGACCATGGGAAAGCCAAGTTACTGAGGCAGAGCAGGAAAGCTCTAAAATCCTCCGCTAATGCATGGTACCCTTTTCTGAAACCTCGTTAGTGATGAGGACACGTCACTGTTAGACAAAAATCAAATCAGAACAGTGAAAGCAGACTTTAGAAAGAAGATTCTTATTATGGCATCACTTTGTGATTGACATAGGACTTTTAAAAGTCAAAATCTGCAACCTTTTATTGTCGACTTGTGGTTGTTTTCCTGCTCCATGTGTCGGATAAAATCCAAGCAGTGCTTTCCCTTTAAAAAACCCTTGAACCACCTTGTGCATTTCTGATCTGTTTGTATGGAAAAGAAAAACAACTTAAACTCCAAGAAAAATCCCAAAGCAGAAATCATCACGCTGTTGATCGACAGGTGAAGTGCAGAAATGCAGAGAAGACACTCCGAGTAACTTCGCACCAAACACGGAGGTAAATTTAATTTGTAATGAATCAAGTCACCCCTGAGAGACTATTGCCGAGTTACTCTTTAGCATGACACTGACCCAGGAATATCAGTAGTAGCTATGGAGGAGGCTTGTCATACATTTTACTGGAATAATATTAGGAGTCTGAAGAGGTAACATTATCCTTTGATTCAAAAGACAAAAGCAAAGATTACAAGTCTTTGTATGGCAGAAATATGTTCTTTCTGCTTTCCAATCTCGTTAATCATCTTGCATGCCTTCAGATTGATCTTGCGACCTCTTTTGGGGTCCCAACATCCAACTTTAAAAGCAGTGCTGTAATGCGGCTACGGCCTATTGCCTTCAGATGTGGTCGGCAAACCTAGAGTCAAACTGAGGCCTTAACTCATCAGTGTGATGTGTCAAACAGCAGTGGACCAGACAATAGGTTCATGATCATCTCACTGTTTACATTCACCTTGTCCTTGTACCCATCAGTCAGTCACATTGCACAAAGCTGACTGCCGTAGATCAGCAGTAAAGAGAAGGTAAGCTGATGCATGAATATTTCCACTCCTCTGTGTGTTGGAACGAGATTTGCATTTAGTAATGGATTAATAATAACAGCATCTCTATCCTCTGTTGGCTCTGAGCTTTTCTGCTTTAATCTGCAGCCACAGTAGAACAGCAGCTGTGCCCTGGCTGCTCCCATTCTCTGAGGTGAAACCAGCAACACACACATAAAGCAGAAGCAGTAAACGACAAGGGCTTGTACAACAAAGACAAAAGAAAGAACGGAGAGATTTGATGAGAAATTGCACTGGTCACACATCACGTAGGAGGAGTTAGTGGACAATTCTGACTTTACTATGGAACCGTTGTCACGGTGTTGAAGCAGTGCTGAATGAGTAACTTCACTGCTCTCTATCGATCAATAACTATAAGCGCTTCTTGGAAACTGCAGCCTTGTACAACAGCTTCTCTTTCTTATAGAGTCATATGTCAGTTATTAAAAAACTGTGATGAGATATCCTATGAAATGGTGGGGAGACATAATGTTCTGGTCAGCGACTGGTGCACACAAATCACTGGTATTAATGAAAAGGGACTAAAGCTAGAGGTCCTATATTAAAAGATAATCCCTACAGTTTACCTTTAAGGATTTCTTAACCTCAGCTTCAACAGCTGGACTTCATCAGACAGCTGATTTAAGCTGTATCCTAATGTTGTTATGCTAAATGCTACGCCAAGCTAACATAGCTACAGTTAGCATACAACATGCATGTGCACAACTATGTTTATGTTCAGTTCAGCAGGTTGTATCTAATATTTAGGTAGCATGCTAATTAAATGTTAACATGCTAAAAGCTCAAGTTGTACTTGTACCGATGTTTTCAAAGCCGTGAGGGTCGGTGTGAGGCAAATTTCATCATCTGCTCATGTCCAAAATGCCACAAACCTGTTATATAGGCACGTTACCATAACCTAACGTGTCCTCAATAATGTATGCATTTTAGAATGCTAATATTTGCATCCAACAGTTGTTAAGATATTTAACTATGAAACAAAGTGATGGATCAACACACCATACCCCAAGCCGCAACGCTACCATGGCTAAAATGAAATAAATCATAAAAACTTAAATTTTACAGGATGTTCTAGCAAGACGCCGACACACAGTTCATCCTTTCACGCTGTCTTTTCTTACCTGGCCTCTATGTGGTCAAACAGATGCTGCCAGCGGTCGTTGACGTCCTTCAGCTTGTCATTGATCTCCGTCTCTTTGGCCTTGTTGCTTGCTGTAATGAGTTGTTCTCCGAGCTGCTTCAGATGGGTTTTATTCTCACTGAACAAGTTGATCTCCTCCATACAGTCCTAACGGAGGAACACAGAACAAAGAGGACGGAGTCAAGTGCATGCAGGTTCACCTTTCAAAGCACAGTGATTATGTGTTTCACATATCTAATCATTTCTCTACATGATTACTATTCATCTGTGAGTCTGACATTAAGGGTTTGGCCTCTAGAATGGCTTCAACCATAGTTTTATAATTTAACTTTAAAAAGTTGGTAACCTATTCTCCTGAAACAAAACGTTAATACCCTTAACTCACTTCACTATAAGCAAGTCAACATGATCATTTCTGACTTTGGATCTTTGCCAGGAAGTAACTCCTGCCAAGAGTCTGTGTGCCAGGGCAAGACACTAAATTTAAATCTCCAGTGCCTGAAAAGGTTTAAACCCCCTGTCAGGGTAATAAGTTTGGGTTTCTATAAGAGCAATTGCCGCCCCCCCCCCCTCCCCCACACCGTGACAAATGAAAAGTGCTGTGAGCTCGACACAAAACAAACCCGCGTGGCCCTGCTGGGGCTCAAACAGCTGTCGTCTCTTTAACAATCAGGAGGGAATTCACAGCTTTTTGAAAAGCCCAGACTGTCCCTCCACCACCCGGCCGAGCGACACACCATAATAAACTAAACATTTAAACAAAGCCAACCTGCACGTTCCACTTCATATTTAAACTTTTGATCCTGATGATTTGAGGATTTTGTATCCGGAGCTTGAACACCACATCAGAACCACACCACTGTAGAACTATTAATGTTCACTACAACAAATATCACGACATAACTAGAAAGCACCTGAGCAAGCTGGAGAAACAGAACGGAGGAAGAGGTGTAAATACTGAGAAAGTTGAACAAAGAAAAAGCTAATGCTGATTAACTGACTGACCTGGTGTCCAGCATTCATATAATGGAGAGGATTACGTACAACTTGAGAACCCTGGAGGACACGTTTGTTTACATTAAAACATATTTCATAAATGCGCCGTCCAGTGTCATTTTTAGCCAACCATTCTAGGTGTATGCTATTTTTTTAAATCCATCTACCTCCCATATTTTCCCCCTTTACGTTCAAAAGGCTTCTCTTGTTTATATTGTTTGTTACTGTGCGTTCATGCTTTCTGCAAAATAAATAGAACTAGAACGCACTCACAGCCTGCAGCACAATCTTCAAAATTACTATTTTAACAATAAATAATGTGAAATGTTTTATGTGCATTTGGATATTGATCAAAACACATATAGTGATATACAATCACGGGATACATGTGCCTGATTTCTTAAATTAAAAGCACCAAAAACTAACCACTTGCTTCTTGGCTCCTGTCAGGACTTTCTACCAAACAATTCTGACACATTTTAAAGACATCCTGCTAACAAACAAAAAAAACACAGACAATGGAACCAAAAAGATAACCTCCTTGAAACTCTGAAGTCATTCTGCACAAATGTTTTACCTTTTGCACACACAAACAGATGTAGCTACATCTTTCTCAGTTGAGTTTATTGTTTAAACTTTAGACCAATCAAGGAAGTGTCTCATTCACACAGCAAACTTTGATCATCAGCTGTGAGGATCAGCAGATGAATTTACAGCCATCTAAATGTGTGAAGTGACAGTAATCCAATCTTCAAGCCATTAAAACTGCTGGGTAAGATACCTATTGTTATCACAATATCCTCCTACCTTCTTGAGTTTCTCCACCATTTCCTCGATGTTGAGGTCGGAGTTGTGCGCCACCTTGTTCTCCATCTGAGTCAGCCACTCACACAGCTCCTTGTTCTTCTCATTAAAGATGATCCAGGCGTTCAGACGGTCTGCAATCTCCTGTTTACGCAGAGACACCTGACAAAAGAGGATTGGAAGAAATAAATTAAATAAGCTTTATTACTCTAAAGATGCTTAGTCTGTACTGTCGGCCTAATCTATGTCTTATTATGACTGATACAAATGCACCCTGGCATATAATTTAAACATCATTTTAATTTATTTTGTGATTAATTAGACTGTGAGTGGTTTGTAAAATGGGAGTGGGAATAATATGTAACACAGATACAACTTTAAATGCTCCTAAATTAAGAATAATTGTGCCCAAAGTTTCAGAAACAATGAAAAGCTGGTATAAAAATTCTAATTTCATAAGAGTGTCGGGTTTGTAGCACTGGGTTAGGCTTCACAAAGTAACAGGATATGCCTCTAAAAAAGGCTTTCGTTACAAAATTACACTGAATTGTGTGCTGTGTTTAAAGTGTGGCGAAGAGCTTCACTTAACCAAGAGAGGCTGATCGCTGGCAGAGCAGCAGAAACCAAATTAATAGTGGTGTGGCATTTCAGGAGCAGCAGGAAAGCAGAGGGAGCTGCAGTGTGTTCGTTTAGTTCTAACTGACTGCTGGATCGGCTCTAAATGCTGCTGTCAGATTTCACTCAGCCACTTTAAACAGGAGGCATGGTGTGGATGAGACCGTCCCAAACAGGACTACACGTACAAAAATGCACAAACACACAGAGAGGAAAAAGTGAAAGCCAGTATCATCACTTCGACTCCCCCTCCCCCAAACTCATTTCAATACAAAAGCTGAAGCCTCACTGCTCATTACAACATCTCTCTCCTGTCACCATCTGTTCACCCATCCCCACAAAGCCCCCCCCCCAACCCAAACCTGTTGGTTTCATCAGTCAGATCTACAAACTTAACTCCTCATTAAAGGCTTAGACTTTTAACACCGATGACCAGAAAACTGCCAAAGAAACCATGAACTCTGTGCACAGAATGCAGTACAGCATAAACACTGCAGGTGTTTGAGGCTCACAAACAAAACACAAACTGAGTGACTGTTTGTGCTGAGCTGGTTACATATGTTAGCTCTTAAATGAAGAACTTTCCACAAGCAGCTGTCTTATAGCTTGATTTTCAAACAACATCTATGGTGGACTTTAAGGAACGTAGGAGAGATTTTAAAAATGGGTCTCCACAGAAGAAAAGTTTGACAACCACTGTGCACTTTATATGAACTCTAGCCATAACAGATCTTTGCCAGCGATACCTTGAAATGACTTCCCGTTGTGATTTAATATAAACGAAATTACACATGTTCTTTTCTAATGGTCTTTCCAGCAGGACAGTCAATACCAACTCATGCTGTGCAGCCACACATTGTTCAAAGTCACAGAATTTTATAAAAGATTTAGTGTAGATCCCAAAGTTTCCAGATACCAAATATGCCAGGACGAATTTGGGGAAATGTGTATAAAATGATGCACGAGACAACTAGAATATTTCTATTTGATTGAATGGAGCAGCCATAAAAAAACAGAAGTCTGGAACAGCCTGGTGAAAAACATCTTCATGATGGTGTCAGATACCGTGGAATAAGAGGAGTTTTTCCAAACTTAAAGATACTGAATATTGAAGGAAAGGAAAGATGGGTCCTCAAGAAAGAAAACAAGTCGGCTGACCATCGTCACTGTGCACTTTAGATGATTTATATATGAATCTCTGCAAGTGATATCTTGAAACTACTTTCCTGGGTTACATAACTGCATTTGATTCAAGCCAGATAACACATATCACTTCAAATACACTCATCACTCATATTCGGTTGAATATGAATTATCCTGTGAACTTGGTGAACTGTCATGTTTTGCCAACTTAAAATGGTAAACCACACAGACGTACAAAGTAAAATACTTTCACAACTGTGCACTAGTCAGCATCACCTACTAAATCTAATCTAGTAAGGAATCCAAAGGTCAGGAGCCCAGTGAAATAAAGTTATTGATGTAAGCGTTTAAAAAAGTAACAGCAATAAAGCAGTAGTAGCTCATTTGATCAGGTAAAAGGGCTGTGACTGGAGGACAACCAGTCAAGAGCCGGCAGACTAACCTTGAGGCAGAGTTCCTCCCACTGACAGTGCAGGTGCTCCACCTGCTCCTGCAGCAGCAGGACATCGTCGGCGATGATGTACTGGGACAGATCCGCCTTCATGGTGCTCAGCTCAGTCAGGCTCTCAGCCCAGTCCTCCAGGGAGTCCTCGTTCTCCTGCATACCATAACACATCGACTGTCACAGGAAACCGTCAGGGACCCCCCTCCACAGCTCGCTCCCTCACAGCTACCCCCTAATGTCTCTCTCTGCCCGGCCCCTTTCTCTTTCTCTCCCCCTCTCTGTCACTCTTTTCTCTCTCTTTCTCCCCGCCCAGAGAGAGGATTAAAGGCCATAGGCTGCAGGCCGGGCCGGGGGAGGGGTGGCGGTGTGTATGAGGAATAAAGGCTGTGATGGGTCAAAGAGGATACGTTGAGTCAAACCTGTTGTTTCAAACTTGGCTTCGCTCTCCTGAAGCTCTAACTGGCCTCCAAACTCAAACGGCCTGAAGGCTACATGTCTGTTTGTTCATCCACTGTTTCCTGTTGCCCTTGCACCATGTCACAAGCTCATTTATCCAACTGTTCCGCCTGCAGGACACTAGCACCATGTAGAAGTTTCACAGACTGCTAATACTATAAAAAGGAAGTTACATAAATATGAGCATGTAATATAATGTGGAGTAATAATGTATGTCCACATTTTGGGAAATATTTTTTAGTTTTCTTGCTGAGAGTGAGACGAGAAGATAAATATCACTTTAAAATCTGCCTGTTTAATATGAAGCTACCTACGGTTAGCATAGCTTAGGCTAGACACTGGAAATAGATGTAAACAGCTAACCTGACAGAAAGTGTAAAAAGAAGCAAAAGGGAAGAGATGCGGTTTTGTGCTGGAACCAACAGCAGTGACTTCCTGCACTGTAAAAACTAAAATCTAAGTAAGATTAATTATCTTAATTGAAGAAAAAAATATCCTTGTTTTTTGTCTGACAAGATATTTCTTCTTACCAGGCGGCTTTTATGTTAAAGAAGTTCACTTGTTTCAAGTTTTTTTGTCCTTAAGTAACAAGTGAAATATTCTTGTTCTGTTGGCAGATAATTTTGCTTATTTTAAGTAATATTTCCCCCATTTCATTGCTTTTTTCCCTTGTTTTTGAGAGCTCAGTTTTTGCAGTGTGGTAGATTTTGTTTCCTTTTCAGTCTTAATGCTAAGCTAACCGTCTCCTGCCTCTGTCTCCATATTAAGTGTGGAGACAATAAAGTGGTATTGGTCCTTTCATCTGACTCTCGGCAAAAAAGTAAATTTATAAATATGGAAATTCTTCCTGAATTCCAACCTACAACTAAAGGAAAAACATTTCTGACTCAATACATCACACAACCATCAGAGCAGCTTTAGAAGAACTCATCCTCCCGAGGTTCTCTAACTGAGCAAAGCCAAAGAACTACCTCGTCTGAGCGCTAACTGACTGCACAGAGGGAGTTCTCGTCAAAATATATAAAAATGGAATTGTCAGGTCTCGGCTAAACCCACTTTGGGTTTAGGTTTAACTCAGCCAATGAGATTACTGCTGCCTCCAGAGTGTCTCTGCATCTCCACTGAATGTTTTGTATAATAAACTCAGTGGGTGTGATATATTGCGTGTTTTGATTTGTGCGACCAGCTGTTTGTACCTTGGTGAATTTCTCCGCACGCTGCAGCTCGTCGTCAAACTCCGGCATCGACTGATTCAGTCTGGTTTTCATGTCCTTCAGCTGCAGCATGCTGTCTGCTAGTCCGGCCTCGCAGCGGTCCCAGTTCTGTGACACAATAAAAAAGTTTTTTTTAGAAACGCATTGATCATCCAGATATAGAATACAATGGGTTCTTAAATAGTTGAGTGGCTTAGAGAGCGCACTCCTTAGTCGGTGACTTCCTAAACATGCCCGCTGTCGTTAATTAGAGCAGATTGGATTAACTTGGCCGTTCTCATGCAAACACAAACGGTCAGAGGCGACAGATGGAGGACGGAGGATTCAGATCTACAGTCAGAGAGGATAGGTGTCTCTCCAGGTTGAAAAACAAAAACTTAACTCTGCTATCAGACTTGCGAATCGCGTCTACCTGCAGCTCACTTAGGGCAGCGAGGAGACACTGAAAGCAGCAGATTTATAAAAGACTGCTGTGATGTTTTTGTACTAATTTTCTTTCCTATTCCCTCTTTTTAATGCTCTGGTTTCTTCTACCATGTTCCTCGTTTCTTTTGGGGAGTTTTTCCTCATCTGAATAGAGGGTCTAAGAAGTTGGACAGAAGCCCCTTGAGGCACATTTGTGATACTGGGCTACAGAAATAAATCAACTATGCTATAATGAGCCTTTTCTGTAACATGTATGCTTCATCATACATTTAGCGGGTCCACTGTATGAATGTAAAACATGGAGGACAATCTGGAAACTGTGGGCTACGATGGAACAAAAACGTTATTTTTCTGATTATTTTATTTTGAATTTTGTTGAAAATGTGTCTAATAAATAGGACAGGATCCACAGAAGCTGATGAAACTGTGTCAGGGGACCAACGGAGCAGCGCTCTCACTGCTGGACACTGTGGGTCAACAGATATTGAGTGTGTATATCCAGTGGAATCTGACCCTCCTGATTTTATTGACTGGAGCCTACTGGTTTGAGAAAAGCTCACAGGCCAAACGCATATGGGTCATATTTGAGGAGAAGATTACATTTCTACTTTGTCAAAAACATCATAGAAAAGGAAACTAAATCTTTGGTCTATAAATAGCTCAGTTGTTACAGACCAGATTTTCTGCACTTTACTGGTTGATATTCTGTACATTTTTGTTACTGTCAGATTTTTGTTTTTGAATTGCACTGTGTGCTCAGCTGGTACTGTCTCAAACTGACAAAAACCACAGATAAATATTTTTATAATTTCTTAAGGACTTATGGAGGCAAGTTTTGTAATTCTGTTGGAATAAAATTCAAACATCTTCATTCCATAGAAGAAAAACATCAATTACAGTGCGTTGTAATGGATCTATTATTTTTATTATTGATTATTATAGAAAATGTTTCCAATTAAACTATTAATCATTTGCCAATAAAACATAGTAAATGTAACAGTAAGAAATGCCAATATGTCTATACATAGGTTGTATTGCACAACAAAACAGTCCATATTCTATTTTCAATGACATGAAGCAGAGAAAAGCAGCAAAACTTTACATTTGTGAAGATGGCACCAGAGAATATTTGAGTGTTTTTCTGGCAGCACTAGATACCCTCTTTTCTGCCTTGACAACATGAGCATTTCAATTTCATTCCAAGCCAGGTCCACGACCAGGACCTTGGTGTTTGAGTCCAGAAAGTAAAGAAGTAAGGTCAGTTAAAACCAAGCCATCCTAGAAACAAACTTCAGCCAACATTTCAGGAAATTCAGGTGAATGAGCTCAGAACTATCTTGCAGTGAAACAAACGTCCAAGATGTTCCTGAAAGCATCACTTTAGCTGCTGCAACAAGAACGTGACAGGGAGTGCACGAGTACCTTGACGATAGCCTCGGTGAGTTCCATCCTCCGGCCCAGCAGGCTGTGCAGGCTGTCCCACTCCTCCTGCAGGGTTCCCAGATCCGTCTGCAGCCGAGTCTGGGTTTCCTCGTCCCCCATGGAAAAGAGCTGCCGACCGACTTCCAGAGTGTGGATGAAACTGCACTGATACCTCTGGAACAGCAGCTCTGTGTGCTGAGGAGCAGAATAGAGAAAGGACAAAAACTGTTAAAAAGGTTTAAACTGGTCCCTTTTATTGAGGAGCAGCTATCAGTTTATTGTGTTTCCAGTCAATTCAAATCTCATCTCCTCTTTTCATGGTAATCAAAGGCACATGAAGAATCAGAAAGGAAACTCTTTTGTCTGTTGATGTAAATCTAATCAGCAGTCGTTTCTTAAATCTGATGTTTTCTCTCTGTGGTGGTAATTACTGGTCTTAAATCGGAATTTACAACCATTTTACAGACCATCAGCTCTCTGCAGGGATCTTTTACAGTGCTGAAAGTGTGGTTGTTTCTGGGTTTGTTAAGGTCTGAAAAGTGCACAAAGTAGTTGTTAAAATTAGCGACAGAGGTGGAAAGTCACCTTCAGTCAAGCACAGAGCGTGTGGTTCTTGCAGTTGTTCAGTTTTAGATGGAAAACTTCTACTCAAAAACAGAAATTGTATGAAAGACGGAGACAACATTTTAAAAATCTCCTCATGTTAGATACATCCACTCCAAACATGCTATTAAAGCCCAGATGCTGTAATCTCGCACTGGGACTCTGTGTGCTTTCAAATATTTTTCTGTCCTTGACGGTTAAAGATGTTTTTCATCACAGCCTGGCTGGAATCTAATCCGATGAAGGTTCGTCACCAAACCAGTTTTTATGTCCCTGTAAAGTGACTTTATTATAAATTATTTCTTGTCCACTAACTCCCTCACAAAACTATTTAATTTCCTAATTTTCCCGTCGATGTCTTGTCTCACCTGGAGGTCCTGGAGGGAGCGTCGTAGCTGTTGCAAGCTGCAGTGGGCTGGTCCAGCAGGGGGAAGGAGGGTCTGAGTGACCGACAGGAATCTCTGCAGCTTCCTCAGGCTGCGGCTGTACAGGTGCCAGTGCTTCACCAGCCCCTCCACCAGGGAGCGCCGCTGGTCCGCCCGCTGCACCGCCCCCTGCCAGTGTTCCCTGAGCTGGGCAAGCTTCAGGATGAAGTCACTCCTGGATACACAGTATAACACAGTTCAATGTCCATTTAAGATTAGATATTTACCATTTAAAATCATTTCCTCAAAGGCACAAATCTAACCTGTATACCGAGTCACAGGTCAAATGTGTGGAAGCAGGGTCACAAAGCGGAGCGAGTCAAAATATGCAAATTATCTTTAAAAAAACGAAAAGCATTGAAAACGTTTTTCCAGCTAGCAGAGAAATTATTTTACTGAATAATGCAGGTTCTAATTTAAGTAGGTGAGATTTTAAACAATTTACCAAAACAAAATAGTGAAATACAATAAAAACAGGAGCTCTTTGGACTGAGCATGACAAAAAGTGTGTTAGCATTAAAAGGCTATAAACATTTAGGGGTCACAACGTTAGCATTGTATTGTAACTGCTGCATGATACATTTAGCATGTAGTGAGCTTCAAGTCAGTAAGTTTAAGCATTCTAACTTTTAAGTTTGCTAACAGCTAATGTAAGCATGTTAATGGGGTGGCGATGGCGCAATGAATAAGATTATGCCTTTGGTGTGAAAGACCCGGGTTCAATCCCCCACTGTGACACATCCACCATTGTGTCCCTGAGCAAGACACTTAACCCCTCGTTGCTCCAGAGGCGTGCGACCTCTGACATGTATAGCAATTGTAAGTCGCTTTGGATAAAAGCGTCGGCTAAATGAATAAATGTAAATGTATGAAGTTAGCATTTAAGAATTGATTAGTATGAATCATTAGAGATTTATTTAGTAACTTTTAGCATGTTGTCTATGAAGATTCTCAGTCATCCAGGTCATAGTTATCCAACGAAGGTTAAAGTCAAGGGCAACTGGACTTGGTTGAAGGTACTGGAAGACGTTTCGTCCCTCATCCAAAGGACTTCTTCAGTTCTGACTGACTGGCAGGGAAACTCAGCTATTTAACCTCAGTGGGGTCGTTATCCCGGGTCATCGATACCGCTGGTTCGTTAGTGTTCCTGGTTGCTGTGACGACAGTCGTTACAGTCGTTAAGACTACCTGTGGCCAAGACTGAACGACCATCGTTGGTATCTTCACCTGAGGCCAATAGGTTACGTTTGTTGAGTTTCCTGGGAAGTGATGAAAGGACAGCATTGTAAGTGGGGGATAAGTGGTGGCGTAGACCCCCTCCCCTGTTCAATGACGGCTTCTCAACCCTGGTGTAGATGCTTCCTTGACACCTCTTTCAAACCATCCATCTTCTCTGTCTAAAATGTGCACCTGCTGGTCCTCAAACGAGTGTCTTCTGTCCTTCAGATGTAAGTAGACTGCATGTTAGGCGCATTGAACATGCTCTGAGCCTTAGGCCTGAACCAATGCAAAAAGGGTGATGTGTAAAGTTCTCCCTGGATCCCCTGTCACATTTTGGCTTCCCATTGCACCTCGACACCGTTTCCTCTTTAAAGCTGAACTGATTTCAACTTTTTCACTCACAAAAAGTTGAGTGTGTGTGACAGTGCTAGCACCGCCCGAACACTTTGAGCCACATACCGGTGTGTCCACTTCTCCTGAGTGACCCCTCTGTGTGGACAGGCACTTAGTGTCACAGACTGACGTTTTAGCATATTAGCATGTAAGCACTTCTACAGTACAGCTGAGGCTGACAGGTGTTTTGGTCTTTTGTTCAGCGATGGAGACCATGAAAACCTGTACAAAACTCCCCTGTGGAGAGTTGAAAATATTTCATTCAAGTATTGGGCCGACATGCCAACCATCAACGTTACTAGCTTGACAAAAAACAAGGAAGGTCTAACATTTCTAGTGGCGTTTTAATGTTTCACCTGCCAAAAGCTTTGTCTGCTTCACCCTCTTTATTTTACCAAAAAGGAGCTCCTTTATAGTTTCATCTTCCTACCTGTCCTCCACCTCGCCTTTCTGCAGCAGATGAAGAGCTTCAGTGACGACTGAATGAAGGATCTGGTGACCAATGGACAGCTCTGCCTGAAAGCGCTGAAACACCAGGAGATTTTAGGTCTACATCTCTGTGCGTTTGTAGTGTTTTTTGTTAAGTCTGTCAGTGAGTCCGTTAATCGTGTACGATACCTTGTGTGTGCAGAGCTGCTGTCTGAGGCCAACGTAAGAGCCGGCCACGTCTACGGCCAGACTGTCCTCCATCCTCTGCAGGAACGACATCCAGCTCTCACACTTCTGCTCAAAGCTCTGTCGCCTCAGTGCCGCCGTCTGCAGCTCACTGCACACCCAAACAAAAACACACATATTAGAGAATTACACAAATCTGCACTATGCCCTGTAGGACACCTATAAACGTTTTTTATCCCCATTCCTCCTTATCCCCACAAATTTCTACCTGAATTGACTTTTGGGGTAGAAAAACTGGCCTTAAAGGTTGAATCAAACCTTCAGTCTTGTGAATTGTCACACTTTTTTAGTCTTTGAACAAGGATTTATTCAGTCCTGGGTTACTGGAAATGTTTTGTTATAAAATGGACCAGAGGGTAAGAATTCACAGTTAGCACCGGGGGAAGTTATTGTGAAACCACTGTCAGTGATCAATATCCCTGTCTCCAACTGGTGCAAGTAATAGCATTTAAATAAAAATAAACGGATGTTTGGGGTAAAATTGTTTTGTCTCCTGATTTTTTTACAGTATTTCTGGCCAATCAACATGTTTTTTTTTTTAAAGAAATTTGAGCATAACAGCTAGAGCTGATTATATTATTTTCATTTTTCATTCATCTTTCAATTGTTTTTATAGATTAATCAATTCATTCTTTGGTCTTTAAAATGTTAGAAAATGTCACAGATTTCCAGTGATGTCTTCAGATGTCTGTTTTTATCCGACCAACAGTCCAAACATACTCAATATATAATCCTAGAAAGCGAAGGAAACCAGAAAAATCATATTTAAGAAGCTAGAACTATATCTGTCATCAATTGTCACAGTTAGATGATTGACAGAAAAGCAAAAATGCTCAACAGAACAGTTTTTCTCTTTTTTACGTGATGAATATTTTTGGGGTTTTGGCCTGTTTTACAATTAGGTAAATTAATCAATAAATTGATCTATAATGAAAATAATCTTCAATCCACAGTATTAATGCAGTTTAACAGCACTTTTACTGTAGACAGCTGGAAACAAATAGGTTCTGTGTGTATTACCATTTTTATTTTTTTTATTTTGTTACATTCAGTCCTCACTCCAATAGTTCACGTGTTCATGTTCAGGTCTCAGATCTAACCTGCAGGCCTCCTCAGATCTGGCACAGGCGTCGGCCCAGCAGCGGTTGAGGCGTTGCAGGCGGCGTGCTGCAGCGTCGCCCAGCGTCAGGCTGCAGCTCAGCTCATTCAGCACATCCAGGTCAGCAGACAGGCCACTGAGCTCTAGGAGGCCAGACTGGAAACATATGGTGGCATCTCAGATCACAAGGGATCACAACAGTCTGGGCTACTGCACGTATGATGATCCTCACGGCTGAGGAATCAAGCACTACATGCTGCACGGGTGCTCTTTGCTCTTCTGTCTCTACTTAGTCCGATGCTTTTTCCAGCTCTTTTTAATTTCTCAACTCATTGTTCTGTAACATCTCCTCTCAGATGGAGACAAAACCCGTATTAATGGTTGTTCCACTTCCATTAATACCAAACTTAACATTTATTCTGCAAATAAAAATTTCCATTCAATATGTCTTTATGTCTGTTAAAAGTTCAGCCTTGCTCTTCGAAACAGCAGTTCTCACCACAAGGTCAGTTTTGTAGCTATTCTGAAGCCTTCAAACTTTTCAAGTTCTACTTTTACCATAAAATAAGTGCTTAATAAAATGTTAAAATTCAAATGACTGCAATTGCAACTACAATTGAACAAACTCCATCACCTGTGGAGGATCGTGTGATACCATCAAAAGCTCCATAATAGCTACAAAATGGACTTTGTGGCGAGTTGGTTTGACAATTTTTGAAGACACTGTAATCAACCTTCAGTAATTCATAAACTCCATTCATGCCGTCTCACCTGGTCTGCGGTCAGAGCCACATTCTGCAGACGCTCCTGCCAAAGCTCCAGCTTCCTCTCCAGTGACAGCAGGACGCTTTCAAACTCCTGCAGCCGCTCGAGCTCCTCCTACACGCAAACATGACACATGGCACAGGGCCATCTGCGTCTTAATTTATAGGTCACTGTGACACTTAGTGCACTTAGGTTGGAAAACAAATGCAGTACTCTGGAAACATCCATGTATTACAGAATATGAGCATAAAAAACAATTACAAATCTTTTATTTAACTTTACACTTTACACAAACAATAAAACAATAATAATGTAAATAAAATCCTTTTGGCTAAGCAATAAAATATCATTTATAAAAATGGTTAAAGAGCAAATCAAACAGCAGCATGTTACAGTAAAATCCTTAAATTTAGGTTTGAAGACATCAAAAAGTCACATAACCATAAAATGGGTGCAGCAGCTGAGCCTGTTTACCTGGCAGCTCACGTCAAACATTGTCCTCAAGTCAAATACTGCATTGCTTCAAGTATCTCTGCGTGCAGTTCACCCTGGAAGCTGGAAGGTCAGTCTGACTTTGCTAAATCCCACACAGAATTGTTCATTCATGAAGTCGTACCTGCAGTTGACACAGCTTCCCTGTCAGGGTCTGGCTGAGCTGCCGGACACCACGTGACAACATCCGGCTCTCTGATTGGACCAGACTTGCAGCTGAAGGTTCCAGGTGGCCAATCAAGTCCTTGGCAGCCTCCAGCACCCCCTCCAGGTCTGACTGCAAAGTGGCTGTCCTCTCCAGGAGACCCTGGAGCAGAGGTGGATGAGTCCAACAGTGATACAGTGATACAGATTTAGGTGAAGAATTAAGAGAAGTGGAGAGTTTGTGTAGCGTGTAGACACTAGGGAGACTGTTCTGCAACTGGAAGGTCTCTTTATTTATTTATTTATGTACTCTTTGCCACCCGAAGCAATAGAACTAATGCAATATTTAAAAAAATAGAGCCAATCTGTCAGCCATGGGGAAGTAAGTGAGCATAAAAACTGCTCATCAGAATGAAATTGAAATGGAATTCAAACCCAAAGCTCTGCTCTGAAAGCAGAAACAAACCAGCAACAAGGCAAGGTAACTTCTTTTATATGGGATCAGGGTTTTAAAAGTAACTTTGCACCGAATAAATACAACTTAAATCACTGCTGAAAGAAAAACAAATTATCTTTGTAAAACCTTGGTTACTAGCTCTGTTCTGGTCTTTCAACCACATCTTACCGTCTTCCCCAGGGGACAGTTCGCTCAGTTGTCATCAGGTGCACTTAGCAAACCTGCTGTGAGATGCAGCTGAAAGCTCCAGAAGCTAAAGCTAGTAAGAGGATCCTGGTTTAAGATATTTTTGTCAAACTGTTTCCGTCAGAAATCTCAGCAGGAGGAGAAGGACGGATGGAAAGTGGCAAACAAACTCTATGGACGTGTTTGGCTTTTCGGCAACAATGATTTTGCCTCTTCCACAGCTTCTTGCTTGTGGAAACAAAGAATGAAATCTTCTACTTGAACAAATGCTCTATGAAGAGATTTAGAAAAGAGGATTTGGGTTCTTTATGACAGCGACCAGCAACATAAAAGTTTCAGAAAATGGAACACTTCACTGTCAAAAACATGGAAATGTGACCTGAAATTGTTAAAAGTCATAAAAAGAAATTGGAGTGGAAGATTTTTCAGTCTCGTTTATTTCCTCACCTGAACGTCGTGCATCCCAACAGCGACCTGCTCCACAGTGTTATCATCACTAGGTGCTTCGCTCAGCGCTGACTTGACGTCACTCTGCAGCGCCCGCAGCCGCTGGGAGAAAGACGCAGCATGCTGGGAGTAGACCTCCCAGATCTGCAGGACACCCCGACTCCTCTGGAGCAGCTGGTCCAACACCCTGGACAGCACAGTCCAACTGGAGGACGGGGGGGATGGTTGATTAAATGAAGAGTGTGACTGTGCGTTGTGTATGTGTATGGCCGCATGAAGTCTGTCTCACCTCTCTCTCTGTCGGTCCAGCTGCTCGGCGAGGAGGACGGCAGCAGCAGGACTGATGATGTCTCTGAGGGAGCAGATGGTTTGACTCAGTTGGTCCCACTCTGCCTCTGAAGCTCCTGTCTCCTCATGAAGAAGCTGCTTCCAACACAACAAACACCACAGTCAGCCATCACAAGTGCAGCCTCCAAACAAGACTCATGCACTGGAACCAGAAACCGGTCCTACCTGCAGCTTTTCACAGAGATCTCTGTGTGCCTGCACGGACAGCTGAGAGCTGCTGAGATCATCAAGAGTCTGAGATGTTCTCACTGTTTTCATCCTCATCTGATTCAGTCGCTTCTCCGCACAATCCCACAGCTGCTGGACCTGAATCAGCCTCTGTTTTACTGATTCATTCTGTTAAAGAACGGACAGCGTGATCCCACAACAGGGAGAAAAAAGGAACACCAAACAACAAGGAGGAGAGTTAAAGCTCATAAAGTTTTACACTCAATAGCCGTGTTTCCATCACTGTTTTTTTATGCACATTTTGAAGCATCGCATCAGAAAAGGTTGATGGAAACGGAAAAAATCCTTAACTTCGCAAATAGATTTTTACGCTCGCTTGAGGTGGTTTTTGCCTTTGTCGAAAAACTGTTAATGCGCTAAATGGGAAACACTTTTGCAGAATAAGTTCTGACGTAGCGAACTTGTTAACTCACGTCTGCTACACTTAATAGAAGTAGCATTCCTTATGATTCAGCAAAAATATGTGGCGATAGCTGCGTTTGATCAATGTGCACAGCAAAGTGTCTGAAAAGGACCTTAAGAGGCGGATGCGTAATTCGGCAGAGGCTACCTGCCGAGATTTGCATCCACCTCTTTTCTCAGCAAAATGAGTGTAACCACCCGCGAGGTGCACAACACCTGTTATTCCCATTACATGCGCAGACATGGCTGGTAGCAGTTTGCCCGTTTGAAACCCATTCCTGTGGACCCCTTTCCATATTTTTAAGAACTATGGCCCTCAGGTCCATGCGGCTGGTTTTGTTTCAGTGTCTTATTTATTACAGCCACGTGTAACGTCAACTGCTGACGTAACTACGCTTGCTGTAGCCTGGTTTATTCGCTCCAAACCAGCTGATGGAAAGATATTTTAGCATTTACTTTACTTTTTTGGGACATTTCAAAAGTCTGCTTAAAATTTGCATGACAATTAGACGGAAACATTGTTAATGGCAGACAAGACCTCACACTTTTCCTCATGGGGGTTATGCTGAATTCAAAACTAAAACCCTACAGTTTTGTAAAGTATGAGTATGAATAAACACTTTTCTTTTTTGTTGCTATGTATACTTTTCTTCCAGTCCATCAAAAGGATGTTGCTCACTGGGCAAGATAACAGCCAATATCTATATATTATATATAATATAACATTTCACATTCACCTGTTGTGTGAGCGCTGCACAGGCCTGGATGGATTTATTTGTCTGAGAGATGAAATCACAGCTTCTGTTTTCTCCTCCACCATCAAGTTTGTCTCTCATCTCCTGAAGAGCTGCAGACTTCTGCCTGATCTTCTCCTCAAGATCCTGACACACACAAAACAAGGAGATTAAAACCGTTACAGTTTATACTGAACGAGCTTCACGACCCCACGCGGACTCTTTAGGACTACATTTTAGTACAGATGTCAGAATACAGATGTGACCTCCTACCTGGCAGGTACTGAGGCTCCTCTGGAGCTCTGTCTGGCTGCCGGGTGTCTGAGCTGAGTCGATCCAGAGGTTCTGATCTGTGATCCAGCTGTTGACCTGCTGTAGTCGGGCCTCCCGCTCCACTCTGCTCCTGAGCTGCTGCTCCACCTCCTGGATCTGAACACCACAAACAACAACAGCAGGTCAGACATATTTCTTCTGAGGGTCAAGAACTTCTCGGAATATGTTGCCATCGTCAGTTTTGTTGAGTGTAGTGAAAAGAAATATTTAATAGTAAACAAAATAAAAATGAAGGGAAGATCCAAATCAAGTGAAAACTGTATTATCTGATGTTGGTATGTATGTGTTTTTAAGGAACCAATAGGCTAATAAGTAAAGATTGATGTTTGCTTCCTGACCTGACAGTTGAGGGTTTCCTGCAAACTGAGCCACTGATGGCGGAGACGACCCTGCTCCTCTGAAAACTGGTTGTGTTCATAGCGCCTCCTCTGGCCCTCCTCAGTACTGCACGTCTCTAACGGCTGGTTCACGTAGTCCAGTGTGACCTGATGGGCCGACATCTCTGCCTGACACTCCTGAGAAAGATGTCACGGATGGAGAGAGAGAATTAGTCAACCAGATAAGGACAAACTTTTTCCAGGAGCTGAGAAGCAGAACATTTTTTGGCAGTCCGTTTCTACCTTGCTGTATTTCAGGAGCTGACGCAGATCAGTGTTGGTGGAGGAGGGTTGGTTGATTCTGCTGCGATGCTCCTCCAGCTGGGTCTCAGCAGCTCCCAGCCAGGCCTGCAGCTCCAGCAGCGCCTCTTGCTGGGTCAATGTCTCCATCCATCGCTGAGGAGGAGGAGGAGGAGGAGGAGGAGGAGGAGGAGGTGACGTCAGTCTTTGCTGACATTGTCAAAAATGTACAAACTTACTCCCACAAACACAACTGATGACTCTGCTTTATTCCATTGAGTGTTTCAGCCTTCAAGACATTTAAAATAAGAACTTTTTGTAAAAAAATGCCAGTAGGAGTTTCAGGTAATCCAGAATGCTGCTGCCCCTGTTGGAAGTCTGACAGTGTCTCTGCCGGCAGCCTGTAAGCTTCAGGAGTAATTTTAAAATGTTAATCATGTAATCTCTGAGGTGTGTTTGTTATGTCTGCTCCTGCTCACTGTGTTAGTGTTCAGCATATTGGTTAAAGCTTCAGATATTTCTCTCTAACATGTACTGGTTATGTGTATTTTAGTAAAATCTTTTGTGTCATTATTTGTGAAAGAAAGTGTCTGAAATAAGCTTTAAATCTAAATGTGAACATAACCTAAACTTTAAAAGGAGGTGAGTGAGAGGGTGAAAAAGTAGATGGAGGGAAAGGAATAGACTATGAAAAAGAAGAGTAGCCAAAAACTGAGGTCAGGAGGAGGAAAAAGAGGCAGAGAAAATAATAAAGACAGCAGGAAGAGGAGGTGAGAGTGGGAAGAGAGCTCCGAGGAGAGGAGGCTGGGAACATGGGATAAAAAGGCAGAAGAAGAGGAGAGCATGGCGGGAGAAGATTGGAACAGGGAGGTGAGTATAGAAAAGAAGAAAGAGAGATGTAGACAGACAGATAGATGACTGGGAGAATGGTTTCACACCAATAAAGGCGAGAAGAGTCCTCAGGATGGCAGTGTGCTGCACAGTGGGGATGTTTAAAAGTAATTGGTGACAGGACGGCGGCTGTGTGGTTTCTGAAACACCAAATTGCTCTGTACTGTGCATGTGGGCATGGAGAAGCTAATTTAGGATAAGGGTTTGGCATTCAGAAACACATTAGGACGAATCCCCACATTGCTTTTGTTATTTTGGCCACAAAACCAAGCCTCATGATGGCGCTATAAAGTCAGGGGATGACCAACAAACTGCCATCCCTGGAGCCACGCCTCTAGCACGGCTAAAATAATATTCAGAAAAGGTAAAGAGAGGACAGAAAAGCACAAACACCATCAATTTTTTAATTAAGAAATTTAAATAACTAAGTAAGACCTCTGAAACAAACTACATGCTCACCTTATGCAGAGCTTGTTGGACGACAGGAACGCCGGCCAACAGACTGGACCAGTCCAGCTCTATCTGCCTGAGCTGGGAGTGGACGGAGCAGAGATCTGGGTCTGAAGTCTGAGATGGTGAAGTTTTCTTGTCCTCTAGATTTCTATCAGAGTCTCCATCTGCTTCCCTCAGCTGCACCAGCCGGGTTCCAGCACCAATTACAGCCGCCTTCAGTCCAGATTTGGTCTCCAACTCTTTGGTCAAAGCCTAAAATACAACAGTTTTGTTTTATTCTGTCTGTGGGGTCGTTGATCAGAAATCTACTGACATGCTGCCAAAGTATCTGACATTCAGCTTTTTCTAAACGTGAAGTGTGCATGAGGTCCTGACTACACACTAGTCTAGACGCTCTAATTCTAGTCAGTTCTATGTGGACAGACTTTAGTAATCTGAAGGCCAACAAGGTTTTTATCATTACAATATGAGAGACGAATTACTTGAAGCTGATGTTATTTATTAAAAAATGCTAAATTAACCTTCTGATTTGGTTACTTATAAAGGAAACTTTGTATAAAACAAATTATTTATTTTCTCGGGGGAGTTTGTTATTTCTACTCACCACAAACTGGAGGTAGTGGTCACGCCTCTGTTCAACATCCATCTCCTCATTTGCTGAGACGGAGAGCTGACTCCATTTGTCAATCAGCTCTCTGGCCCCGCCCATCCAGTCGGCCAACGCAGCGGAGTCACGTAGAAACCTGTTTATTTGTAGAAAATATTTTTATTGTATTTTTAGACTTCAAGATTCTTGTCTGATGCTTTTTATTAGATTTTATATGAAAAACAATTTTATTTGACTGTTTTAGTATTGTTTTGATCACACTGTAACCCACATCACTTAATAAAAACATGATTAAAGGAAGGAACATTTTACCCAGTCAATACTGGGTCAATAAGAATTTCATTTAAACTTTTCAATGAAAATAAAAAGTATAACTCAAATATCAGCCTGTCACGTTTAAAATAGACAAAACTTAGGACAAGTTGGGAAAGTGTTCTTTTTTTTCTCTTTCTCATCTCTCACCTGCTCCTCAGCTTCTTGTTCGTGTCTACGCTGGTGCGTTGGTGCTCCGCCTTCTTGTGCAGGGCTCTCCAGCGTGCATCCAGCTCTCTGGTGGACACACCCACTCCCTTACAGCCAAATCTTTGCAGCCAGAGCCCCGCCTCCAGCATCCGACTCCACCGCGCCTTGCTCCCCTCCAGAACGCTGCACAGCTCCTGCCAGGAGGACAAAACTTTGTAACGCTTTCTTCCACAAAAGCTCCACATAACTTCACACAGGGACACAGACGTCTAAGATCCTCACACCAATATAATTTTACTTAACCTAAAATCACAATAACCCTCCAAAACGTCCCGTCCAAACTCTAAACTCGGCCATTTTGTGACATGTCAGACTCGGCCTGCTATGAACTTTGAATATTAGCCTGGTTCTGTCTAAAAATCCATCTTCCAGGATCTGAAAAGCATCCACTTCCACTGTACTGATTATAATTAGAGCGTTTATCTTGTTTGCTTAATCTGCACACAGTCTGAGATGTCTTAAAGGCGCCACTCCTCAGTGCCCCCTTCTTCACAATCCATTTCAGATGAATAAGAAACCCATTTTCAATCCCTCAGTAGAGAAACGGGGAATATGAATTCTAGCTGGAGGTCTCCGCTTGGCTAATAACTCACATCAACGCCAAGGAACATCATGTGCTCCTAAAGAAAACAACCCATACGCTTGAATTTAATTGAGCCAATTAGGTTTTGAGTGCCATGCACAAAGTACAGCATGGAGAGCGCGCCCGAAAGTCTCCAAATGAGCAGAATGGAACATTGCAAAATGCGCTCTGTCCCCCGGCCTGTTGGTAAATCAGTATTATCCCCCAACGGTCGGACAGAACATGTGTATTAGTAAAAATTACCTGGTAGAAAGAGAGCTTGTCTGATATCTGATCTTCAAAATCACCCCCCTCGTGCATCTTGGGAAATGAAGTCTCAATGTCTCTCAGCAGGGAGTCTGCCCAGGAGCTGTCCTCCTCCCACTGCGACCAGATCTGAGACAGATGGAGAAACGATGACAGTCAGAAGAGATGCCGCTGTTTCGTAAAATCCACTCTGTGATGTTATTAATGCGTTAGCAAAATATACTTAAAAGGTACCAAATTCATTTGGAAAAACTTTGGGGAACAGATTTTTGTTTGCTTTTGATGATCCAGAAGTAGCATTTCTGACACTCTGATACTGTATTATTCTACCTCCATGCACTGCATCCATTATATTTTCTTAGACACCTTCTAGTTCCAAATGTTACAGTAACAAAACTAACAGCTCTGCAGCACCATGCAGCACTGCTTTAAGCTAGGTGCTGATGTTTAGCAGGTATAATATTTACTTTATGATTGTGTTAGCACGCTAACATTTGCAAATTATATATTTTTAAATTAACGTATTGGGGACATATGTGTGGAGGTTAGACAAGAAGGATTAAATCAGATAAATTTACGACATTTGAATACTCTCAGGTTCCTTGTGGGTTTTGTTTTTGAGGAGAAATACAGATCCTCTTTCTAACGTCTCCCCAAACTTGACTCTTGTACATCTGCAACTGCATCGATTTATTATTTTATGCACTACCTGCAATGTTTCCCGCATCCTGGTCCCCTTCTCCAGTCCGTGCTGCTGCAGTCGGGCCACCTCATCCTGCAGGTCCATCCCTGCACCCTGCCACCCCTGGAGGGCGCTCTCTGGGACCCTCTGGGTCAGGTCCTGCAGGATCCTGAAATGGTGGCCCAGGAACTGGAAGAACTTCTGATAACAGAAAAGGCACGTAATGTTAAAGATTAGATGTTTACGCTTTTATTTTTGGATACCAGAGCACTCTGACCTGTACGTTCTCTGTTTCCCACACACTGACCATGTGACTGCTGTGCTGCTGCTGGAGCTGAGCTCTGTTGTGGAGCTCTGTGTCAGGCTGCTGTATGAGGCGCTCAGAGCCCAGAGCGAGCAGCTCCTCCAGGCTGTGGACCAGCCGCTCACATTGCTGCTGCAGCTCCACGCTGCTCTTCAGCTCCTCACAGCGGGAGCGAACACCACCCAGAGCGCTGTCCAGCTCACCCTGCACATAGAAGGCACAGACAGTTTCCAGATTTAAATATGCTTGTGGCAACTGAATGATCACCTATTCAGTATCATCTTAAGGGACTAAGCTTCCCAAATGTCTTAGACATGTACCAGCTAACGTACCTGCAGCTGAGTAGCCTGGTGGATGAGAGAGGCAGGCAGGTGGTGTTCAGCCTCATCCAGCAGGGAGCTCACCTGCTCCACCTGCTGCTGGAGACACTCCTGCATCTGAACCACAGCCTGGAAAATAAACACATGTCCACTGTGACGAATAGAAACTTTATGTCTCGAACTCACCGCTCGTCTAACACATTTGTTTTTCTGGCTATTCTTCAAGTTGTTTAGTTATTTACATCTCACCATGGCAACATCACACAAGGTCTTCTGAATGAGTTACGTCCTCACTACCCAACTGTATACTGGTCAGTTATGTGAATGACACAAAGATAATAAGCAACGGTAGATGGAGTACATAATAATAATAACAGTAGTATTTTAGTTTTGACAGCTTATATTCATCAAACATTTTCTTACTCAAGGCAAGAAGCACTCTAGCAAATGCAATCTCTAGACTTAAAGTAAAAAGTCACTTGATAGACCACCTTTGACCTTTTAGGTAATAGGTTTGAGTTTAATAGGTTCGACTTTTTTTTATATTTGTGTCATCTTTGTATTGAGTATTAATAACATAGGCTGAAACCTAAAACCCATCTAGGGCTCTAATCGATCAGCAGCAGTTCACTCAGATCCTCAGTAGCTTGTTGAAGTTAAACATCTCTTTGGAAACAGTACCTGTAGTTGCTTGTTAAGGTCCAGGGTTCCATTGAATTCATTAATTATTTGGTGAACAGTCGCCTGGTTAGAAGTGAAGGCTGCATGCAACTCGTTTAGTTGTGTCTGTTGCTTAAACAGACAACACCGGTTCTGCAGTAAACAACAAGGGTTTTATTGTGAGTAAACAGGAAGACTTTTTTTTAAGGCTTCATTGAAGAAATAACACTTGTTATAAATATGTGAGTTACTGTGTAAGTGATGATGCAACAATAAAAAAACCTGCAGGACAACTCCCACAGATCAGAAACACTAATACAGTTGAGATAAAAAATCAGATTAAGTATATAAATATTCCAGGGCAGATCACTGTGTTCCTGTTAATAAGAGCTGATATCTGACCTGTTGCTCTGCAGTCTCCTCCTGCAGGTCTCTGAGCTGCTTCTCTCTGCTGCTCAGTGCAGCCTGGACCACGGGAAGGAGTCTACACAGAGAGTCTACACCCTGCTGACCACACTCTGACCCCAGGACACGGCTGACCTTTGACCCCTGCGACGCCAGTTCACTGCCAAGGGTAGTCAGCTGTGCCGACAGACTCTGAAAGGGAATCCAAGGAGGTGCTAGTTACTTTGCATCATAATAAGTAGGCTGATGGAGTGCAGGGATAGTTTTGGTCCTTCACATGTCTTTCAGGAGATCTTTTGCAAAGAGCGTTTCTCCTTTGGTTCAGCTTTTTTTTCCCAGTTAATTGATTAATTGTTTAGTTTATAAAATGTCAGAAATTTAAACTCTACAGCCTCTGTGAGGCTGTACTGAGCTAAATGTTAACTTGCATGTTAACCAGCGTGGTGTAGCATGATAGCATGTCAACATTTTCTAATTAGCCTTAAACATAAAGTATAATATATAACATGATATAATCTTTATTTATAGAGCACTTTTAAAAACAGTGTTACAAAGTACTTTCACAAGAGCAAGGACAATAAAACACATCAAACGAAAGAAGAAAAGTTTGTTTTAAGAAGGGATTTAAAAGAGTTCACTGACTTCGCCGGCTTAGGCTAATTTTTTCTGTTTGCAAGAATTTAGTATCACACAAATTCTAATTTTGACCAGATGAAGGTTTTAGATGAAACGTTAAAGATCAGATAAATCAATCAAGTTCTCTCAATTCATCCTGTCTGTACCAAATGTGCCAACGCATCAAGTACTTGTTGATATTTCAGTCAACAACAAAGAAACAATTTGATTTGTATTTTAATTTAATGAATTTGAATGTGTTATCTGTGTTTCGACCTTTATTATAGCCCGGATGAGTGAACCTGCTGAGTGTTTGTTTGTGGTGGGTCTCACCTGCAGCTGCAGCAGCCTCTGCTGTGCGTCTTCTTCATGTGGCGTCCCAGCAGGAGAGTGCAGCAGGTTGTTGATGGCGGACAGGCACAGGGACGCTCCATACAGCACATGAAACAAACCCTCGTCCAGCGTCTGATGGGAGCCGTCCACAGCGGGGGCCTGAGGTCGGAGAGGTAAGTAACTATTAATAAACAGTGACATTTCAGGGACAAATTTATACTATGGAAGTGTTGGAGTCAGATGGAAATGTTGACACTTTTGTCAGATCAGCACAAAACAACATGAATCAGGAAGAAGAGGAGGAGGCTGACATCTGCTGTGTCGCTTGAGGAAGCGCGACACCTCTTCATCAGTCGCGCGTCACTATCTCATCGGCTGTCTTTCGTGTTCATTGTTTCCTGCTCTTCTTTTTGTAAAGTGGGATGTTAAAATGTGTTTCCTGCGGCGAGCGATGAAAGAAACAACATGCCAGGGATTCCATCCGAGCACTCTTTCATTCATTTCATTTCCAGCTCACTTTCATTTGAATCGGATTTCAAACAAGTGAAGAAGAAATGTGGTGTGAAACTCGATCTACAAAGACGAGACTGTTTAACTTAATACCTGTGGCACAACTCTTCTCCTCTCTTGTTGTCAGAGTGGTATCTGATGCTGATTCTAGTTTCTTTTCTCATTCGTTCACTCATTTACTGCTAAATCACCTGTAGCCCCTCACATTCATCTCCTGGCCCCTTAAGGGCTCCTGACCGGCAGGATATGAAACCAGCAACTGTTCAGAGGCCACAAAACATACATATCCTCGGATAAACCGCCACGACAATGAGTCCGCACCTGATTGAGATGCTCTGTCGCTGTGTGTCCCAGCTCCCTCAGGTGGGTGATGTGGGTTTGGAGCTCTTTCAGGGTTTGCGTGTCAATCATGCGTCCCACTGTTCCATCACTACGCCTCCTAGATGAGTCTGACACCTTCAGAGAGAGAGACGCACACGACTCTTATCAAACCCCGCAGGAGTCCCCGTAACACCAACGAGGCATCGAAGTGCCTTCTGCTCAAAGAAGGTGATAATCAAGCGTGGCGAGAACCCCCCATTTTCCATTTCTTTTTTTTTTTGTATTTTGAAAAGTGATAATCAAGCACTCCAACTCTCACTTTGAAGGCCTTACTTCAGGAGGAGGAAGCAGCCAGCTCTCCTCCAGAGCCAGCAGCCGACTGTGAAGGCGATCCCACTTCTTCTGAGCAGAGTGCTCCTCCACATCAGCCTCAACAGGAGGCGACCTGCAGGGAGAGAAGAAGCTGAAAATTAACACTTCATCTTCCTTTCTCTTCTCTTTCTTTTTTCCCTGTGGCCTCTGATTCATGGTAGGCTGGAAGTATCTGTTTAAATCTTATGTCTATTTCTCTCTAAGAACTGGTCCATGAATTTAAAATCTAATTGCATTGACTGGATAAATCAATTTAAACAATTTATGAAGTTAGAAGATAAATAATTAAAACACGGTGTCTTCCATGTCAATACATTTTTATCTTATATTTACTTATATTTTGAGTTTTATTCTATCCTGTTGTGTGAAAGATACTGACACTCTTTAACAAGATTATTAAATGTGTTTTTTACGGCCTTAATAAGAGGTCAAAACGACTTGTAGAAAAAAAAGTATTGTCTTTTTGGGGAAGTAAAACTGGAAAGAAGAGACAAATAAAAAATAAATAAAACACAAAATATGTGCCGCGCACTCTGTAATACATTTAAATATAAAATATATGTAATAAAACACCAGATGAGACAGCGTGTTACCATGGTGACAGCTGGCTGTGGTCCTCTGCTTCCTGGCTGTGGAGTCGAGCTCTGCTGCCCTGCCTGGAGATGGCCTGAGTCAGTCCTCTCTGTTCAGTCAGCTCCTGCTCCAGCTCCTGCCCAGCAACCAACAACAGTTCAATGTACAGCAGAACCCGACCCATCCGGGGTTTATAACACGGATACCAAATTTGATATTTAAGGATATTTCGACGTATCGGCAGATATTCTCTCTTTACTTCTTTTTACAAACACAAAACATAAACAAAGATTATCCCTAACATGTGTTGTGTGTAGAGAACTTGGCATGATGCAGTTTGAAAAGAAACAGTTTTTATCGTTATAAATAGGAATTTGAACAAAAGCATAGTTGATCATGTCAGCTGATTGCATCCCTCTGGTGGACAAAGTATGCAACGACAACACTCATAACATGATGAAGGTCGTCTTTCAGGGGTTTTTTCCAGTTGTAATTTATCGGCTGTTATAAACACTACTGGGTCCAGTACCTTCTGCTGTTGCAGGCTGCTCTGTCTGAGCAGTTTGTTTCTCGGTGAGGAGAAGATTTCCTGAACGTTGCTGCTGCTGCTGCACTTCAACTTAGACTCCAGGTAGTGCCCTGGCTGAGGTACCGACTTCTGAGGAGGAAGAGGTGAAGAAGAAACACGGTGAGGGAAAACAAAAAGGTTTATCGTCATAATCAAAATTATGGTCGACAGCTTAATTGCAGTGGTTCTCATCATCATCTATTTCATCATCAGTGTATAAAGTAGAGTATTCATTTAGCTGACGCTTTTATCCAAAGCGACTTTTATCCAATTGCTATATATGTCAGAGGTCACACGCCTCTGGAGCAACGAGGGGTTAAGTGTCTTGCTCAGGGACACATTGGTGGATTGAAGTAAATACTGACTCCCTTATTGTATTTTTCCTTCAGGAGCTGTTAAATTGCAATTAACTCTTAAGACACATAAATGACCTCTAGAGTTGAGTCTCCTGACTTGACATGAAACTTAAAAGCAAAGACATTCTGATTAAAGCCAGAACAATAAAACAGAATAAAGAGAGCTACAGGCCTTGGTCTCAGCTCTGTTAAAAAGTTCAGCACTCAGACTTGAAAGGCTCATTTTGCACTTTGCTTTAAAAGACTTTTCTTTCCTCAAAAAACTGTGCTTAGTGCCTGCGGATATGACACTAGCCACAAGCCTGCAATGGCTTATTTGCAAACTTGTTAATAATAATCAGGGAGCAACTTTTCCACATGTTCTGCTGTCAGCAGCAGAAACACCCGCCTCAACGTGTCTTTAAACTGAAACTGAATAAAAATAAACTAAGAGAGCAACTAGCTAAAGGAATGAGATGGAAGGATTTCTGTTTGGTGGGAAAGATGATTTCTTATGTTATTTTTTCCCAAATAAAAAAACCCAACAAATTAATTATAGCATTTAGTGAGCAGAAATCTATGAATACGCACCTGTGTTATTGTTCTCTCCTCTCCCTGTCTGTCCTGTAGCAGCTGCTGGAAGCAGACCAGGTTGGCCTTCAGGAGCTCCAGTTTGGAGGAGAGCAGCTCAGCTGTTTCGTGCTGGGATCCCACAGCTCCCAGTTCATCCTGCTGCTGCTGCTGCTGGTCAGCGGCCTGGCCAAGCGCCGCCAGGCTCGCAACGTTCTGCTCGATCTCCAAGAACATCTCCTATACATGAACACACACAGTAAAATAACATCCACTCTGTGCCGAGCAGGATGCACATGCATGGCAGAAAGCGGCTTCATTATCTCTACATGTTTGATGTTATATGTTTGTTATGTTTGCATGTTTCATTTATTAAAATTAGCATTACAATCAATAACACTTACATTATATTCAGTGCCCCAACTGGCACTTCAACTCCTTTCAGTGTTCACACTTTATTGTTTCAGCTCCCTTCAGTGCTTGGATTTCCACTGACTCACACCTTCTGCTTACACTTTAGCTACAGCCTCTTTCACACTGGACAAATAAAAACCCCAACACCCCTAATTTTCACTCCCCTCTTCTGGCGTGTCTCATCAATAGTGTTAGCATGCTAGGCTAACAGTAAGACTTCATATCCAAACTGTGAAGTCTTTCAGAGCACACAAACACTTTAAACACCCCTGTCACCTGCTAACCATGGTGCTCTTAACCAGAGACACTGCAGCTACGTCTTCATTTTTTTACAGTCTGCGGGCTCCATACTGTGACCACCGTGACGCAGTCTCTGGCCTTCATGCTGCTTTCTACTCTTTATCAACCCTGTTTTCCAGCGTGGTCGTGACATTGAGCATTAGACAAAAACAGAAAAGGCAAACTCGTCTACTGACATTGTGAAAGGAGTCTGTCTCCTATTTTTACAGGGTTTACCAGCACACACTCTCTCATCATGGTGTTAAAAGGGTATAACTCTGCAAATTCATCCAACTTACCCTTCAACTCCTCTTATTTCCACTGAAGCTAAGTAGTGTCACCCCCTTCTGTGTGTTGCTTGTGCTTTAGTTTTTTTGACTTCTCTATTACAATTTTACAGTGTATTTCACCACACTTCCTGCCTTCTATTGTATCAGAAACAAAAGCCATAGAATAGCTTTGGATTATGAGGTCAGCTGTTTAAATTAGACCCGGGTCATGAATAAGGCATCTCTGTGAACGAGGCTCTTTAGTACATTTGAACAGACGACAAGATCTCATCAGTTGCTGTTTGTTTGCCCACAAAGCTTCATTCAAATGTGACGTGTGACTGTGGGGTGTGTTTAATCCTGAAACTTTAACGGAGGCTCGAGTTACGCTCTCAGGGTCGGCAGGGAGTGAATCCTGGGAGGAAAATACCTGCCAAAAACTTTGAATGTGGACATAATAATGAAGCCTGTGAGGGCACGACTGTGTTGACTGAAAACTATTACACCACACACATCCCCAACCGTCAGATATCCACATTTTACATTTTACTTGTAAACCAGAGTGAGCAGAGATGAAAAATAATAGTAAATCTATAGGATAGTATTAAGTATATCTACTTCAGTACAAAAGTTTTAAGTACTATATTCAGGTACTCATTATCACTATAAAGTGCCTTTGAGATTTTCCATTTAACTTTATATACATTTTATTAAGTAGACCTTAGTTTGTTAGAAATGCATGTTGGTCAAGCTCCAGCTCTTTTTATAAATTAATTGTAAGCCTACAAAGTATGAACAAAAAGCAAAATGTGCCCACCCCGTCATCTGTGATTTTTGCACTTTCTTTTCAACAAACATATCTGGTCAAACTGTCAAACAATAGTATTTGGTCTTCATTTGTTCATAAAATAAAATAATTTGTTTATTATTATAAAACGGGGAAATGACAGGGTGGACGAAGGCTTTAATGGCTGAACTAGAAGACAACACATCATTTGTTAACCAACAGGAAACCTTTAAGCATTATGAAGAATGATTTTTGGAAACTTTCTAGTTTTACATAAGTCTAAAAAAAAAACAGAGTTTACGACAATATGGCCCTGCAATTAAAAAATCTTCAGACCTTTGTCAAAAACACATCATGCAACGTTTTTTAGTATTATTAATTAGTAATGGTTTTGACTTGGTCATTTTAACAGACTGAAGGATTTTCTTTGTCACTGTCATTGCTCTTTCAAACAGCCTAGGTTTTGTTCTTTTACATTTGCACAGCTGTCTTTGCAATCTGTTATATAGACTATATGTTTAGATCGCAGTCTGTTGTTTTAATTACATAGAAGTTTGTAAAATATCACTAAATCATGATCATCAACAGGCCTGCTGGTACCAATATTACCAAACAAACTCCCACTACACTAAAATGAAGCATATATGTGAGTAATAAGTGTTTAAATATGTTTAAAATTATAAGAATGTGGGGAAACTAAGCACAAGTCCTCCATGTAATGTACCATGTCCATCATAATAACAATCATAACAATATGACGAAAATGAAGAAATAGAAGTGTAGAAATGTTATGTACTTCCAGCAGTTGTTTAATGTTTTTCATGCTTTTATCTTGTATTGTTTTTGTATTATTGTCTCTTGGGTATTATTGTCTTTACACTTGTTAAAGCACTTTGTAACTTGTTTTTGAAAAGTGCTCTACAAATAAAGATTATTATTATTATTATTTAAACCTCTAATTTAACACAGACAAATTGCTGGTGATGATGTCACTAAATCCATTGGTTACCCCACAGTGACAGGGTGGACAGCAATTTCAGGGACACGTACAAAATGTTTAATATTATAATAAAAATTAAAGATAAATGATCAAAATGATTTGTTTTATGAATGAAACTGCTGAGGACCAAACCGCTTATTATACTCATTGAAATTAGCAGAGCAGCACGTGGGACATACAAAAACCACTTGCACTCAATCAAAGAAAGTGATATAAAGCGAGGGAAACATTTCTAATCTGATGTGTGTGTAAATGTCTGGTCATTTATAATAAAACCTCTGAAATCAATTATTTTATAATATGTTCATGATGACTGAGTAATTCTGAGGAGGACACCAAAGGTACTTTATAGTGATACTGACCCCGTGAGTATTTCCATTTCACTTATATTTTTATCTCACTATGTTTATCTGAAAGAGTAACTTTCAATTTTTATTTTATTTTAATGAATGTTAACATTCAACAAACTGACACAAACGTCCGTCTCCCTCTGATTTGATGAATGGAAGCAACAGCAACATAAAACGACTGATAAATCTGTAAGTGTGTTTCTGCAGACTTTTCTACTAAAAATGAACTTACAAAAACAGAATTAAGCAATAAATTAATTAAATTAATGATTTAGTTGTTTCTTTCTGGATAGAGGAAAGTCTCCCAGATCAATGTCTGCATTCATTTCTGTTAATACAGTTGAAGAAAGACAGGAAATGTAGGCGAGGGAGAGACAGAAATCATTGCAGCAAAATATATCTCCTCATGCCACAAGGGCAACCAGTTGAAACTCAGACTAGATTAATAAATAATAATGTACTTTAAAATGTTGAAATTATTTTAATTGTTTGTTATTTTAATGATTGTTCCTTTATTTCACATTTGATACAGATTTTTTTGTTGTTTATTTATTTTATTTTTTGTCTCTTAGTACACATACACATCTACTGTTTTATTTATTTATTAATTATTTTTAATATATTATTTTAATACGCTTACTGCTTTTTTTATTTTTAATATTTATTTTTACTTGTATTTATATATTTTACATTATATTTTTTCATTATTATTTTTTTAACACACACTGATTTATTAACTTATTTAATGAAATGTATGAAATTAATTGCGTTATGGCAGAAAATTGTGTCCTCTTACATTTAATCTTATATGTATGATCTTTTAATATTATTATTACTCTTCTCGTGATGTCTTATAGATTTATATGTATTGTGTTTTTATCCTTAACCTTTCCTCTCCTATAGTCCTTATGTTAGTCCGTCCACATTTTCTAGGGTTTAGTTCAGAGCTGTGAGATTGTTTTGGTGTTTTCCCTCTCTTGTTGTTCCTCTCCTCTCCTGGAATGTGCATTCAAGGCCGAGAGAGGATCTCTGTTCCCCAAAACATAGAAACCTAGACTGTGTAAAGGATGATGCATCCCTTTACCAGCTGAACCTGGGCCGCTGCAGTAAGGACTGCGGACTTAGTTTGTTTAGATTAAGATAATATCCAATCTGAAACCCACCGGAGTTTCAGAGTTTGTGCTGCCACAGAACTCAAAACAGGAATGTTTTTCATAGATCATGAACGTTTTGGAGATACTAGTTTTTCACAGGACAACAACATGTTAACTCACCAACACAGTGTGTGAAAACATCCAGTGTAAATTGATAATATAAACAAGTTTATTAGTAGCCGTGCTGTAACTGGTGCTGCGTTCTGCAGCCTGTTTTCACGTGTTGTTCGGTAGTCAGGGAGACTTGGCAGAGTTTAAAACTACAACATTTGATTAGTTGATTTTTAACATCCTGGTCTTTGCCAGTCTGGCCACCACCTCTGCAGACACACTGCGCCCTTTAATGCAAATACCAGCAGCTGGCATTTGGCGTTTATTAAACTATGGACTGATGGGTTGATGGATGAAGCTTCCTGACAGGAAACAAAGAGAGAACTGGGGATATTTAACGTTGTATTGAACTAAAGCATCACAAGCATACAGAACATCAAGACATTTACAGACAAGAGTGAGGCAAAAGACTAGACTGCATTAGGTTAATATTTAGCGAGACGACCGTTCTGTCACTTTGTCCAGCAGCCCTGGTTTGAATTCACAGGCTGCCATTTACAAGCAGACTTACAGCCAACTGCAGAGGTAATAATGTCCCAGAGGGGGACAGTTAATGAACTCTGCTCACTGAGACTCATCTGAAAATGATCTGGCCTGAGAACAAGGAAGTGATGATACAGCAAGACACAGCGTGTCAGTGAGGACAGCTGATGTCCAGGAATGCTGTAAGAGGAATATCTAGAGATAGAAAAATACTAATGTGTTGCACCGACCGAAAGGGAACATGTCTTATGGAATAACGTTGAGCGCAGTCAATTATAATGTTTACTTATATTCTTACTAACTAACTGAGAGACCAAGCTGATGCTCTTGCTGCATCAAGTAGCAACTTGGATGAAGATCGATATTTGGATGTAGCCTTTTAGTACCATAAGTTTTGTATTTATAATAATATATAATAATATCTTATCAATAATTCCTTAATATTTTCATCATGTTGTATTATCTTAACGTTGTAATCCTTTCTCTAAATAAAACCTTCATATTTATGGATGGATTGCCATTTATGAGAATCTGTTATGTTTGAGTTATTCTGTTGTCTGTAGATATGTAGTCATACAAAAGCAGTCTAATTGATTCTTGGGCTGCGGTTACACGTCTGTTAACTTTTCACTGAAAGCCCAAATTCAGCCTTGTTTTAGTCTAGACGTCAGGACTGTGTTCAGACGGCTATTAGAATTAAATTGCTTGCCGGCATGTTGCTGCTGTTGGGTGAACACTATCACAAAATTGTCAACTAGAGCTAATTTTTGACTACTGACATTGTCAAATTTTGATCATAAATTTACAAAAGCTATTATAAATGTTGCACTGAAAGTGAATAAACAAAGAGAAAATTAAATGTTCCACTTATTATGTCGTCAGCTGTTCACATTCAGCTCAACATGCCTGGTTACATTTTCACCACCGTAGAGCAAAGTCGTTTGGAGAATGATGAAGTTTAGATATTTTTGGTTTGAGATCTTCCAACCCAGGTAATGTTGGTTATTATTCAATGCTTTTCCTGCTGAGCAAATATATTAATGTGACTCTATTGTGTGTTTACAGCCGTAAGTGGCAACACAGTCGGCGTTACTGTGTTATCATCACAGAGATAGTGAAAACAAACAGATCACTGACATGTGAGTCAAATCAGCTGCTGGAGGAAGCTCCCTGACAGAAAGACCTGCAAACATAAATGTATTGAACGCAAACTGGCTTAACATTCCTTGCTGATGCATTTTGACTCCTCCACGCACAGACGTGTCTTACGTGGGCCGGAAACAAGCGGAGGGAAATTTGAACCCTTGAGCGGCCAAAATAATCCTCAGAATGTGATTATCTTAACTTTGTATCTGTGCAGAGCTGAGATAAGGAAACGATTCATGAGTCATATTTTGCTGTTGTGCAACTTGAGATGTGTGTAAACTCACGACTCGTCCAGTGACCTGCGATTGCTGATACTCTCAGCTGATTGGTGCGCACAGACCGAACAAAGGCAGGATTATGATCTCAGACTGTAAGAGCTGATTGGAAAAACAAGATCATGACTGTATGTGACTGACTTTCAGGACATTTCAAAATGAAACTGACCTTTGGCATTTTGTATCACCCGTCCCAGAGTCGTCAATCAAACACTGAGCAGTTCTGTTTTGTCCTGTTAATTGAATCTTCTGTTGATGAAGCCTGATTCATTGTGGTCAGCGTTGTAAACATACTTTAGTGTACTTTTGGTCTGAAGCTGTTTTTGGTCTACATCCCTTCCTCCTTTAAATGGACATTCAATGGTATTTTAGACAATTGTGTTCTTCCAACTCTGGCAACAGTTTGGGGAAGACCCTTTCCTGTTTCTAAATGACAATGACAAATTATTATTATATATACTGTATATATTATTAATTATATAATTCAGGCTTCAAAAATAATCAGTTAAAACTAAGAAGTCTCAACCGGTAGACGAGTTCTGAAGAAAACCTTGCTTCATTTTGAGGGACCACAAGCCAAACGCATGAGGAATCACTGCGCTAGAGGATTGTTTTTCCTAGAAAGAGCTTCCTGATACTGTAGCAAATCATAAACTTTTGATCAATAGCAGACATTTGTTTGTTTAAATTTCATGAATAACAACCAAGGTTAAAATCACACAGCAGCCCAGGACGCATCAATTTGGTAATTTGAAGGCTGAAAGACATCCAGCTATGTGTGTTAAAATTCTTTGGGAAAAGTTTTCTATCTAAGCTACATACTGTACATTTCCATCATTTCAACATCATTTCTTCATTTAAAATCTAAGCCTGTATTTCAGAGTGTAGTTTAAACCTGCACTCACTTTTTAACCTCATTTAGCCCTGTTTTAACTCCCTGTAGGTATCTAGACGTCTTTTGACCTGTAAATCCTGGGAGTGGCCTGTTCCCCTGGTGGGCGGAGCTTACCTGGCAGGTGAGGAGCTGCTGCTCCATGCTGACCTGCATGGTCGATGAACCGGCAGCTACCAGGCTCCTCTGGGCGTTCTGCAGCCACAGCTCCAGCTGGCAGACGCTCTCTAGGCAGACATGGAGGACACCTTCAATGGGGCGGGGCCCAGGCGGGGACCCGGCCGGCCGAGGCTCCTCCAGGGCCTGGGACACAAACACAACACACCTGGCTGAACCTCTCTGCTCCAGGGACGCAGGTAGAGAAGAGGAGCTGAGCAAACTGTGTCTTTAAGTTGAAACTACCTGAACTGGCTGCAGCTCTAATAATAATCTAATCCAAATAATTCTGACCTGGAATTCTCACACTAACACTTCCAGTCTCTTTCCCCTGCCTGGTTATCTCTCTCTCTCTCTCTTTCCCTCGCTCTCTGCTCCGCCCACCTGTGGCAGAAACCACTTCCTGGAGCGGTGGCAGGGCTCCAGTGACAGCGACTCTTTATCACAGGAGGACAGAGAATGTAAAGAGGCCTCAGGCTACAGGGGTGGAGCTGAGACGGAGGCCGGGTGAGCTGAGTGAGCAGTAAACACAGACACTTCCCTACTTCCTCCTCACACTGTTAGTGCAGTTTGCAGCTGTCAACCATCTGATCTCTTATTCTACCACAACTTCAGGTCTAGGTTTTAGTGCTCTTTTATTCTCCTGTACTTAAGACCCCGACCCCTGCTTCCCGCTTCTTTTTTTAAAGTATTTTGCATGGTGTGCAAACTAACAATGAATCAAATGTTTTCTTTCATGGCTGAGCTCTGTGCATACCGTTGCCAAGAAACTACTGAGGATTTGAAGCGGCCTTAACAGGAGGTGAACACCAAGAGTCAACAAACCTGCACTGAATGAATCACTTGACTAAAGCATTCAGCAGACTTTGATGTCACACAGGTCTAATGTGATTATACAGCCTCTTTCTCTTTGTGAGGAGAGAGTATTTACGATCAAAGGTTGTCTCAAATTGGTAATAAATATGAAACTTTTGAGTCTATACCGTACATACTGAGGGAACATTTTTGCTAGTTCACTTTAAAATACTAAGTTATGCTCTGAAAAATCCATTACAGAGGGCAACAAAACATAAATAAACATCACAACATAGTGTTTAACGGTCAAAACCTACAGTATATAAAATATTAATTTAGTCTCAGTTAGATCAATATAAAGCTGTATAAATGTAAGTGGGAAGTGTAAAGAAGTTCACAAGTCTAAATGCAAAATGTAATAAAAATGCATTAAAAGGTAAATGCAAGTTAAAGAAATACAGCATTCACCAGGGTTGAGTGTGAGTCAACCTGCACATCAAGCAGGGTTGTATTATTATCATCAATCAATCAATGGATGGTTATCTTTTAATTTAACAGCAGTTTTGTGAACTTACTCCATCAGTGAGTTATTTATGTGCAACCAGGCCCCAACTCTGCATCCACTCCTGCACGGTTAGAGGGTTAGGAGGGGGACGGAGCTTTTGTTTGTGTTATCATGCTGGAACCAGCAGTGAATGGGACTTTTTATTTATTTATTGCTCATCAGGGCAGCTGCAGTCTGAATGTGCAGGTGGGAGGCGCTGAGGCCTCTGCTACACTGACTTTAGAGGGTGCATACGCAGGTGTAGTGGCTATGGTTGCTGCTGTTTCTAAAAGACTTCAGATGTTGGCAGAACTTTGCTTTGAGACCACAAGCTGTCCACCTCACTGCTTTCTGATCTGACAGCTCTAAAATCTTTGATTTCCTCACTACGTGTACGTGAGTCCTTTGTGAGTGTGTTCTGGACAGGTGTGATTGGGTCCTTGTCCTGTGTGCAGTCTACAGGTGTCTGTGTGCTCTGTGTATATACTGTGTGTGTCTTCAGCCCCTCTGGGTCTTCCACCCTCCATGCAAGCCCCCTCTGTCCCTTCATGAGCTCCTGACACAGAGAAAGAGAGACGGGGGAGTAGATCACTGTTGTGGGTTTATTTGTCCTCTTTTTTTGGATATGTAGACAGAATGGAAAGACAAACGTGGAACAAGGTACAAGTACAGCACATGCCGTGTAATGTAAGACATCTCAGTACTGCTGCTTCCAGGTGAAAACCTTATATCTCCAAAAATAGTTTTACTGTTATTTGACTGGAACTGATGAATTGCTGAAATCATAAATGAGCCTTAAGCATCTTACAGAGCAAGTGACATCATTTTTGATTAGTTGAGTGTAAACAATACTAAACTAAAACTAAATTTGGAGTTTCGTGGTTTTTACCTGCCAACAACAGTGTGTTAATCGGTAATCATGTCAAACCAGTGCATTTTCATGGCCAACAGTCATTTTAAAAAAGGTAATTTCCTGAAGTACAAAAGCTGTTTCGTAGAGAGTGAAAGTGAACATGGTGATTCATAACAAAGTGGGAATCTTCCTCCACGCTCCCCTCCTGCTGCCAGGCAGTGACTGAGCAATTAATTGAAGTAATAATTACTCAGTTAATCAATCAATTCTGTAAACAACAATTAATCATCATATATGAAAATAGAGATAGCAGAAGCATATAAGCAAGCAAACAAGAGTTTATTTTAACAGATGTGCTCCATATTTGCTGGCAAATGAGCTCAGAGAGTAAATGAAAGGTTAATAATCAAAAGTTGTCAATCACCATTCCCTAAAGGATACAAAAACGTGGTTCACAAAATATGTCTATTGGTACACTTTGTTTCTGCCTTTTATAAAAACATTTTACCCCATCAGAATTAAGGTCCGTGCTAAAGCTTATTACAGACTGTTAAAAACCGTCCACCCCACATGCTAAATACTATCCGTCTGCTTTCAGGTTTGGGTAAAACAGTAAGCATTCCCCTGCTAACATCTTCTCACATAATTGCAAGTAACGTGCTGTGTCATCTTTTAACACATCTCAGTGGTGACCACTCGTCAATGAATAAGCAGAATTGCTTCAGTAGTCCTTCACATAAACACACAAATGAACTTGGAAAAAATACATCTGTGGCACACAAATTTAATTTGCTTTAATTACTCAGTCCTATCCGCTGTTTTGGTTTTTCATAACGCAGTAAGAAACACTAAAACAACACGTCCACTGCTCTTAACTGCTGGAATTATCTGCCATGTAAATGCACTGAGGTCTGACAGTGAGACGTTTCTAGAAGAACCTGCAGGCTGGATTTGGTGCTAGAATATTTCAGCCTTGGTTCTAGAAAAATAAGTGTCGTAGGTTTAGTTCTAGAAGATGATAAGAGTTCTGAGCTCTAGGTGTTGTTCTACAAGATTCTACAGGAAGCCTTGAAGTTAAGACTGGAAGTTCCACGGTTGGATCTAGAAGAAGTTGGACGATCTAGAACAGATTTTAGTAGATTCTAGGTTTGGTTCTAGAAGACACGAGGAGTTCAGAGACAACAAGCCTGGTTCTACAAGACAAGGCGATTCTTTGGTAAAAACATCAAGGGCTTTGGTTTGGTTCTAGTAGAAGTTAGGACTTGTAAGGTTTGGTTGTAGGTAGTCTTTTGAGCTCTAGACCTGTGTCTAAGAAAAGTGGGAATTATTTGCTTGTTCTAGAAGAATGGAGACTTTCAAGGTGATAATATCCTGAAATCCATGCTGTGTCCCAATTTAGATACTTCCGTTAGTTCACTTTCCTGCAGTACACCGTGTATACTGTGTACTTACTTCTGTAGTGCGTGAACTTTGATAAAACACATGTATAAATTACATTCGTGAACAAGGCATGTTCAATTGAGCAATTGCAAAAACTCCCCTTCCGCTACGTAGCCAAAATGGCAAGTGTCCGGTTCCACACTCAACCGTTTGACCGTTAGTACACAATCTACGTGCAAAGAGTGCACTGCATTTTGCCATAATTATCAGTGTGAACGCACTTATGAGCTCAAAAAGCAAACAAAACCAAACTGAGACACAGCATTGGTCTTCTAAGGTTGGATCTAGAAGAAGTTGGGAGATCTATGATAGATGTTCTAGGCTTGGTTCTAGAAGGAATTACAGGTCTGAACACAATGGGGGGGTAGAGGTTCTAGCAGGGTTGGTTTCAGAATAAACGGGAGTTCCTGGATTGGCTCTAGAGGAAAAAGAATGAAGTCGACAGCTGATTCTAGAAGAGCTCTAAAAGATGCGGGAAGGTCATCGCTTACATCAAGAAGAAGTGAGAAGTTCTAGTCACACAAGTTCTAGATCTAGGAGACTACACATTTCTGCTGGGACCCAGCGTCGGCTTTGGAGACGGTGGAGGGCGTGTTTACCATGCTCTCGGGCAGTGACTGGGTTCTGACTGTGCCCGGGGGTTCTGATAACGCTTCAGATGAACTTGCTTCTGTGGTGTCAGTAGGGCCCTCAACATCCTGAAGAAACATGAGCAGGGTTAGAAGATCAGTCAGGTCAGTCAGTTAAATATATTGATCGTTCAGTCTACAGGGTTACCAGGAGATAAGGAATCACACAGTTACTGATGCGGAATTATATTACACGCCGTTATTAACATCATTTTGTTATTTTGTGTAGCCAGCTGTTGTGTAAAACAAAGTCAACAGCTCTTACTGGCAGTTTCTAATGTTAATTCATTTTTATTAAAGGAAATTGAGGTTAATTAAAGGCTGGTGATATCTTTTTGTTATTGTCAACAAATCCCATAAAGAGACTGAAACCAACAAGGAGTTTGTTCCGACACTCTTACGCCATCTGTGGCACTCAGCTCCAAGCAAAATGGGTCAAAGATATTTACTTTTATTTTTTTTGAAAAGGCAGTGCATTAGGGGAGGTGTGCCCTCAGGGTTGTCTGGCAGGAAGGCGTTGCTCCCTTTCTTTTTTCCTAAACCTAATCGAGCGGCGAAATCAAGCTTTCTGACAGAAAATCCTGAGGGCAGACTTCTCCCATGTACTTAAAAAGCTGGGCACACTAGTTTTTAGCACACACACAGGAGTAAATAGTGCAGTTGTTGGTTCTATTTTGAGATGAGGTTTGGTTTGCTACCAGAGTATTTACGACAGCAGGAAGGTGTGTGTGCATTGAACAAAAATAAACTACAGAGTGCATGTTGTGGTAATGAGCGCAACGGTGTGGCTCACTGAAGTGTTTTTAATTGTTTTTGGACAACACTGGAGCTGTATGGAACAATACTTGTTGGTAGGATCAATTCAATGTTGGTTTTGGTCTTGTGATTAAATTTGATGCCACTAAATTAATAATTTCAACAGGAGCCATGGATGATGTTTGAGTTACCTGTCTATCTTCTACCGGCCGTTCACTGCTTTGTCCGGTGGCAGCTTCAGTCTCTTTGGGGACAACAACCGTAGGTTCCTAACACCAACAATGAGACATATTAAAATAGTCCATATAAACCACCAAGCCAAAATGCTGAATGGCTGAAAGAGAGAACACTGTTGAGTGGGGTTAACAAGGTTCAATGGTGCCGCCACACAGATTACAAACACTGTTCAATACTGCTCTCTAGAGGAAGAACAACACAGGATTGCAGAGAGGTTAAGGTAGAAAACAGGGAGTTGTGACTGCAGTGATTGAAGAGATGTATTAAGGATCAGGGAAGGGATTGTAGATGCAGCAAGCAGCTGATATGATAAGACGGTAGTAGAGGTGAAAAACATATTGCCAGCAGTGATGTGGAGAGCAGAGTGACCCAGGTCAAAAAGATCAGATCTTAGTCATATAGAAATGATTTAATAACAACTAGACTGCTGGGATACAAGCAATCAGCCACATGGTCTAAAAGAGTTAAACTAGGGCTGGACAATAAAACAATAACAATTATTATCGCAATATAATTTTTTTCAATAACCATATAACAAATGTTCAATAAATATTCAATAAATGTTTGACTTTATTCACTTGAATCATCCACAAATTAGGACTTTTTATTAAGATGTTTATTTTGTGGGGGAAAAGGGACCGAAAAAAGCTTTTACTTAATTTGACTCGCGCATATTTGTTGACAAAGATTTTATCATAATTATGTTTTCCACCTCAGATTTATGTGATGTGATCTACTGTTTAGCATCTAGTGTTGACCATAATTTAGAGTTTAAACCACAACATCAGGTTTCTTCAACTTCCACTCAGAAGCAAAAATCAGCCTTTAAACTCAAAAGAAATAACGATTTGATACTTATCGTGATAATTATCGATCTCGATAGATATGAAAATCTTTATCGCGATAACATTTTTGGCCATATCGTCCAGCCCTAAGTTAAAACTAACAGATTTGACTATATTTTGTTGTAAAACTCTTTGAGCGTGATAAATACCTCCCACCTACATTGTAAGCAGCTGACCTTGGGTCACAAAGAACTCCGAGGGGAAAAAGAGGTGACCAAAAGGATTGTGGGAAAGAGGAACGAAATGAATGAAAGTTTTTTCCAAAGCAACTCTCGGTCTTCTTTACCTCTGGAGAAGTGCCCAGGAAAGCATCCCAGAGCCACCAGAAAACACCTCCTCCACCTTCTTCCACTCTCTGCTCCTCACTCCCTTTTTCCTCTCCGGCTTCTTCAGCCTGGAGCACGCCTTCATGCTCCCGCTGCTGACACGGAAATACGCTCATGTGCAGTCACACGGGGGGGGTCAAAAGTGCATCTGGGACACTGAGCTGTAAGCTGGCCACGGCTGCTGCTAATTAATCAGTGTTAGCTTTGTATAATGTCTGCAGTTCTATTGTTTTTTTTCTAACCTTTCTAACCTCTGAAAGATGTTTTCAATGATCTTTGGTGAAAAGTTGGAAAGAAGGAACAAGTAAATAATCCGTTTTATAAATGCAGATCAAAGAATTATTTTAAAGACAGCGTCACACTGCAAAGTGTTGTAGTTTATTAAGACAGACACAGCTGTGATGCCTCTAGAGAATCAATATTAAAACTGAAGACTCTGCAAAAACATTACATCAAATCAAAATATTCTACGAATTTCCCTGTAAATTCAGCCTGACTTTAGCGGCTTTAAACAAAGTCCACGCCACATGATGTGTGCAGGTGGGGAGGTGAACATGAAGGCCAGTTTTTACTGCATGTGAAATTGTCTTGCACAGCAAACTGTAGCTCGATGTCCCACTATCTGCACTCAGTTTCCAAAACAAAACAAACTGTAGTATTAAGCATGCAGGATTTGCAATATGTTAAATAACTTTGTTAAAAACACATGGAAGCATGGGTAAGCAGGCATGTTAGTGCCACTCATTCTAACTTTTCTTCTAACCATCAAAGACCACAGGGAGAATATTGTTTTTCAAAACACAGGTTTTTTGTTGATGTTGATTTCATGTCAATGAGACAAACACGCTTTGGTGGCACACCACTGTAAAGATACAGTGTTCGTTAGTTTGGTGTTTTTAACCAGAGGGTTGGCTCCCTGCCTTCCTTACCTGAGTGCTGTCAGGTGTCCAGGACAGTCTCTGTTCAGGTGAGGACTGTTTCACTGTCTGCAGCATGGCTCCGGATCTCTTCAGTACGTCCGCTTCAACATGAGCAATTCTGATTTGATCCTGCTAAAGTACAGTTTTTGTTAAACTGATTTCTTATTTGATATAAATGAACATATTCTTGACCATGAAGAATTTTAAGTCACTTTACCACCATACTTTAATAACTGTTGTTGTCGGTCTAACAGGTGAGGCCCCATCCACTCTACTACGGTTCTGTTTTAAAACGGAGACCTTTTGCTACATTTGCACCTCCCATCCAGATTAAAACGGAGAAGTTGGAAAATGCTGCCGACCCCGCTTTTCGTTTTAAAACTCCGGAAAGCGTTTTAGTGTGGACGGGCAAAAATGGAGGAAAATGGAAACGCTGACGCAGACGCTCACGTTTGGCTCTCTGGGTCTCATCAGTCATGCAAAGTAGAAACACGATGCTGCTGACAGAGTTTTTTAATTTGGTATTTTTATTAAAATATTCTGTACGGTGACAGCCTACACTTATGTATGTCGCTGTATTTACTACAGTCCCAGCTCGTTATTGGTCCATGTAAAAAAATAAAAATCTGGAGCGGTTCCTCATCTGTACTTTATACTTTCACCAAATCTTCTGTAAGTACGGAACAGATTGTCTGCTTCATGTTTACACCGGCACGCTCATGCTCTGTGTACGTGAACGCCCACAAGATGTGCGTTTTCAGCCGTTTTAGTATAGATGGAGATCAACTCGCAGCTAAAACGCTGGTGTGGTGATTGCATTCGTTTTTAAAGATGGGGCCTTAAAGAGTTAAATTAAGCCAAAGACAAAGCTTTGAACCAAACTCACCTCAGACTCCACTGAAGTGGATTTTAGAAGTTGAGGCTGAGAGGTCGTCTGCTGGGCCACCAGAACTTTGGTTTGGATCGGAGTCGCGGGCTGCTGGATGAACACAGCAGGGACCTTCTATAAAGAGAGTAAAGCAGAAGGTTCAGTGATGGATGCTTGAGTGAGAGAGTGAGTGAGTGAGTGAGTGGGTAACTGATTGACCTTCTCCAGTTCCAGCAGCAGAGTCTGGAGCTGGTCCACTACAGTAAAGACAGTCAGGGTCTCTTCAGCCTTCTCTGGAAGACAAAGGTCTGGTTTACACTTCTGGATCTCCGCTACAGTCCTCCTCATGGACTGGATCCTCTGCTCAACAGCCTGTACACATAAGAGGGGTTTCAGAAAAACAGCTCAGAAACATGCCTTTTTTGTATTAAAACAAACTTCTACTCTTTACAATTTGTGGCTTGAGCCATTAAAGCATAAACAGAGTTGACAATCGCTCGATCAGCTTCATTTCATGAATCTTCCAAACCACGTCCCACCTTAAGGCTTTCTTCTCTGGGGCTGGGGAAAGTCTCTGGAGACGATAATAAGGTCTTGACTTCAGCCACATCATTCTCCATCCGCTTGACTTCACTCTCAATGGCTTCCACCTCCTACACAGCAAGAGATCAATCAGTATATTAGACCATTTATAAAACAGAGATAAACTAACAGAAATCGGTTGAAGAGTTCAAAGATCTAAGACTCACGGCAGCGGCGTGCTCCAGCTGAGACAGAGGAGCAGTGAAGCTGTCTTGAACGTTGGCCACTTGGCGGTCGGCGTCGACTAGTTGTTCCTGGAGAGCTGTGACGTCACAAACCTGTGACATTTCCTTCAGAACTGAGCTGAAGCCCTGCAGAGTGGTTCGGATCTGTGCCGAGTCATCCAACACCGTCTGCAACACAAGACAGACGGCAATATTTGTTGACAACTGTGTTGATAATCAGTAAAGATCCATCAAGAAGTTTTCCATTTTTTCAACCAATTCAGCTCATTTTAAAAACAGAATTTGCTTCATTTCCATTTGCTACATTCTGTTTGATAAAGTATAAATTAAACATTTAATTGAATAGCTGATTACAGTAATGTGCTGTGTAAAGAAAGGCACAGACCCCAGGTCAGTGTACCCACCTGCAGAGCGCGAACATGGCCACTCAGACACTTAGCACTGGTGTAGGTGCAGGGAGCAGCGAGCCACGACTGAGCCTCTGCCATCCAGCTTTTAGAGCTCTTAATCATCTCCTGATGCTCCTGAAGCCACGTTTGGATCTGAACAGAAACACAAACCATATTTTCTTTAAGGGCGGGTTCACACCGACATTGTTTCGTCAGGCTGAACCAAACCCCGGAGCGTTTACCCCCCTCACTGCAGTTTTATGGTTCTTCTATTACTACTATATTTTGTCAATATCATATTTATAAAGTTTTACGTCTATTGTTACACAAATAGTCACAAAGCAAATTCCTTGTATGTGTAAAAACTACTTGGCAACAAAGATGTTTCTGATTCTTATTCTGATTCCAGATAGCAACTTCCGACGCGATCCGAAATTGCAAATCAAAGCACATACAGTACACAACAAAGTGGTATTTACTGTACATGCAGACAGGAGCTGCAGAGAGTTGCAATGCTTGTGAGCAGGGCATTATGAGTGTTTCCTAATGAGAAATATGGGTGATACATAACATCAGATGTTTGCTAGTGATGACTGAAAACAAATAGTATAAATATTAATTAAATACAATAATAATATGGCTATGGGCTGCCTGATTTCAAAAGTATCATAGCAACAAAGCCAAATCACATGTTGTTGTTGGAGATCAAACAAATCTGCAGCCACAACAGCTCTGACTTCATGAAATCATAGCCAGAGAATAAGACAGGTGACATTAAACACAGGCAGTTTCAGATGTGAAAAAGAGGAGTGAGGGGAACTGAAGTGATTCTGACCTTGCTGATGAGGGTGGTCCTCTGCTCTGCCTGTTTGGCCAAGTGGGAGTGGAGCTGCTGGACCTCCACAAGTCTCTCAGTGAGGGTCAGTGCCTCCTCTGGTTTCTCCAAGTCCTGCATGTCCACCTCAAGCGCCGCCATGCACGAGTGCCACACGTCCAGCTCATCCCACACACGCTGCACACAGACACACATTCACAGGTAGTCATGACACTGTCCTCCGGGTGGACATTAGACATCAATCTCTTTCCAGATGACTCAATACAAAAAAAAAATGATTCCTCATTTTCCATTCAACAAAGAAACAGAGATGGAGAAAAGTTTGCTGTCCACCTCCACGTCACTACCCACCTTCTGAGTGATCTTTGCGTGAGTCACAGTGGGGCCTTGCTGTTCAAGTCTTTTCTGAACTGACCTCAGGCCAGCCTGGATCTCAGACAGCTTTGCCCCCAGCCTGTGGACAGGACCGCTCCTCTTCACCGCCTCTCCCACCTGATGGACGAATTAAGTAGAAACCATTTTAAAGTAGGAAACAGGTTGTTGTTTTCAAGTCAGGAATTGTTTGAGATTTGTTATTGCCCCAAACATGTTTCTTCCTACACACTACACTCATTCATTATACATGTTTGTTAATGGTTATTTTATTGTGTCCAGTCAGAGATGTCAACTGTAAAGATGTCTGTATGTAATTATTTTTAATTTCATATTGAAATTTTAAGGATTTTCTATGCCAGGATATTCCCATCGTTGTTCTTTTATGAGTCATACACAGATGTAATCCTATTAGATGATTGGTTCAAGCAACCAAAAGTATAATCTGACATTCTGCAGATGTGTAACAGTCTTCCCTGTATTCTGGTAGCAGGACTCCTTAACTCCCCCCTGAAGTTCCTCTGTGACTCACTGTGTTGTGTACAAATATTCTTTAAGGGCCAATTTATTCTTCATCTTTCTATCAGCTGTGTTAAATCAAAGTCCTGTGTACCTTTACTTCAACTTGCTGCAGGGACTGTTTGACCTCCTTCAGCTGGCTTTCGATCTCGACCGGGACCAGAGTGTACATGTCTGAGTACTTCATCCTTAGCCTCTCCATGATGCTCTGGAGCAAAACCTTCTGGGTACACAGCTGGCTGTGAACCTCCTAAAACCAGAGAGAAGAATTGTTTAAAATCACAGGACGCAGAAAACCAGACGAGAAAGCGAAGATGACGAAGTCTATGTTGGAAAAATAAAACAGAAAGTCTTTGTGTTCTGCAGGTATAATCACAAATCTCAATATTTACTAATTTCTTAGTGCCATTTAATTTCAAAGTGCCACAAATCAGCTTTGCCAGGACAATTTCTCGACACTGCCTCCTTCAAAAAACACTTGTAAGCAGATTGTTAAACAGTCAGTGACACCTCACTTTCTGCAAGCATCAGCTTCAGCCAAATTGTTGCAGAGAACAGTGTAATTTGTATGTAATTCTTCAATCAAATAGCGGAAACCTTGCCGTATTTTGGAACAAAAAACACAGACATCGATCTTATCTACATCTCTCACCGAACAAACTGCTGGTAAGCGCTGTGTGTTTTGTTTAGCACTCAGCTCCCTCTCTCCTGTGCGGTTTTCATCAAACAGAGCCTACCTCTTCAAAGTCCTTCAGTTCCACAATAGTCAAAGTGAACTCTTTTCACCTCTTCAGGATTCTACTTTACAATAACAGTCGACATTAAATAAGAAAATGTGTTAATATGTGAGAGATAATACTGAGGACGCTACCTGAGTCTGTAAACGACCGATGGTCTGCTGAAGAGGGAGGTGCATCTTGTTATCACTATGGGAAACTGAGCATGTTTGTGTGTGTGTGTGTGTGTGTGTGTGCGATACAAAGGAAGGGAGAGTATGGGGAGACAGTTTCTTTGCATAAGAGAGTGTGACATGGTGAGTGCACGGTGTGTCTATCTCTGTGAGGACCAATTTGCATTTTCTTTATGAAAAAGACGCCATGTCAAGTAAGTCTGAAAGTGAGGACAATTTATAATGTTTAGGCATTTTCGAAAAGAGATATTTCATATTTGGAAATTCTGTATACGTTTAGGAAAGTGAGGAAATAGCTTCATTTTAGAAAAGTCTGTACAATTTAGAAAGGTGAGGATTTTTTGTGGACTTCTTGAAAAAATGTCAATGTCCTCACAAGTACAGAAGTAGAAATCCGTGCGTGTGTGTGTGTGCGTGTGTGTCCATGGAATGACTTGGACACAAAGGCCACCTGGAAGATCCACTTACAACACAGAACAAAAGATGTCTGGTACAAGAGGAGGGGTGAGGGTAGTGGGAGTGATGGGGGAGATGTGGGGTGATGGAGGGGGTGTTCAGGTCTTTTATCAATACAGACCCCTCTGCTCTGAGGAAATATGTGTGTGTGTGTGTGTGTGTGTGTGTGTGTGTGTGTGTGTGTGTGTGTGTGTGTGTGTGGAGATGTTGGCCTCTGGTCAGGTTTCGGGACAAAGGGCAGAGTGAGTCTACGGGTTGGTGGGTTCATAGAACTGAACTCCAAACACCAAACAGCCTCTGGGCCCGAGGCCAAGCCAACGGTTTCATATTTACTGGACACCTGCACCACACAGTCATTGTCATAACGTTTAAAAGTTTTTGATCTGCAGATCTGAGGATACTTCGATCAATTAAAAAATATATTTATTATTTATAATATATTTATCATTTTTTGTTTGTGTTTATCTTGTTTTAATATTCAAAATAAATATTGAGACTAAAACTATTTTTGAGCTAGCTACCAGCTGAGCTTCATGAGAATCGTTAACACACTAACTGCGCTGAGACTGAAACAACCCACTGTAAGCAATATTACACTGTATTAGACGTCGTAATGTTTATAAGGCATCATTTTCAGAGTGTACTGGATTTGGGCTGCAGAGTGTTAGGAAGCCTGTTTATAAAAATAGCAATGAGCTATATTTTGGTTACAGAGTACAAACGCATCATTGTGTTTTCAGTTCAGACGTCCTGTCCTGTCTCATTAGAGACAAGTTATTTACACTCCACTTGCTGGAGGAGAGACACACTCGAACGCAAACTGTGATGTGCTGTTTGGATCAGAGGTTCTTAAACTGGGGTCTGGAGACACCCCGAGGTCCTTCATGATGCTACCACTAACTTTAATCCCTCAGTTTGTTAGTTCTCTGACTACGTAGACCTCGTTTCCATACAGCAAATCAAATTCCTTTTAAAGGCAGTAAGGTCACCATACGGGCAGACAGCAGCCTGCTACACACCACAAGAGCAAAACACTTCAAACAAGTATTAGCACAGACTGTTCATGTTTTGTTTAGTTGTTAATTTAAAGGGACTGGAATCATAAACTTCAATACGTGTGCCAAATAAAATCTGACAAATGCTACTAAAGAGAAACTCCTAAGACCATGGTCCACTGTCATGGGTCACATACAGCCTTGCCAAATGAAGCAAAATGTTCTGTGTGCGCTTGTGAAGTGAGATGTACTGAATACATGAACGCTGATCAACCCGAAACAATCAGCTCACCGCTGCAAAATGTTTTCAGAAGTGTACTGCTGGTTTGCTGTGACGATGAAACCCGAGAAAACAAACAGGAGGCGTGACGTAGCCCTGATGAACACTAGTTTAGAGGAGTGTCCCACCTGGAGCTCCTGTGTGCTGCTGCTCTGCTCCATCTCTGACAGAAGACCATCTGCAGCCTCCAGCCAAACCCGGACGCCCTGCAGCTCATCCCGAACCTTTTCCCTATCCTCCAGCTCCATCCTGGCTGCCTTCAAACCATCCCTGCTCCTCTGCTTCACACTGTGAAAAAAACATAAAAAACACATACGTCCAACAATTTAAACAATAATCTAACAACGTCTTACCTTAAATCCATGAAAGTGAGAGTTTGCTTTGAGAACACCGTCCACCATTAAATCCAAAGCACAGGGCTTCATGGCAGTTTAAGTGCTGTCAGTGTAAATGTATTTGAATACAGTCCAAACTCAGAGGCACCGCAGTTTACATCCGACCCACTTTCCTCTGATTGCTTATGCAGGCGTAGCAGGGCTTATGGGTAATTGAGCTTTTTATGTTGACTGCCCGATAATTGCCTTGGAAATAATAAAAACTCCTATTTAGATTTTACAAGAGTGGAAATCAATATGAACGAGGTTCATTTATACTTTAACAAAAAGAAAGCGCTGCAAAGTTTGGAGGGAAAGTATCAAGACCTCAAATGTCACTCAAACAAGCTGCTTTTCATCTTGTCTGGGACTTTTGCAGATGGTTCAATGAGATTCAGAAATCAATCAAAATTACACTGAACTGTTATTAGTGCCTCTAAATGTCATACATCTGCAGAGCGACTGTTATTTACATGAGACTTAAAGGCAGGCAAAGCAGGAAATGTACACTTGATGATAGAATGATCCTCTAAATAAATGTGCGGTGTCTGATCGAAGAATTTTAAACGGAGATCTTCACCAAAGGTTTTCAGCCACAGTCATGTAAATAAAGTTATGACCTGCAAATCAATCACCATCTTACCTGCTGTATCGACTCTGCATCGCCTGCAGCTGTTGACAGAGTGGAGTGGGAGGAGCCCGCTCCAGGTGGGCGGGGACACCCAGCAGCCGGGCAGTGCGCAGTTCCAGTGCGGACAAGGCTCGGTGTTCACAGTCTAGGCTTTCCTGGTACTGTTCCCAGGACTGCAGCAGGTCCTGAAGCTCCTCAGTGGAGGCCTTCAGCCAGGAGCCATCTGGAAGCTCCGCCTCCACCTGCTCCAGGACAGCAGAGGCCTTTTCGACCTGAGAGGAGAGGCCGCAAACAGTATGGTCATGATAATGCTTCATAGCAATATGAGCACACAAACTAATACAAAGTGGCAATTCTTCATTGAAATATTATTTATTCTTGTATTTCTTGTAAATCTTAACTTAAACATTAATGTAATGTAGCTATTTCCACTGCCAGGGCATTACCTTTTATCTGGCTTGTTAAAACAAGTTAGAGTCCAGATGATCATAACATCATAACAGGCACCTTCTGAGCAGCAGGTTAACAGATATAAATGTGGTTCCTTGATTTTGAGCAGGTATCAGCAGAAACATTTTTCTTTTATTAGAGAGCAGTAGAAACAGTTTATGTTTAGTTCACGCACATGTCCGCCCGCCGCCAAAGCTGAATTGTCTTGACCTTTTTGTATGTGACGGGAAGCACAAATCATTGGAAGATCCGTCCACCGTAAAAGGAAACTGACGTAGCCTACCGCGACAGCACGACGGCACCTGATCAGAAAGCACCCGGTCTATCATCTAGTCCACGGAGCGGAGCACAGGCAAGGCAACAGCAACTTTGGCATTTAACTGAAATCACGATTGATTGTTGAGTTGAAGGCTAGCCAAAGTAAGCTGCAGCTGTAAATGTACACATGTGCGTTTGTTATTCGCCGCCTGGTTGGGCCGTGAGTTTGGGTTGTAACGTCACAGTCATGAGTTAACTTACACAGCTGATCCCGGTACCGGCGGGGTGCAGCCGAGCACTTCTTAAACGATGCATCGATGAATTGATGAACTGATAAAATAATTATGATGAAATAATCTGTAGATACTCTGTAGATATTTTGGTATTTTACTTACACTGTTGGTGATTTCGCTCCATTCTGCGATCCTCCGTTTACAGCGAGTTGTCAGTGCTTGTGTGCAGCGACCTAGTCTTGATATCCGTTTCCAGAGAGAAGTCACGGTGGCCTCCCTGCCTCCACGACAGCTCTGCTCTGGGCACCACTCCTTCAGCTCCTCCAGACGCCTCTGCAGGGACTCCACCTCCTCAGACAGAGCCTGAACAAGAGAGAGCGACATGTCAATCAAACAAAGCTGTTTTTACATAAGTGAAGATTAAGTAAGTAAGGGGCAACGGTGATCAATCAACTTTCCCAGGAGGTTAAAATCTCAAAAGAGAAACAAGTCAACAGTTCTAAGCAGAAAACTTCAGAAGCAGAAAGCTGAAGAACATTATCTAGGTGTATCTTTCTTGAATTCTTTACTCTTCTCACTTTCTGACATAACTTTTACTTTAAAAATACTTACTTTGAGGTTGGCTTGCTGGTCAGTGCAGTCAGCGAGACAGGTGACCTTTTGACTGATGAACCCTGAAAGGCTGTTCTCTGCTCTCTTCACACTCAGAGTAATTTCATCTTGGCACTTGGTGTATTTTCTGTGATGTTCTGCACACCTGAGAGAGACATTTTGATCTGTTAATGTCCAATTTTTTAAATGCAAATGAGGGTCTGTACAGCTGGGATGCGGTCTGGAACCAAAGCAATTAGCACATGTTATCTTGTTGCACATGTAGGTACACACTGACATCAATAAGACCTTTGTGAGCTTATTACCTGCAGAGACACTCCAGTCGAACATGGCCCTTTGCCTGCAAAGTGGACATCCTCACCAGGAGCTGGCTCAGAATATTCTCCTGGAGCTGCTCCACCTTCTGGGGGGACAAGTAAGGGTGCAGGGCAACCTGGTTCTGGAGCTGCTCCACATGAGTCTGGAACTGCTGTTGCAGTGAGGCCAAAGCCTGCTGGATCTCCTCTAGCCTTTCAGAGCAGAGTCCCGCAGGGCCCAGCGGCGGCAGCAGAGAGGGCTCGATGTTCCTCAGGAATTGTACTGCTTGTCTAACATCACATGTGTAGCTTCTCAAAGACTCTCTGGCCTGGGAGATGTTCTCCTAAAATAGAAACACAATTTCTTAACAACAGACTCTAATCATATTAGGGCTTTCCAGCATTCCAGTCTTGGTTTTCAGTCCATTTCCATTTTTGACCATATTATCCACACCCATTATAATTTGTTGGCTGATTTTTAAGTACAGGAAGTAGTTCTGCAAAATGTAGATTATGGGACTTGACCAACAAACATAAGTTATGTCCATAGCATTTGAACGCAATTACTTTGTTTTAACCTGCAGGGTATATGGTGGGTTTCACGTTCTCATGACGTTTAAAATAATGTAAAATACTGTAAGTTGCCAGATCTAGAATCAGATACTACATTAACTTTCATATGCTTCTCTATGATTGTCTAAAAAGCAATTTAAAAACAATAAAAAAACAAACAATGCAACTTGCCATTTGTGAGTCACATTCACTGAGGACTGCATTCTTCAACTCCGTCAGATTCTGCAATCGACTTCCTTGTCTGGTTCCCTTCTTCTTCTCTAGAACCTCCAACGCTCTCATTCTTGACTCTACAGTCTTTTTCAAATATATGATTCTCTGGTATTTGTTGCTGATTGCCGCTTCATTTGGCGTCAACATGGGGAGTTCCTGGAGCTCCTGCTGGGTCTTCCAGAGGAAAGTCTGAGCGTCTGCCGTCTCTGAGTCGAGGTCCAGTTCCTCAAGCAGGTTCCACTCGATGATGCTGAGGTCGTTGTAGAGTGTCATTTCCAAGGTGTCAAGGCTCTCCTCTTTTTGTTTCAGTCTCTGTCGCTCTGCATTCAGTTGTGACGGGTAAAGGTCAGCACAGATCACCTGGAGTTTGGAACCAGCCTCCTCAGATAAATATTTTATCAGAGGAAACTGGACTAGGAGGGTCTGACAGACTTTGTACTTCTCCTCCAGCGCTCTGCTGTCGTCTTTGGTCTGACGGAACTGTTCCTGGATGTTATCACTGAGGTCCTCCACACACTGCCTCATGTTCAGGTACCTCTCATGATCTGTGGCTTTCATCTCCAGAGTGGTCATTTTGCTGTGAAGTTCAGAAATGACCAAATACAGTTCCCTTGTCTTTTCCTGGGGAATCCATTGTTGCAAGAGGTCAACCTGGGATTTGTACTCCAAAATCATGTGTTTGAAAGGTTCCAAAGCTTGCAGGGACTCTCTTGTGATCGGGTATCTGTGTCTACTCACATCTACTAACATCTGCCTCAGGCTTTTTTCAATGGTGACCAGTTTCTTTTTGCTTGAATCTACAGCTGAAGTGAGTTCATCCAGCTCCTTTTTATTGGTCTTCTCATAGCTGCTGATGGCTCTGATGTCCTCCTGGAGGTTGGTAAGATTGTCAAACAGCTGACAGTTCTCTGTGATGCTGAGTTCAGAGGAAATGTCTTTGCTCTTCATTAAAAGAGCCTCACAGACAGCGGACTGCTTCTCAGCCTCAGCCAGGGTCTCTTGAATCTGACGAACTCTGCGGTCAAGTTCAGCAGGATTCCTGAACTCACAGCTGGCACTCCTGGAGGCTTCTCTGTGCAGATGAGCCACAACCCAGGAATCTAGGTCAGCAATCTGCTCTGATAGCTTTTCTCTGGTCTGCAGTCCTGACTCTATCTCTCTCACGGCCATGGCTAGCTTCTCAGTAGTTGACTTTGAGAGTTCTTCAAGGGACTGCAGAGAGGAACGCACCATGGGCACCTCCTCAGCCTGGTCCAGCTGTGGAAGGAGCTCTGTCATCTCCTCCACCAGTGACTCCAGTTGACCCTGTTTGGTCATAACCTCAGACTGCATCTTCTTCAGATCTCTGAGCTGCCGGTGCACCTCCTCAGGGAGGAGTGCCACCCTCTTCCTCCTGCCCTCAATGTCACACTCTGTCTGCTTCGCCCAGGCAAGGCCATCCCTCATCACCACGATGATTTTCTCCATGATGGGGTTGTTGCTGTTCTGGGTTTGACAGAGCACTAGCTCCTCTGTGTGGCACAGTTGGTCTTTGACCCTCTGAAGTCCCTGCTGTATCTCTTTTGTTTCTTTCTCCCACCGTGAACTGAGAAGTAGTGCCTCTGACAGTTGCTGCAAATGAAGGTATTTTTGCTGGGCAGCTTTAAACTCAGCGTTTGCTACCATCATCTGTTGCGCCTTCTTGCAATTCCACTCAGTAACTGAAGAAGACTTGGCATCGTGGTCTTTAACGATTGTCTCCAAATGTTCCTGAAGACCTGATATCTCAGACATAAGGCTGCTTGTCTTGTGAGAATGGACATTCGCGTGATGCAAAGTCCGCTCCACAGCTCTTTCCAGGCCTCTCCACTTCTCTTGTAGGTTCTCCTGCTCAGTCTGCGCGGTTACTCGCTCAGACCGACTGAGGTGGGGGCATAACTTGGTATGAGTCACGAGCAACTCCCCAAGTACGGTTCTGTTCTCCTCCATACTTCTCTGTAACGAGCGTAGTTGCACTGCCTCCTTGGAGCTACTCTCCTTTGGGGACCTGAAAGAAAAATGGTCAGGTCTATAAGGCTACGTTCAGACTGCAGACCAAAGTGACTCAAATCTGATTACTGCTCATAGGTGACCCAGATCCGATCTTTTTACGACAGTGTGAACAGGCCAAGTCACATGGAATCTGATCTTTTCCAGTCGGATTGGGACCACTTCCATGTGTGTTCCAAATCCGATACAGATCGGATCTTTTTAAATGCGACCTCAGTCTGGACACAGAATTGATGCGACTTTGACGTCACTCTAGAGCAGCTGTTGTCACAGTTCTGCTGTGGACGGAGCTGCAGTGAAGGAAAAAGCTTCACAAAAGCCATTATTATACATGTGGCTCTCTTCCTCCTGTACCTCGCTGTCATCTGCTCACAAATTCCCTTTCTTACACCTGAAGTCCACCAGACTGCGAGCTCTGCAGGCCGCGGACAGTTCACACTGGAGTCTGATAGGGGCCACATTTAAGCAATAATGTGAAATGTCAAACAAAAAAAATCCGACCTGGGAAAAACATTGAAATTGAGCATTAAGGCCTGCAGTCTGAACGTATCCTAAATGATGTGTTTGGCATTTGCAATGTTACAGATAACGAATCACTCCTCCTTGGTTTAAACTTTGGCTTGATGTTGAGTTTAGTTTGTCTGTTCTTGTATGTTGTAAATTACTGTTATGCGAGATTAGACCCCAGGAAGAAAAAAATTAAAGAGTTAAAGTAATCTCGAACACTAATTCAACAACAATTTTAGAAAATGTGCAAGTTTTTAACTACATTTTCTAGAGTATTTAAAATTAAAAATAATTTCCCATTTTGATTATTGTGTACAATAAAATGTTATTGTTTGTTGATCCCACTGTATAGTAAAAAATGCTAAATATTTTATCCTACCTTAAACTGCAACCTGCAATTAAGAAATGAAAAGGAAACCATAGATAACAACTCACATTCTGACAGCATCCAGTTCTGCCGTCAGTCTCTCCAGTGTGGTCTTGGCTGCTTGGCTCTGTCTGCAGTAATCAGTCACCACCTGCAGCTGGGCCTCTTTACTCTGGATGACAGCCGCTGCATCCTGAACAGCAGTACTCCAGTGGTCCTCCACTTGCTCCATAGCAATCCTGTTCTCAGAATCAGCCCGTCTCAACTGAGAGAGCAATGACAGCTGTGCCTGGGCAGTCTCTCGGCACTCCTGTACCCACCAAGCGAAAGTAAAATCATAGACAATAATTTAAAGCCTGTAGTTTTATGCGAATGTTAAATTTATAGAGACTATCTAATTATTACAAAACACAAGTATGAGCATGGTTTATTTCAGCAGTCACAAATTGTAAGGTCATGTTGCAGACTTGTAATGTGTATTGTAGTTAATAACAGGTTGGTACAGATATGCATTGGAGATATCCAATTCCAGAGGCACTATGGCATTATTATCTATGCCAACCTGCTGTCCAATTCCACAAGTATCTACAAAACAATAAATGCCATAAATGAATTTTTATTATTTGTCAAGTAAGTCATGCAACATGTTATTTTGAATCGCACCTGAGCCTCCTCCAGCTGCTGTGCCATGGCTGTCGGATTGAGCTCAGCTGGTTGGTTCTTGCAGCTCAATACTTTAGACATCATCCTGCTTAGATGATTGCCCGCATCACTGCTGGATGATATCAGAGCCTCTGGAGCATCTTCCTGTGGTTTGCCCTTAAGACACAGAAACACATCAGAGCCTTGAGTCTTAAAAAAGGGGTCTTGCATTAGTCAGTTTATTTAAGGCCTATATGAGAAACTTTTTTATATCCACATTTAGCCCTCTAAAACTAAGAATTAAGTACCCTAAAATGTTCCAGCATTAACAAATGCAGCCATTTTTTGGCAATTTGCCGTGTATTTGTCAGTGGACAGCAACAAGAAGGATGCAAAATAGACAAATGTCACAACCATGAACTAAATTCAAACCAGCAGTGCTCATCACACCACTTTTCTCATAAAATATTCCTTGCACTTGTGTGTAGGATTTGACCCTTTATAACTTTGGCGGCTTCTCGGGGGAGTTTAAAAAAGACACGGCAATCACTCTACCTCACTGATTGGACTGCTGGGTCCTGTCCCTGTGGGTCGCTGTATTTCTGTGAAGATCTTCCTCATAGCAGATCCTTCCGGGACCTCCAGAACAAGTTTCTCAGTCTTCACAACAGTCTTCACAACACTTGCTTCTGCTTGGGCTTTGTTCTCCTGAGAGGGCAATCCTTCCACCAGGGTTATTTCATCCCTGATAATGTCAGTTGAGGATTTCTGAACTGCCTGCAGCAATGCTGGTGATATCTTGTCAGCCCTGTACACCTGCTCCCATTGTGAAGACAAGAAAACAGTATTAATACAGGAAAAACTCCTACATATATTGTATACTGTTTCAGTGGAGCTGAGAAAATAACTCTGCCTCTCTTTGTGAAACTATTGAGGAAGTATACCACGCCTTACTCCTTTTGACTTGCATGATGATGATGATGACAACATGTACTGTAAGAGGAAGCTCATATTCCTACCCTGAGGCACTGAAACCTTTGGTAATTCCTTGCATCGCATGTCATACTATTAAAATGGAGCTGCATATGCCAATTGTACTGCCCAAAACTGCGCTCTACAAACTTGTAAGCTTTTACAGAAGCTCTTTAGGTACAATGACCAGTCATCCATGTGCATCTAAAAACATTATTAGGAGCTAGAGCAAACAAGCAAGACAGTGAGAATAATAGAGGATGCACATATATGACTTGGAGCAAGAACACTATCTTCATCCTCTTTTTCTCTCAATATCTCTCTCACACTCTCTCTAACTGTCTGCAGATGAGTGTGTCTCCTGTCTCACCTGTGGCGGATCCATACTCTGAAGCCTCACTTCACCAGTGGTGGGGGTTGTGGCCATTGGGAGTGGAACATTTTGTATTTCTACAGTGACCACCTTTTCCATTTCCTTAACCTGAATTGTACTGTTGTCGTCCTTCTCTTCTTCTTTCTTCTTTGTTGAGTGGCTCTCTGTTTGGACCCTAGGGACCACACTGGGCTCAGACAGGGATTCAGTAAAGCTTTCTCGCACTCCTGCCTCGGTCATCTTAATTGCAGACTTGTCAGGCTGAACATCAGTGGTGGTCACATCCTTGCTTTCGTTATCTGTCTTAAGCTGGACACTGGATTCCATCCTCGGTTCCTTTTTTATTTGGACAGTTCGGCATTCATGAACGCTCACATGGATTTCTCCCTTTTTAACAGACTTCTCATCCAGGCTCTTGGGTACATCCTGCATGTCACGTGGTGATACTTTGGCATGTTTTTCATGGACACTAATGTCTTTGACCTCTTTGGGTCTGTCCTGTGTGGTTTTCAGGAGCTCTAGCTGAGTCACAGTCTGGTTTGGTTTCAACTTGTCTTGTCCAGATAAGCTTATTTCTACAAAGTCTGTCGCTGGCTCATGTGGCTGAGCAGATGTAATAATGTCAGAGGCAGGTAGGTGAGTGGAGTCACTTTCAGCCACTTTCTCTTGCCTTCCCATACGGACTTCTTGCATTTCCACTCTAGACGTCTTGACTACAACCTTTTCTGGCTGAACATCAGCTGAAGTCAGGTCTCTGTTCTCTGACAACTTTTCAACTTTTTCACTTTGGATACTTGATTGATCACTTTGAACTGGGCTGGGGGCCTGCGGATCTGCTTGGAAAATGCACACTTCAGCCCCTTTGAGGATTTTCTCCATCCTAACAGACTTTTCATCCAGGCTCTGAGGATGCAATTCTTTTGTTGACACTACAGCATGCACTTCTTGCACAACGAGGTCCTTGACCTTTTGGGGTCTTTTCTGTGTGGTACTCATGAACTCTTGCTTATCGCTTGGTTTTACAGTGTCTTGCTCAGATAACTTTATTTCTGTAAATGTCTCTGCTTCACTTGGCTGCACTACTGCAAAAGAAACAGAGGTGGGCTGAGTGGAGTCACTCTTAGCGACAGTTTCTTGCCTTTCAGCGCTCATTTGTTGCGCTCCTATTCTTGTCTTTACGGCAGCTTTCTCCGGTTTAACATCAGAAGTCTTATCTTTGTTTTCTGGTGCTCTTTCACACTGGATACTTGTTTGAACTATATCAGTCCTCGGCTCTTTTGATATTGTGACAAATGTGCAGTCACGCTCCTCAAGACTGGTTGAGATATCTAGCTGTAAAACACGTACTTCAGGCCCCGTGTGGGTTTGCTCCATCCTAACAGACTTCTCATCCAGGCTCTTGGGTACATCCTGCATGTCACGTGGTGATACTTTGGCATGTTTTTCATGGACACTAATGTCTTTGACCTCTTTGGGTCTGTCCTGTGTGGTTTTCAGGAGCTCTAGCTGAGTCACAGTCTGGTTTGGTTTCAACTTGTCTTGTCCAGATAAGCTTATTTCTACAAAGTCTGTCGCTGGCTCATGTGGCTGAGCAGATGTAATAATGTCAGAGGCAGGTAGGTGAGTGGAGTCACTTTCAGCCACTTTCTCTTGCCTTCTCATACGGACTTCTTGCATTTCCACTCTAGACGTCTTGACTACAACCTTTTCTGGCTGAACATCAGCTGAAGTCAGGTCTCTGTTCTCTGACAACTTTTCAACTTTTTCACTTTGGATACTTGATTGATCACTGTGAACTGGGCTGGGGGCCTGCGGATCTGCTTGGAAAATGCACACTTCAGCCCCTTTGAGGATTTTCTCCATCCTAACAGACTTTTCATCCAGGCTCTGAGGATGCAATTCTTTTGTTGACACTACAGCATGCACTTCTTGCACAACGAGGTCCTTGACCTTTTGGGGTCTTTTCTGTATGGTACTCATGAACTCTTGCTTATCGCTTGGTTTTACAGTGTCTTGCTCAGATAACTTTATTTCTGCAGATGTCTCTGCTTCACTTGGCTGCACTACTGCAAAAGAAACAGAGGTGGGCTGAGTTGAGTCACTCTTAGCCACAGTCTCAGTGCTCATTTGTTGCGCTCCTATTCTTGTCTTTACAGCAGCTTTCTCCGGTTTAACATCAGAAGTCTTATCTTTGTTTTCTGGTGCTCTTTCACACTGGATACTTGTTTGAACTATATCAGTCCTCGGCTCTTTTGATATTGTGACAAATGTGCTGTCACGCTCCTCAAGACTGGTTGAGATATCTAGCTGTAAAACACGTACTTCAGGCCCCGTGTGGGTTTGCTCCATCCTAACAGACTTCTCATCCAGGCTCTTGGGTACATCCTGCATGTCACGTGGTGATACTTTGGCATGTTTTTCATGGACACTAATGTCTTTGACCTCTTTGGGTCTGTCCTGTGTGGTTTTCAGGAGCTCTAGCTGAGTCACAGTCTGGTTTGGTTTCAACTTGTCTTGTCCAGATAAGCTTATTTCTACAAAGTCTGTCGCTGGCTCATGTGGCTGAGCAGATGTAATAATGTCAGAGGCAGGTAGGTGAGTGGAGTCACTTTCAGCCACTTTCTCTTGCCTTCCCATACGGACTTCTTGCATTTCCACTCTAGACGTCTTGACTACAACCTTTTCTGGCTGAACATCAGCTGAAGTCAGGTCTCTGTTCTCTGACAACTTTTCAACTTTTTCACTTTGGATACTTGATTGATCACTTTGAACTGGGCTGGGGGCCTGCGGATCTGCCTGGAAAATGCACACTTCAGCCCCTTTGAGGATTTTCTCCATCCTAACAGACTTTTCATCCAGGCTCTGAGGATGCAATTCTTTTGTTGACACTACAGCATGCACTTCTTGCACAACGAGGTCCTTGACCTTTTGGGGTCTCTTCTGTGTGGTACTCATGAACTCTTGCTTATCGCTTGGTTTTACAGTGTCTTGCTCAGATAACTTTATTTCTGTAAATGTCTCTGCTTCACTTGGCTGCACTACTGCAAAAGAAACAGAGGTGGGCTGAGTGGAGTCACTCTTAGCCACAGTCTCTTGCCTTTCAGCGCTCATTTGTTGCGCTCCTATTCTTGTCTTTACAGCAGCTTTCTCCGGTTTAACATCAGAAGTCTTATCTTTGTTTTCTGGTGCTCTTTCACACTGGATACTTGTTTGAACTATATCAGTCCTCGGCTCTTTTGATCTTGTGCTGTCACGCTCCTCAAGACTGGTTGAGATATCTAGTTGTATAACACACACTTCAGGCCCCATGTGGGTTTTCTCCATCCTAACAGACTTTTCATCCAGGTTCATGGGTACATCGTACATACACTGTGTTGATACTTTAGGTTGCTCTTCTTGGACCCCACGTTCCATGATCTCTCTAGGTCTATTCTGTTCACTTTTCAAGAACCCAGTATTAATTTCAGTTTGGCTCGGTTTTACTATGTCTTGCTCATATAAGCTTATTTCTATACATTTTGTTTCTGTCTCATGTGGTTGCAATTTAGAAACAGAAGACGTGGGTTGAGCAGAGTCCCTTTGAGCCACATCATCTTGACATTCAGTACTGCTTTCTCGCACCTCTACCGTAGTCATCTTAAGTGCAGCCTTCTCTGGCTTAACATCAGCAGTAGCCATATCTTTGCTTTTTGGCACCCTTTTGCTCTGGATACTTGTTTGAACAATATCTATCCTTTTTGCTCTTGTGACAGACGTGTTTTCATCCTTCTCTGGGTTTGTCTGTATATCTAATTGTAGAATGTGCACTTCAGGCCCCATGTGGATTTTCTTAACATACTTTTCATCCAGGCTCTTAGGTATATCATGAATGGCTCGTGTTGATACTTCAGCATGCTCTTCTCTGACAGTATGAACCTTGTCCACTTTGGGTCTTTCCTGTGTGGTTTCCAAGAGCTTCAGTTGACTTGCAGTTTCACATGGTTTGATTATGTCTTGCTCAGATGAGCTTATTTCAAAAATTTCTGTCTCTGCCCTATGAGGCTGCACCGCTTCAAAAACAGCAGAGATACCTTGGGTGGAATGACTTTCAGATACACTTTCTGCCTCTGGCTGATCTGGCTTTATCTCACATGTCTGGGTAACTGCTATCTCAGGCACATCAAGGACCAGATATCTCTTCTGAATCTCATCTGTGTTTTTCCATAATTTGTCTATGTAATCTGCCACATGTGGTGTGTCAGTAGGCTCGGAAAGATTTGGTTGAGGCACTGTACTATAGTCTCTTTCTACAGACTGGGTAATGGTTTGTTCTACGGGCTCTTTAGAACTGTCTTTAAGCTCCTGTAACTCAGAATGTGGAGATTTGGTCATGGTTGAAATGAGGACAGGCTCCAGAGGTTCAGCCTGAGATGTACAAGTATCCATTTTTTCTGATGGTTGTACATATGTGGTCTCAACCCTCACCAATCCAGGGGTCTGAATATTTACACTCTCAGTACTCATCCATGGCTGAGTATCAGCTATCTTTACAAGAACCTCAGATGTGTCCAGAATGACCGTGGCCACTTTCTTTCCTGGGATCTCCGGAACGGTGCCACCAAGTTCAACAGTAAACCTATCGCCTACTGGACTGACGTTCTTCACAGTACATTGACTGTCCTCAGCCGGTTCCACTTTTTGAGGAACAGTTGATTTAACATCACCCATGATTGGAGGTTGGCTTATACTAACAATATCAATATTTTGCATCTTGGTCCATGGTGCCATGGCAATCTCTGAACTTTTAGACCGTTTCTTAGATTGTTCAGGTTGTGTATGAGTCTGTGAAGTTCCAGAAAGTTCTGGACTCTTTGACTTTCCTATGGTCCGTACAAGCTCTCCCACAACAATTTCAGTCTGCCTTGTGACCACCTCTAAAGCTGTGGTAGACTCCACAATTTGAAGTTGTTTCTTAGAATCTTCAGGCTCTATATCAGTAGGTCTTTGAAGGGCAGTTAGTGAAAACTTACTTGATTCTCTCGATTCAGCAAGTTCAGTTAATGCTGCACCCCCCTGTGCACACACGGGCTTTCCACTTTGAGGTACCTTCTCAGACTTCTCAGACTCTGGGTCTTGTTCCGTGAAAACCTCAAGACCCTTTGACATTCTATTGCTTGGTGAAAGCGTTCCTTTTTCCACAAGAGTAAATTCAATTTGTGCTATGCCCATCTCTGGAGATAAAGATGGCTTCTGACTGTCAGGCACTTCTGTGGTCTTTGTGAGCTCCGTGGAATCACATTCTATGGGAAGATTTACATTCATTGCCTTTCTTTTGGTGGGTGAAATCTCTCCTTTTCCCACAACAGTAATTTCCGTTTGGGATGTGACCACTTCTTCAGTTGAAGATGGCTTCTGTCTGTCAGGCTCTACCACGGTCTTTATCATCTCTGTGGTAGGAAGTTCTGGGGAAAATTTAAGGCCCTTTGACTTTCTTTTGGTGGGTGAAAGCTTTCCTTCTTCTTGACCATATGACTTTATTTCAGTAAGTGAGAGCTTTGCTTTTTCCACAACAGTAATTTCCGTTTGGATTGGGACTACCTTTTCAATTGAAGATGGCTTCTGACTGCCAAGCTCTACCATGGTCTTTGTCAGTTCTGTGGTAGTAAGTTCTGGGGAAAGTTTCAGGCCCTTTGACTTTCTTTTGGTGGGTGAAAGCTTTCCTTCTTCCACAACAGTAATTTCTGTTTGGGATGTGACCACTTCTTCAGTTGAAGATGGCTTCTGACTGTCGGGCTCTACCATGGTCTTTGTCAGTTCTGTGGTAGGAAGTTCTGGGGAAAGTTTCAGGCCCTTTGACTTTCTTTTGGTGGGTGAAAGCTTTCCTTTTTCCACAACAGTAATTTCCGTTTGGGATGTGACCACTTCTGCAGTTGAAGATGGCTTCTGACTGTCGGGCTCTACCATGGTCTTTGTCAGTTCTGTGGTAGCAAGTTCTGGGGAAAGTTTAAGGCCCTTTGACTTTCTTTTGGTAGGTGAAAGCTTTCCTTCTTCCACAACAATAATTTCCGTTTGGGTTGTGACCACCTCTGCAGTTGAAGATGGCTTCTGACTGTCAAGCTCTACCATGGTCTTTGTCAATTCTGTGGTAGGAAGTTCTGGGGAAAGTTTAAGGCCCTTTGACTTTCTTTTGGTGGGTGAAAGCTTTCCTTCTTCTTGACCATCTGACTTTATTTCGGTAAGTGAGAGCTTTGCTTTTTCCACAACAGTAATTTCCGTTTGGATTGGGACTACCTTTTCAATTGAAGATGGCTTCTGACTGTCAAGCTCTACCATGGTCTTTGTCAGTTCTGTGGTAGTAAGTTCTGTGGAAAGTTTAAGGCCCTTTGACTTTCTTTTGGTGGGTGAAAGCTTTCCTTTTTCCACAACAGTAATTTCCGTTTGGGATGTGACCACTTCTTCAGTTGAAGATGGCTTCTGACTGTCAGGCTCTACCATGGTCTTTGTCAGTTCTGTGGTAGCAAGTTCTGGGGAAAGTTTAAGGCCCTTTGACTTTCTTTTGGTAGGTGAAAGCTTTCCTTCTTCCACAACAATAATTTCCGTTTGGGTTGTGACCATCTCTGCAGTTGAAGATGGCTTCTGACTGTCAGGCTCTACCATGGTCTTTGTCAATTCTGTGGTAGCAAGTTCTGGGGAAAGTTTAAGGCCCTTTGACTTTCTTTTGGTGGGTGAAAGCTTTCCTTCTTCTTGACCATCTGACTTTATTTCGGTAAGTGAGAGCTTTGCTTTTTCCACAACAGTAATTTCCGTTTGGATTGGGACTACCTTTTCAATTGAAGATGGCTTCTGACTGTCAAGCTCTACCATGGTCTTTGTCAGCTCTGTGGTAGCAAGTTCTGGGGAAGGTTTAAGGCCCTTTGACTTTCTTTTGGTAGGTGAAAGATTTCCTTTTTCCACAACAGTAATTTCCGTTTGGGATGTGACCACTTCTTCAGTTGAAGATGGCTTCTGACTGTCAGGCTCTACCATGGTCTTTGTCAGCTCTGTGGTAGCAAGTTCTGGGGAAGGTTTAAGGCCCTTTGACTTTCTTTTGGTGGGTGAAAGCTTTCCTTCTTCTTGACCATCTGACTTTATTTCGGTAAGTGAGAGCTTTGCTTTTTCCACAACAGTAATTTCCGTTTGGATTGGGACTACCTTTTCAATTGAAGATGGCTTCTGACTGTCAAGCTCTACCATGGTCTTTGTCAGTTCTGTGGTAGTAAGTTCTGTGGAAAGTTTAAGGCCCTTTGACTTTCTTTTGGTGGGTGAAAGCTTTCCTTTTTCCACAACAGTAATTTCCGTTTGGGATGTGACCACTTCTTCAGTTGAAGATGGCTTCTGACTGTCGGGCTCTACCATGGTCTTTGTCAGTTCTGTGGTAGCAAGTTCTGGGGAAAGTTTAAGGCCCTTTGACTTTCTTTTGGTGGGTGAAAGCTTTCCTTCTTCCACAACAATAATTTCCGTTTGGGTTGTGACCATCTCTGCAGTTGAAGATGGCTTCTGACTGTCAGGCTCTACCATGGTCTTTGTCAATTCTGTGGTAGCAAGTTCTGGGGAAAGTTTAAGGCCCTTTGACTTTCTTTTGGTGGGTGAAAGCTTTCCTTCTTCTTGACCATCTGACTTTATTTCGGTAAGTGAGAGCTTTGCTTTTTCCACAACAGTAATTTCCGTTTGGATTGGGACTACCTTTTCAATTGAAGATGGCTTCTGACTGTCAAGCTCTACCATGGTCTTTGTCAGCTCTGTGGTAGGAAGTTCTGGGGAAGGTTTAAGGCCCTTTGACTTTCTTTTGGTAGGTGAAAGCTTTCCTTCTTCCACAACAGTAATTTCCGTTTGGGATGTGACCACTTCTTCAGTTGAAGATGGCTTCTGACTGTCAGGCTCTACCATGGTCTTTGTCAGTTCTGTGGTAGGAAGTTCTGTGGAAAGTTTAAGGCCCTTTGACTTTCTTTTGGTGGGTGAAAGCTTTCCTTTTTCCACAACAGTAATTTCCGTTTGGGATGTGACCACTTCTTCAGTTGAAGATGGCTTCTGACTGTCAAGCTCTACCATGGTCTTTGTCAGTTCTGTGGTAGCAAGTTCTGGGGAAAGTTTAAGGCCCATTGACTTTCTTTTGGTAGGTGAAAGCTTTCCTTCTTCCACAACAATAATTTCCGTTTGGGTTGGGACTACCTTTTCAGTTGAAGATGGCTTCTGACTGTCAAGCTCTACCATGGTCTTTGTCAGTTCTGTGGTAGCAAGTTCTGTGGAAAGTTTAAGGCCCTTTGACTTTCTTTTGGTAGGTGAAAGCTTTCCTTCTTCTTGACCATCTGACTTTATTTCGGTAAGTGAGAGCTTTGCTTTTTCCACAACAGTAATTTCCGTTTGGATTGGGACTACCTTTTCAATTGAAGATGGCTTCTGACTGTCAAGCTCTACCATGGTCTTTGTCAGCTCTGTGGTAGCAAGTTCTGGGGAAGGTTTAAGGCCCTTTGACTTTCTTTTGGTAGGTGAAAGCTTTCCTTCTTCCACAACAGTAATTTCCGTTTGGGATGTGACCACTTCTTCAGTTGAAGATGGCTTCTGACTGTCAAGCTCTACCATGGTCTTTGTCAGTTCTGTGGTAGCAAGTTCTGGGGAAGGTTTAAGGCCCTTTGACTTTCTTTTGGTAGGTGAAAGCTTTCCTTCTTCCACAACAGTAATTTCCGTTTGGGATGTGACCACTTCTTCAGTTGAAGATGGCTTCTGACTGTCAGGCTCTACCATGGTCTTTGTCAGTTCTGTGGTAGTAAGTTCTGGGGAAAGTTTAAGGCCCTTTGACTTTCTTTTGGTGGGTGAAAGCTTTCCTTTTTCCACAACAGTAATTTCCGTTTGGGATGTGACCACTTCTTCAGTTGAAGATGGCTTCTGACTGTCAAGCTCTACCATGGTCTTTGTCAGTTCTGTGGTAGGAAGTTCTGGGGAAAGTTTAAGGCCCATTGACTTTCTTTTGGTAGGTGAAAGCTTTCCTTCTTCCACAACAATAATTTCCGTTTGGGTTGTGACCACCTCTGCAGTTGAAGATGGCTTCTGACTGTCAGGCTCTACCATGGTCTTTGTCAATTCTGTGGTAGCAAGTTCTGGGGAAAGTTTAAGGCCCTTTGACTTTCTTTTGGTGGGTGAAAGCTTTCCTTCTTCCACAACAGTAATTTCCGTTTGGGATGTGACCACTTCTGCAGTTGAAGATGGCTTCTGACTGTCAGGCTCTACCATGGTCTTTGTCAGCTCTGTGGTAGCAAGTTCTGGGGAATGTTTAAGGCCCTTTGACTTTCTTTTGGTAGGTGAAAGATTTCCTTCTTCCACAACAATAATTTCCGTTTGGGTTGTGACCACCTCTGCAGTTGAAGATGGCTTCTGACTGTCAGGCTCTACCATGGTCTTTGTCAATTCTGTGGTAGCAAGTTCTGGGGAAAGTTTAAGGCCCTTTGACTTTCTTTTGGTGGGTGAAAGCTTTGCTTTTTCCACAACAGTAATTTCTGTTTGGATTGGGACTACCTTTTCAATTGAAGATGGCTTCTGACTGTCAAGCTCTACCATGGTCTTTGTCAGCTCTGTGGTAGCAAGTTCAAGGGAAGGTTTAAGACCCTTTGACTTTCTTTTGGTAAGTGAGAGCTTTCCTTCTTCCACAACAGTAATTTCCGTTTGGATTGGGACTACCTTTTCAATTGAAGATGGCTTCTGACTGTCAAGCTCTACCATGGTCTTTGTCAGCTCTGTGGTAGGAATTTCACAGGAAGGTTTAAGACCTTTTAACTTTCTTTTGGTGGGTGAAAGCTTTCCTTCTTCCACAACAGTAATTTCCGTTTGGGTTGTGACCACCTCTGCAGTTGAAGATGGCTTCTGACTGTCAGGCTCTACCATGGTCTTTGTCAATTGTGTGGTAGCAAGTTCTGGGCTAAGTTTAAGGCCCTTTGACTTTCTTTTGGTGGGTGAAAGCTTTCCTTCTTCCACAACAGTAATTTCCGTTTGGGATGTGACCACTTCTTCAGTTGAAGATGGCTTCTGACTGTCAGGCTCTACCATGGTCTTTGTCAATTCTGTGGTAGCAAGTTCTGGGGAAAGTTTCAGGCCCTTTGACTTTCTTTTGGTAGGTGAAAGATTTCCTTTTTCCACAACAGTAATTTCAGTTTGGGATGTGACCACCTCTGCAGTTGAAGATGGCCTCTGCCTGTCAGGCTCTTCTTTGGGCTTTTCCAGCTCTGTAGTAGGAAGTTCGGGGGAAAGTTTAAGGCCCATTGACTTTCTTTTGGTAGGTGAAAGCTTTCCTTCTTCCACAACAATCATTTCCGTTTGGGTTGGGACCACCTCTGCAGTTGAAGATGGCTTCTGACTGTCAGGCTCTACCATGGTCTTTGTCAATTCTGTGGTAGCAAGTTCTGGGGAAAGTTTAAGGCCCTTTGACTTTCTTTTGGTGGGTGAAAGCTTTCCTTCTTCCACAACAGTAATTTCCGTTTGGGATGTGACCACTTCTGCAGTTGAAGATGGCTTCTGACTGTCAGGCTCTACCATGGTCTTTGTCAGTTCTGCGGTAGCAAGTTCTGGGGAAAGTTTAAGGTCCTTTGACTTTCTTTTGGTGGGTGAAAGATTTCCTTCTTCCACAACAGTAATTTCAGTTTGAGCAGTGACCATGTCTTCAGTTGAAGATGGCTTCTGACTGCCAGGCTCTTCTTTGGTCTTTGTCAGCTCTGTGGTAGTAATTTCACAGGAAGGTTTAAGACCTTTTGACTTTCTTTTGGTAGTGGAAATATTTCCTTTTTCTACAACAGTAATTTCAGCTTGGGCTTTGACCACCTCTTCAGTTTTAGATGGCTTTTGATTGTCAGGCCCTTCATTGGTCTTTGTCAGCTCTGTGGTAGGAATTTCACAGTAAGGTTTAAGACCTTTTGACTTTCTTTTGGTAGGTGAAAGTTTTCCTTCTTCCACAACAGTAATTTCCGTTTGAGCTGTGACCATGTCTTCAGTTGAAGATGGCTTCTGACTGCCAGGCTCTTCTTTGGTCTTTGTCAGCTCTGCGGTAGGAAGTTCGTGGGAAGTTTTAAGACCCTTTGACTTTCTTTTGGTAGGCGAAAGCTTTCCTTCTTCCATATCAGTAATTTCAGTTGGTCCTGTCACCACACCTTGAGTTGAACATGTTTCATCTTCAAGTTGTCTTTTAATTTGTTCGGGCTCCACATCACATGATATAACATGGGTAACTGTCTCAGAAGTTGTGAAAAAGTCCTCATTCTTTGACTTCCTGCTGGTTGGTACAAGCTTTGTGTCTTCAATACTTTCGTTATTGGAACTCAAAGAAGAGTTTTGACCTCCAGGCTCTTCCCTTGTCTGAAGTGCCTCAGTGTAAGCAAGTTTAAGAGGAAGTTCTGTACTCTTCGACTTTCTCTTGGGTGGCAGAAACTTTCTTTGTTCGACATCAGCTGTTTCAGCTTGTCCTTGAACAAACTCTGGTTCTGGTTGTGTTTCCTTATGTTCCACAACAGTAATTCTACCAAGAGGGGATAATGACTCTGGAACTGTGGAAACATCAAGACACTTTGACTTCCTCCTGGTTGGTAAAACTTCAGCATCAGTTATTATGGGGATGGTGTTGGATGGCTCTGATACATCTAGCATGGCGGTTGCTATATTTGTTTCTTCAACAGCAGCACTTCCTTTCAGATTTCGGGTTGACCCTTGAGTAATGATATTTTTTACCATTTCAGACTCCACCTTAGCCTGGACAGGCTCTGTAAAAGTAGCTGAAATCTTGGACTTCCTTCTGGATGGTACAGGTATATTTTTATCACTAACACCCGGAGCAGACTGCTCAATGACTTTTTGGATCAGTACAGTTTCCTCAACAGAAGGTTTCATTTTCTCAGCTCCAACAGGCCCAGCTGTGATATTTCTGCTTTTAAACTGTGCCTCTTGAGAAATGTTGTAATGTTGTGCTGTAAATGGTTCTGAAGCATATGTTGGACCCTGAGATTTCTCTTTTGTTGGTTCAATTCTGGTTTGCTCCACACCAGTCATTTTTGTGTTTTCCATGACTGCTGTCAAAGTAGGCTTTGATGTTTTAGCCTCAGTTTGCAGCTCAGCTGAAACGGACAATTCATCCTCACTAGATGTAGATTTTTCCATTGAGGGAATGTTTTTCTGAAGTGTAACTATGTGCTTTTTCTCTGGTGAGCGCTTCTTTTTTCGTGGTGGTGCCACTACAGATGTATTTATATCAGGGAGCTTTTGTTTACTTCTTTCATCACGTTCCTTGAATGAAAGGATAGAAATAACATTAAGTATGACAGAGGTAATTGACTGTTTGTTAACATAACATGCTGTATATAATGAATTACTTTTTTACACAATGTAAATACCTTGAAGCTCTGGCTGAGAGAAGCCTTTTGTGTGTCTGCTTCTCTGAGTGCCTCTGAACCCTCTCTCTCCAGTTTCTCAAACAATTCCGGCATAAGACAGTCTGGTAGAAACTGGTGAGAAAGCGCCTCCCGCAGACTGACCTGCAACTTTTCACCTTCCTCTAATGTCACCTAACACAAGCAGAAAGAAATGTTGAGATGTTATGTAGTAATGATAAATCAGTGTGTTGGTGTGTGAAATGTCACTCTTCATATGTTCAACATCTACCAATTAGATGTACTAGGAAGCTCTCAGATGTATATAAGTGCGCAAATGTTTACTAAAAAAATACTTGCATTGCCAAGAAAAAAAGTAAAAGCATTTGAAGGCAGAAACCTGCACAGAAGAAGTGAACTCAGATGGTTTGCTTTGGTTCCATTCCTGCAGGGCGTGAAGACAGTCCATCAGACAGCAAGTTGTGTTTGTAGAGCAGGTACCCTGATGCTCACTCAGCCTGGACTTTAGACTGTAGAAATAATTTAAACACATTTATTTTTCACAACATTTTGCATGGTATTTACATGTATTATGCTCTACTAGATTAAATAAAAAAAAAGAAAACAATAAATAAAATCATCCATAAAACAGTGTGCAAAAGGAACAACTGCAAGCACAAGAACAGATTAAAAAAGATTTTTCTGGCAAAAAAAGAGACAATACAGTGATGTTTAGGTGCAGATGTAAGTCATATTGCTTCGATCAAGAAACCAAGCATTAAATCAGATGTCATCTTTGGATGTTTAAAACAGGTTGTAAATCAGGAGAATTAATGTTTCCATGTATTAGCAGAGCAGAATGACCCACTAAGGCATGTTGGTGGTATGTAGGTATCATTGAAAGCTAAATTGGAATTGGGAATGCCCGCTGAGAATTTGTCATGTAGAATCTGTTCAAATGAGCTAAATACAGTTTAAAAAATATTACTACTTGTCATAAGAGTTCATTTTCTGTCCGGCCATCTCTTTCCTGTGTATACTGTGGGTGAAGCAAAGGTATATGGATAAAACAAAGTAATAAGAGAGTAAATTACATCAGTTGTAAGATAGGGTACCTGTCATGTTGACGGTGTAAGGACTCCACCACTGTGATAATTTCTGCTGGCAGCTCGTCTGTGGCTGGTGTAGCCTTTACTTCCTGGTAAAGGTCATGAACTTTGACACCCAAATCTTGTAGAGATTTCTCACAGTTCTAACAGAAGGACATCAACATCACATATGTTATATTCACATGTCTGCAAGAGTTTTATGTTTGCAATAATCACATGTACGCAGGTGGAACACGGCGGCTGTTTTACATTTAACAACTCCAATATTTACCTACTGTACATAACCATTTTCTTCAGGTTTATTTGTGGGAACTCAACCTAGAGTCACAATCCTGGTGTGAGTCAGTCTCTGTTTGTATAATTTTGGCTTTGTCTTTTATGTTTTGATTATTGTTTCACTCTGTTTACATGGTTATAGTCTCTGTTCTGAGGTTTTGGTTTTTAATCAGCGTTCTAGTCCTGTTTCTGTCTTATTTTGAAATGATCAGTGTCGAGTGTTTTTCGCATGCTTGTTTTGGGGTTGATCTGCATGTCTGTTTGCTTATCTGAATCTGGTTTCTTATGGTTACGGGTTAAGTCGGGTTTCAATTCTTGTACCCGTTCTTGTTAATTCTTGAGTGCAGTCTGTTGGTTCTGTCAGTTTGGTCCGTGTCTTAGCGTCTTGTCCGGTTTCCTGTTTTATTATGTAGTTGTCTGTGTATTCCCACCCTGCTCATTAGCGCTGCATATATTGTCTGCGGTTCTGTTGCTGCTGGATCATTGTAGCTTGTTGTGCTCCGTCTTGTGTTGTGGTGTGGTGTTTCCTGCTTGATTCGTCTGCTTGTACCCTACCTGTTCATGCCTGTGAGTTTCTTTTCACACCTGCTTGTATCATTTGGATATTTGCCTTTTTGTTTCCTTGAATTACCTGCAGTTTCTGGACTTCCTCAGTTGTATTGCCTGGACTATGTTTTTTCATGAGTTTGATCATGTTGTTGTTCCATTTAATAAATGCTTAAGCTCAGCTTGCTGGTCAAAGTGTCTGCATTTGGGCCCAAAACCATATATACCTAGCAAACCATGACACCTAGTGAGATTACAAAAGGGGGAGTCACATCTTATTTTGTGCTTGGATAAATAAAGTGGTAATAACCTGAAGGCTGTGCCAGTGCTGCTGGAGCTGAGAGATGTTGTTCTGTGGTTCACTGTAACTGAGCGCCTGCTCCAAAGAGCGGAGCTCCCACTGCAGGGCTGCAGCTCTCTCCTTCAGCCCCTGGGCCCTCCTGGCGAGCTGACTGTCCAGCTGCTCTAGCTGCTTCTCACAGACACTCAGGCGCTCCCTCACCTCCTTCTCTGAGGTGGCACAGAGGTCATGGAGATGGCTGACCTCCAGAGTCAGGGCATCCCGTCCTCCAGGGGTGCAGAGGCTCAGCAAACTGTCTCTTGCAGAGTCCAGAACCTTCATCTCTCTGTGCTCCCTGTCCACTGTCTGGAGCAAAGCCTGGTATCGGGATCAAGAAAGAGAACCAGATTGATTTCTTCACATCCTTGATGGAAAAAAAGAGCTCTAGACTTTTAGGTTAGAAGTTGCAAAAACTTAAATATTTAAAATATTCAAAAAGTCAAAGATTTGGTCTCATTGCTTTGCTCCAGAAATGTCCACAGATGAGAACACTTCACATCTGCATTACAGATGCAACCACAGACAATAATTTAACTAGGCACTTTTTGTTTTTCTGATTATCAAAAAACAGTTGTATTATGCGCCTCACATCTTTGAAAGCTCAACTTTGCAATATTTTAGTGAAGAACAGACCATGCATACACTGTCCACACATGAATCTTCATGTCTTTATGTCTTACAAATGTATTGGTTTATTACTTGTTAGCAGAATTCTGCAGTTTGGTAAAACTCAGTGACCGATCAGGGTGCCACTGGCTTCTCTCAGGATTTCTCCTAACAACTGTGTGCTTGTAGTTTATTATCTGACCTTCAGAGTGTTCACAGCGCTGTGCAGACCCTGTCTGTCTGCTGGAGGAGCTCCCAGGCCTTTAACCTGCTCCCTCAGCCAGTCCTGGGCTGCTTCATGCTGCTCCACCAGCTGAGTGCACTGCCTCTCTGTCAGGATGCCCTGCTCCAGGTTAGCGACTGCATCCTGCAAATGACAGTAGTTGTATTTTCACAGAGTAACTTAAAAGTCTACTCTGGCTTTGTTAAGCCAGATAAAAAACAACCTCTAATCCAAGAAGGCCTCTACTTTTAACAAGGGTGGCTGAAGGGAGACAAAGGGATAATGAAGTGGTCCAGGGGAGATGATCTTGTTTATATTTATTTAGAATCACTGTGTATCTTGAACTCACCGTTAGCTCTTTCAGCAGAGCAGGAATGCACTTCTCTTTGGCTGCCCAGGATGGATCTGACCAGCCACAGTCCTGTGTGATCTCAAACAGCTCTGCAGACTTGAGGACAAAAGTGAAATAAAGTGTATAAAATTGAAAGCTTATGTAGCCATCTGGTTTTGTGAGCAACTCAATCTGGCAACATTTGTCTCATTTATTTTTAATCAATTTATTTAAATACACTTTGTTATGAACTGACACAACATCAAATAGCTGAACTCGCTTTCTTGTGAGGTCTTTACCTGCGTGCGGACGTCTGACAGGACAGGTACCAAAGCTGTGCTCTGGTCTAGCAGGTTCCGGGTCTGTTCCACCACCTGCCTCCGCTCTCCCAGGCCCGGCCAGGGAAAGACACGGGGAAGGCTGGACGTCTGCTTCTGAAGGTCAGACAGACGGGCCTCTGCGTTGTCTCGCTTGTACTGACAGGAAACCATGCGCTCCATGACACCCTTCAACTGTCTGATGGGAAACAGCAGATGTGAGATAAATCAGAATCACAAATAATTTAGTCTTAATTCAAAAGAAGTTACTTATTTAATTGTGGTCTTGACTGGTGCCCTGTGAAGTCTGTGATTTTTCAAAACCAAAATCTAGCTACCTTTTATCTATCAGACACAACTTCTGAAAGTGAATCCTTGTGGTTTAATTTGTAACTACTACAAATATTTACCTTAAAAAGTCAGTACCCCTTAATATTGTGACTTGATAAGGGATTTCAAAAAGATTTAATAACTGTTGCTGTTAAAAAATGTTGCTTAAAGGTTGTAAGGACTTGACTCACATTAGATGTGTTTATCATTTTGTACTGCCAATGCGTTAACGGACTGTAACGTAATTCTAAAAATCTTTCCCATCTTTCTCGGTTGCCTATAACAGCCTGTGGACTGATTTCTATGTGAAGGACTCAGGACAGTTTTCCCAGCGAAATCCAAAGGATGTGATGTTTCTACACGCTCCTGTGTGCCTTCTCTTCTCCGTCCCTACAGGGCCAACATTGTGCATCACTAGCTAACGTTGGAAAAATCTAAATGAAGGTTTCCCCTCAAGAAGACAAGCAGTTTCCTGTACCTCTGTGTCTCCTCAGCAGCCCGCAGGACCGTCCTCCACTGCTGCTCAGTGTCTTCGACCGTCTGCTGAACCTCCAGTTTCTTGTCTCCCTCCAGGTCTTTTTGCTCACACAGACTCTGCGCTCGCCTCTTCAACTCCATCACTTCAGCCTCACCATTTGACTTGGAGCTCAAGATGATCTAAAGAAAATCATACACAGCTTTTTATTGGATATTTATTGCTCTGTAAAACAGTGTCCTCCAACCTGATACATCAAATGTGTTACAGAAAAGGAAGATCCCCCATTTAAAAATCATCTTTTTCTAATTACACTTGCAAAAAACAACAGCTCATATTTGATGTTGTACCTGAGCTGTGTTCAGCCTGTCCTGTATCTGAGCCCGGCTGCCCCGGGTGCCACTCCCTTTGGACTCGGCCTGTTGCTGCAGCTCTTTAACCCAGGTTTTGGTGCTCCCTGCTTGGGAACGGAAGGTGTCCAGCTCCCTGGAGAGCGAATACTGGACCTCAGCTTTCTTCAGAGTGTTCTCAGCGGCCAGCAGGACTGCCCTCCACTGCTCCTCTGAATCCTTCACAGCCTGCTGAGCCTCTAGTCTCGTGTTCTCCTCCAGGTCCTCCTGGTCAGACAGACTCTGGCTCTGTCTCCTCAGTTCTGTCAGCTTGGAGTCTCCCTCAGGCTTGCAGCTAAGGATGGTCTGAGCATAACATAACAAATTGATTACACTTTTGAAACTGAAGTTACAAAGTTTACAAAAGAAATATAACTGAGTGTTGCAGAGAATGTGCAGAGTTTACGTTTGAACTAATATGAATAAATCAATCCTGTAACTTCAGTAGTGATAACATATAAATATTAAAAATATACCTATTTGGGTGAAATAAGCATGCATAAATGAAGGAATGTGTAACTAAATGCAAACAATGATACTTTATGTAAGTAAAAGCCAAAAACTGCATGCTTGTTAGCTACAGATGGATAAGTTTTTGCCAAAACTTTCATTCTTCAAACTGACCTGTGCAGTGTTTATTGTCTTTTCTGGATCTGTCTGACTATCCAGAGAGACGAGGCTCTGCTGCCTGTCTTCCAGCCAGGCCCTGGTGTTGTCTCTCAAGGCTTCATAGTCCCTGAACTGCCCCTCCAGAGCACACTGCCTCTCAGCCTGATCCAGGGCTTGTTTAGCATTTTGCATTACTCTGGTCCACTGCTCTTCAGCGCCTCTTACTTTTTGTTGAACCTCTTGTTTTTTGTGTTCTTCAAGGTCCTGGCCACACAAACTCTGGCCTCGTCTCCTGAGCTCCTGGAGCTTAAAGTCTCCTTCGGACGTGGAGCTCATAATGGTCTGGAGATAAGACACAGAAGTCATGTCTCATAGTTAAGACTTGTATTGTCTGGCTGAAACCGTGAACATAATCTGTGAAATCCACAGCATTGTTGGGACACAGACCTTGTTATTCAGGTAATTTTTGTAAGTGACAGACTAAACAAGACTGAACTGCAGCAAAGGCAACGAAACAATTATGAGCTAAAAGAGGCTTAAAAGATGTCATACTGGCAGTTGACTTTGTGAAAAACTCATCACAAAATCTTATTATATATATCCATGCATTATTGTACTAACAAGGAAACTCAGCTTACCTGAGCTGTGTGCAGCCTGTCCTCAGCTTTGTTTCGGCTGTTTAGGGAGTCCACTTGCTGTTGGAGGTCTTTAAGCCAGCTTCTGGTGTTCTGCTGATGGGTATCAAATTCTCTCAGCTGAAAAGGAAATTATATTTACATAATGAGGTGATTCAAAATGGATCATTGAAAACAGAAACAACAGGAAGGCTGCGCGTACCAAATATTTACTTATTAAACATATTCCAAGTGAAACACATTTACAGGGTTAGGAGGATTAAATATATTTTATAGGCTGAGAATGAGGCGAGGCCACCATTCTCAGACTAGCTATACAGAAGGCAATCTATACTTTCTCAAGCAAACTTACTGAATCATTTTTAACTCAGTGGATCATTTCTTTAATCTATACTTTGATATTAATACGTACATTTTGGTAGCACAAGTTTTTATATGATTACTCCGTGTAAGTCATTCTTCTCATCGGGTTCTCTCACCTCCAACTTTCTCTTTTCAGTGCCCTGGGTGATCTCAGCTACAGCAGCAGAGTGGAGCTGTTGAGCAGCCTGCAGGACTGTCCTCCACTGCTCCTCTGTGTCTCTGACTGTCTGCTGAACATGGGCTTTCCTGCCCTCATCTGCATCCTGATGGTTACAGAGACTCTGGCCTCGCCTCCTCAGGTTGTTCACCTGACAGTCAACTTCAGGTTTGGAGCTCAAGACGGTCTGCAAACAAAACGCACAATATTCATTAACGCAACAGCTGATTCATTCCAACTTTACACGATGAAACCAAGCAATAAAGGGGAGGGAGTGTAGTGCTATATTACATTTATCAGAAAACCAAATCAGTGGATAAAAAATGTAATTGAAACTTAGCTTACATTAATACCCTGCAAAATTTGTCATAAGGGTGGTGGAAAGGTTGCATTTTTACCTAAATAAAAACAGTTTTTGCTATTTACAGTGGCCAAGCTCAGCTCCACATTGTCATTGGATTTAAGATGTACCTTATTATGCTAATGTTAGCATTTATATTAAATGTAGCATTTAATATTTCATGGTTTTCTGACTTCCAAAACAAATACAGGCAACAATCATTTATGTCTTACACTGACCCTATGTGCATATCTTATTCATGCAAACTCATCAAAATTTAGAAAACACATTAGTTCAAACAGACCTGAGCTGTGTGGCTTCTCTCTTCAGGTGGTGTGTGACTGCCCACAGACTGCAGCTTCTGTTGTCTGTCTCTGATCCAGGACTGAGTGTCTTTGCTCTGAGTCTCAAAGTCGTCTGAAAGACCCCGGAGCTCTGCCTGTCGGGCAGCCTGCAGGACTGTTATCCACTGCTGCTCTGTGTCTTGTACCAACTGCTTAACCTCTGGTTTCCTGCTGTCCTCCAGATGCTTGCACAGACTTTCACCTCGTCTCTTCAGGTCGAGCACCTTTGACTCACCCTGAGGTTTGGAGGTCAAAACAGCCTGAAGGTGAAGACACAGAAATGGTGATGCGGGAGCTTAGAGGTCAGAAGCTGCCCTAGATTTCACTCCAAGTGTAGTTTGTCACCGTTCAACACTACTGGATAGTTAGTGAATCAAACACGATGTAGGACACCTTGTGCAAAGAAAATCTGATGTTAACTCACCTGTGCGACCTGTAACCTTTCTTCAAGCTGCATGTGACTACCGTGGGACAACAGCTTCTGCTTCTGTTCTCTGATCCAGGATTGGATGCTTTCACTTTGGGTTTTGAAATCATCAAGGTCCCTTTCAGTGGTAGCATCAGTCTGTGCCTTGTTGAGAGCCTCCTCAGCAGCCTGCAAGATTTTCCTCCACCGCTCCTCTGTGTGTCTGACGGCGTCCTGAACCTCTCGTCGCCTGCTCTCGCCCAAGCCAGGGTTGTCACACAAACTCTGGCCTCGTTGCTTCAGATCCTGGAGCTTTGACTCTCCCTCAGGCTTGGAGCTCAGAGTACCCTGAAGAGAAGAAATATCCCCAATGAGACTTTGTTGGCTCTATCCTCAAGAATCACACCTTTACAAGATCTTCCACAAATTACAACCCACCACAACCTCAACAAACTGCAAGCTATTTCAAACTCACTTGCGCAATCTGAAGCTTTTCTTCAACTTGCATGCAACCACCAAGTGAGTGCAGGTTCTGCTCCTGGTCTCTAATCCAGGACTGAACATTTTCATTCTGGGATTTGAAAGCGTCCAAGTCCTTGACTAACTGGGCTTTTGTTTCTGCTTTGTTGACAGCCTCCTCAGCTGTCTGCAGAGCCGTCCTCCACTGCTCCTCTGTTTCTCTGACCAACTGCTGAACCTCTTGTTTCCTGCCCTCCTCCAGGTCCTCCTGCGCACACAGACTTTCACTTTGTCGTCTCAGGTTATTCACTTTAGAGTCTCCTTCAGGTTTGGAGCTAAGGATGACCTGGTGACAAAATGGGAAAAATGCTGAAAACTTTTGGAAAAGGAAAACACATTTTAGTGACGTTAGAGGTGGAGCTATAGAAAAATAAAAATAAAAAAAATTTAAAAAAATAAATAAATAAAAAAAAAGAGGTGGAGCTATAGGAAGTACACATTGCAGACACTCCGTCGTCCAACCAGAATGAAATATCTTTCAGATTAAGGTTAACATCAAATGCTTATATTCTATCATATTCATATACAGTATGAGTGAGCCTGAGGAAGTTAACTCTTTTTTTTAATTTAAAGTCTTATCAGTCTCTGTCTTTTTACCATATTCACTATCTGGTTAATGCAAATTAGCCATACTAATAATATAATTCAATACTTAATAGATCAGTTTTGGTTGTAGATTTTTCTTGTTTTTTTCAGTTGTTCTTTTCCCACCAGAAGGGCAAACTTTGTCGATCAGATTGCATTTCAAACTCCCTTTCACTGACCTGTGCTTTGTGCTTCATGTCCTCTGTCTGGGTCGCTCTGCCAGAGGAGGTGAGGGGTTGCAGACGGTCAGTAATCCAGATCCGGGTGCTCTTAGCCCGAGTGTTAAACTTTTCAAATTCTCCCTCCAGGGCCCCCTGAGCGTCTGCCTGCCTCTGCAGCCTGGCTTCCAGGTTTCGGTGTCGTTGTATCAAGTTATCACCGTCCTTCAAGAGGCTTTCAGATCTGACGCCTTGTCTGCGTACTGACGCTAACAGCTCACTGAGGGTCTCAGCTTTACCACTGTCACATGGGAGACAAGGTACATTTATTTGTATAGCACCTTTCAACCACAACAGGCAAATCAAAGTGCTTTATAGAAGACACAGACATTAAGACAAGATAAAGGAAACACAAGGCAATACAAAAAGACAATGCAAGTTAGACAGAATGTATACTAAGCCATGTAGTGAATACGTAATGCTCTTTGGTTTAACAGTTTTAGGCTTCATTCACTTGTTTTTGGCAGTTCAGCTTATTTTTAACATTAACCATTATCAATATCAGTGTAAGTAATCAATATATGTGTTACAATTTCTAAAAACCACCCTTTACAGTGGTGAGCTCATCTTATCAGATTTTTCAGTATTGGCGTGTTTTATAGGCTGCCTTATTACTGCTACATTACATACTTTTAGTTATCTATTGAACATTTGCCCGCAGGAGAAAACTACTTTAATTCTACTTCTCCTATTACTACTATTCTACTACTATAATGATAAAGCTTTTCACTCTCAAATACCAATATTAGTATTAAAATCAAAAATACAGTCATCAGTTACAGTCCTAATAAATGTGATACTGTAACGTTATCCCCAAGTATATTAAAAAAACTTACAAAACTTAACACCTTCATTGTTGTTGTGAGGAGGTATGTGTGATATGCTCTCTGTTGCACATTAACACCTTCCTCAGGACAATAAATGTTATTGTTTTTCACTACATGTGAGCTGAAATATTTCCAGTTCTGGTAGTATGAATGTTGAAGATCACCTCTCATCCTGAAGGTCTTTGAGAAGAAGTTTGACTTTGTCCGTCTCTACGGACTGTTTTTCTTTGGTGTGCAGCCACTCCCGGAAACTATCGTGTTGCTTCTGCAGACTAGTGAACAAAAGACAAGTCAAAAAGCCTGGTTTTCTTAGTGTTTACAATCACACTTACTTTTTCACTGCAGTTTGTGACAGTACTGATCAAAAAGGACGGATTTTACATTTGTGATTTTAACATCTTGGCTATTACATTAGAAGAGATGTAATTTAGAATCATATTTATCTTCGTTTGCAGACTTGCACTTGAGGGAGCCACAGATGCAATTACCAGTTCAAGTCACTGAGAAGGGACTCCATTTGCTTCTGCCTGTTGTGGCAGTGGGTTCTGAACGTGTCCACCTCCTCCTGCTGTTCTTTCAGCCAATCGGTGAACTCAGAGAGCTGCTGAGATGGAACCTGCTGGCTGCCTCTCTCCAGATGATCTTTAAGCTGGTCCAGCCGTCTCTCTGCATCTTTGGATTTTAAGAAACCCTGAAGGACATGAGAGAAACTGTAAGGACCCATCCATCATCCAACATCATCTACAGTATCAATCTACCCATCAACTTGTTCATCCACTTACAGTGAGTCTTTGCAGAGATGTTTCCACATCTGTTCTGCTCTCAGGGTTCTCAAAGCACTCATTGACGGACATCTGCAAGTCCAAGAACCATCCCTCAAACGCCTGCCTTTCCTCTGCAGAAAAATAAAAACATAATCCTCGAGAATGGTTACAAAACATTATTCATAAATAGAATATCAAAAAAAGCAAGACAAGTACAAATTAGGTCCCACAGTGCATCTGTGGCAAAGTGCATGAAAATATCCAGAATATTCATCAGATACCAACACATGAAATCTTTCTGCCCTCCTAGTAACACACACTTTATTCTTGAATAAAAGGATGAATGAAAACACATCCACTGTCATTTCCACTCCACCATCTACTGAAACGAGAGAAACAAACTCAACACTAACCTTTGATAACCTTAAGCAGGCCTTTGTCTCTCTCCTCTCTCTTCAGGTGGATCATGTCCTTGGTGCGGGAGATGGCCTCCTTCAGCCTGCTGCAGTCTACAGACAGCGCCTCCAGCACCTGAGGACTGGCCAGACTGGAAACCAACCCCACCTCCTTCAACACAGTCTCAGCCTGCTCCTCCTGAGCCTCCAAGTCATCACACAGCTCCTGATAAGGACAAGAGTTAAAGCAGGGAAAAGATCGGTTATTGTAGTAACCGCAGAATCAAAAGAAAGGGGTCAGGGGCCCAGCATTAAACCAAAGTGAGCTACAACATGTAACAGCTGTCTACCTGTATCTTGGCTTCGACCTGTGGTTGTGAAGCATCAACCTTACTGAGAGAACACTGGATGGTCTCTACAGCTGACTGGCACTCCTCTATCTTCTCAGCTAAGTGTGTCTTCACAGCTATGAGTTCCTCAAAGACGTCAGTGCAGTCAGTAAACAGCTCCTTCACCTGCTGCATTCTCTTCCTCAGCTGGGTCTCCATCACCTTGAAACGTTGTAAAAAGGATACAGATATTGATCTGAATGTGGGTATCAACTTGTAAAAATAATATGAGAAGGGATCAGATCAATCAATGTTTCGACTCACTTGCAGCTCCAGAGGTGCATCTTGACTCTGCAGCATCTCTTGGATTTCTACACACTTCTTGTGGAAATGCTCAATGTTCTCCTCGTTGGCATGGATCTCATCCTACAATCCAATGAAAAGTTTAGTACAACTCAATTTATCTTTATCTTATTATCTTCTACATCTATATGAAACATATGGGAAAAATGTAAAGGGTCACAAATACTGAAGATGTCTTTAAAATAATTTCCTTCCATATCATTCCTTCCTATCATTATTGATAGGTTGCTCAGGTTACTGAGAAGTTTACTTCCATGGGAATCTTACCCTCATATCAAGTACTTGTTGCTCGTTGTGGAAGGGATGGCTCTCTGCAAAAAGGGCCAGTTTGGCTCCTGCCCAGCAGTCCACCTCCCCCCCGAGCATTAGCTGCTTCTCCCACAACTCCAGCCCCACCCGAAGGTTATCCATGTAGGCGTCTGTCTTCTCTGTCACCTACAAGCGGAACAAAAAGCAACAATAGTCAGTTAAGTTCAGCTGAAAACTGACGTGTTCCAGTCAGGGTTTCCAAACTAGAATATAGTCCTAACATTTTTAACTTGTGAAAGTTCAAGATTTAACTAATATTTCTCACAGACAAAGCTGGTATGGAGACTCAGTGGGTGGAGCCAAGCCATGTGGTTTATTTAACACTATATTTTCATTGCCGTAGAATCCGTCTTTGATCCGTCTCTTTCCTTGGACCCACTAAACCTTCAGGTTTAGTAGAATATATATATACAAACACAGTGTTTTATAAATATGATATGTACACTATCTTTTTGTTCCTATCTAATTTTAGAGAATACATGCATAGATGCTTACATCCAGCCAGTTGTCCATAAGTGTGTCAGCCTCTGCTTCGAAGGGAGTCTCACTGCAGTCTGGGAATTTCTTCAGCTGGGACTGCAGCTGTCTGCAAACTCCTTTCATCTCTTCCACGTGCTTCCCAAGACCACCCAGCTCCTCCTTAATGTCACGGACCTGAACAGACACACACATCAACATACATGTACATACATATACCTGAACACACAGTGACTGATCTCATTGTTGCTTCTTATTCATTATCTTAAGCTGTTTTATAAAGCACTGTTCTGTAAAGTTATTGTGTGTTCATCTTCATATCAACAGCACATCAATAAATCATGAAATTATACAGGGTTGATAAAAGCATACGGATTTTGTATTCAAGACAGAATCATTTGAAAAGGAATGTACATTTCATTTTGTGGACCAACCTTGGTCATGCTTCTCTGCAGGTTGTCCTTGCCCATGTAGGAAGCCTGATCGCCGATGGTCTGCTCTGCTCTCTGCATGGTGTTGCTCAGGTGACTGCGGCAGCTCTGGAACTTCTTCAGAACCTCCAGCAGGACGCTGAACTGCTTCTTCCTACCAGGGAAAGGGACTTTAATTGATGTCTCGCCTTCTGTTTGCCATACATACACTGCTTTTCACCAACAGTAGCTATGAGCAGCTGTCTACGTTCACCTTAGCATCTAAGCAGAATTGTAAGAATAGCTTAAACGAATATTTTACTAGCTAATATCCCCATGTTGATCAAAGGCATTCATATGCAGTAGAAGCTACAGTGACTAGTTGATTGAGGTCAGTGTAACACAAACAAACACCAACTGTAAATCTGTTTTGGTTTAAAATTCCAGCTTTGTTGTAAATGCAGCTCAGTTTCAGCTAACATATATTACTGAGGGGGTCAGCAGGCACTTATTCCTAAAGCATTAATATATTTGTTTACCATTTATTTAGTTACTTCAGCTGATCATGCATCTCCTGCCTAATCTACCTGTCACAAAAAGCTTTCTGAGTCTCCGTCCACTGAGTCTCCAGCTCCTGAAAGAGGTTTTCTCCTCCTCCCTGTTTCTCCTGAAGTTCACGGAGGTTCTGGAGCTCTGCCTGCTGGGCCTGCAGCGGACCCTCCAAATCGGACAGGGCTCGAAGCCTGGAAAGCACATTGTTATTATTAAGACATTATTTTAGAGATTTCATGCTGCAAGTATCTGGTGTTTATAGTATAGATCCTGACCCTAAAAACCAATTAAGTAGGTGCATATTGGAAAATTACAATTACATTTATGCACCATCAAAAAACAGCTTAAGTATTGTTGCATCAGTATAAAGACACACAACATGCACCTTTGTTGTATAGCTGGCATGGTGGGCTCCTTTAGGCCTTGCGTTTCAATTGTATCCTGCAGCTTCCTCAGTTCCCCAAGTAGTGTCCTCTTCCTCAGACCCAGGGATCTGCTCTGTGTCTCCTTCTGGATGCCCTTTTGCTGGCTGGCCAGCCCACTGTCAGCCTCTTCCAGCCTTCTCAGCAGAGCGGACACCATGTCCAGGCAGGAGACCGGGACACCATCCCTGGTGACTGTCAGTCTGGCCCCCTGCAGGAGCACATCCAGCTGAGGCGCCTTTTCTTTCAGACTGTCAATGCTCTGCCTGATCAGCGCCAGCTTGGCGCGACAGTCCTGCAGTACCTGAGCATCACTGCAGGGGGCACCTTGCACTCCAGAGATGTCTTCATCCACAGTACGCAATGACATGAGGAAGCGGTCGAGGGCACGAGCAGCCGCTTCACTTTTCCGTACCTGCTGTCGAAGCTGGTCCAGGCTGGTTCTGTGAGTCTCGACTTCACGGGACAGAGGGAAGCAGTCTCTGGGGTCCAGATCGCTGGATTCAGGGTCCAGACGGGACACCTGGTCCAGTTCGCTCTGGATGTTGTCATCCAGTTCCTAAGGCAACAAGAAACAAATGCAGTCTTTGTTTTACACAAATAACTCCGGTTCTTTCCAGAAATTTCCACCAGTTTCTGTCCTTTTTCCACTGGTCACTGTACATACACGGATTCCTACAGCTTTGGAAAAAGTGCCAATCTTTTGCTCAAGTTGAAACATTTCAGCTCACAGGGATGTGTGAGATTTGTGTTCAGTTTTATAACACCTTTGATTATCCATCTGCTGAATGGCTTTCTGCTTACACTTTGAGTAAATCTGGGTCTCAGCAAGTAGTTACTATTAATCAATGCAGAAATAACTTTTGTGTGACAAGTAAAATTAAACACAAAAGAAAAGTATTCATGGCTGACAGAAGACCTTAATATCTTTCAGGATGTTGGTGTTGGTCAGTGTGAATGCAGTGATGTCTTTGGGTTGTCTCAGGTAGCGGTCCAGACGGTCGGTGAAGTCCACCATATGGTTCTCGGTGGAGTCGATCTGTCTGAGGGCAGCGCCCAGCGAGCTGCCTCTTCTCTGAAGATTAGACTGTTGGCTGCGCCACTGCTCCTGCAGCTCCACCTTCTCCTGCTCCAGACCAGGGTTCCCGCTCAACTGGGAGCACTGGTTTGCATACTCAGACCACAGAGATTCTGTCTCCTGTCTCAAGAACTGGGATAGAAGGAGTTCAACTCAAGATTACTGGCATGTCATGGGGATTGATGCAAGTATTAAGTAATAGTAAGTACAAAAACTAACCCAAAAAAAGTTTCACTGTCACTGATAAACTTATATTGTACCTGTATTTCCTGGAGCCGTGTATGCAGGCCTTTAAGAGAGACGGAGTCAGAGGGGACATCCTTGATGCTCTGTTCATTTTTAGCTAGTTGAGCTTGCAGAATCCTCTTACAATTCTCATATCTGAACATTTAAAAAAATGTAAAACAAACAAAGACAACAAGTGAAAAACTGAACAGAATGACCTCTAAATAGTTTTGATCAATCCACTGTATGCGGCTCATCACAGTCTAGACTGTGCCAAATTCAGTCTACCTTTCTAAAGCCTCCTTTTTGGTCACTTCTTCCTCTACAGACGCCTGCTTTTCAACTTCCCTCTTGTCCAAACTGACTGTCTTCATTGTCACTTGAAACACCTGGAAAAGAGTAAAATTATACTATTATTGTTGTTATCTGTTATTTCAAACCTCTGGAGTTCCAAGTGGCAGTCTGTAGAAGACAGTATATGATATGGTACAAATGGAGAACATGGAAATGTGAAACAGTTGTGAATGCAGAAGTGCTAGCATGGTCTGCAAACTTTGAATTAAATCAAGAGCAGAAGCTCAATGGAAGTGAGTCGTACCTCAGCTGAAACCTGATGTTTGTCACTTGGTCTTGGTTCTTTTTGTGTGGTCAGATCCTCACTGAAGGCAACAGGAATCCTGTGATACAAAAATGAGGATAACATTTTCTGTTTGTTTCCCTTTACCATTGTCTTATTGTCTATACTGTAATTTCATTAGGTTGGTCTATTCTGTACACATGACATCTGTTGTCTGTCTGTCTGGGGAGAGAGATCCTTCCTCTGTTGCTCTTCATGAGCTTTCTACCAATTTTCTACCCATTATAGGAAGTTTTTTTGGGGAGGGGGGGGTTGAGGGACAAAGGGTGTTGTATGCTGTACAGACATTAAGCACCCTGAGGAAACTTTGTGACTTGACTTGACATGACTTGATCTTAACTGCTGCACAAGACAGCATCTGTCTATAAACAACCACAGTTGAAACTGGAATTTTTCGGCTCGTTAAGTTTGAAGACCTTCATAACCCATAAATTATCTAAAATACAAACGACATTACTGATTCCTTTATTTGAAAAGATGTCAGTGTAGAGAAATGAATCCACCTTTACCTCCAAACATTACATTTAACAGTTTAATTTAACTTCACATTCAGACTTTAGATTAACAAAATAAAATACATTTCCAATGGAGTGAGATACTGTAATTCAGTAACAAAGGCAGATAGATTTAGGATAACATTCAGAAAAAAGTAGATGTCAAGATTTATATTTTCAGAGTGTTTAAAGACTCTATTTCACACTTAATATCTCACCTAGAATCAGGGAGTGGTGCATCTTGGTCTCCACTGAACTGGCGCTGGATGGCAGCCAGCCTGTTCTCACACTCCCTCAGCTGAGTCTGGGCGAGGCGGTGAGCATCCTCGGGGCTCAGGGTATCACAAAGCGCCCTCAAGGCCTCAAGGTGCTGCCCTGCCTGGGCAAAGCTGCCGTCAGCTGAGATACAAGCCTGGTGAATGTTGACAGAGCCAAAACAATAAGTAAACTGGCATATTAATCACTACATTTGAAGCCAGATGATTAATCCTACCAATTAAAAGTTACTTAAAACAACAAAGACACTGAACTAAAGCAACATGATTCAGTGTTTTTGTTGTTTTTTTATACTTCTAAAAAAACTGTCCATACTTGCAATACAGTGTTGTTTGTCCTGCCTAATGGCATATAATCTCATTTATGTCTTAATTTTGGATTTGGTAGACAACCCACACATGACAGCAGCCCACAAATATGCTGCACACAAAAAAGAATGCTGTTTCATCTTCAACTGAAAATTTGATTTCTGGTTATTAAATTAGATTATTTTGTTTTTTACTTTGTTGTGTATGTTTGCTAATTTTTTTCTTTTCCATCCCAGCAAGTTACAGTAAAATATAGATTCTAAATAGTGTTATTTGGTACTGTAAACACACCCAAACAAAAACAGCACTCTCTTAAAGAGAAACCAGAATAGAGTACTGCAATTACCAAGTCCCACAGAAAGTCTCTTTTGAGGCATACAAAGAAGGAGGAGGAAAAAAGGTTAGATAAGCGGAGCAGATAAACTGGCTGCATACCCATCCAGTAAAGCACACCCGCCAAGAGTTCAGCTCTAGATTTAACTACCTGCACTTGGTTTTCTAAATGGGCGCTTAAGTGCATCTCACACTGCAGGGCAGCTGTATTAAAGTCTTTCCTTGTTACTTCAAAACGTAATTGCTGCACATAGCCTGAGATCTCAGCTCTCACAGTCTGGGAGAGCAAATAAAATTAATTAAAAAAAATAAAAAATGACATGTTAGATAATATAATTCACCAAAGGGTTTCTTATATCAATGCTTTACATGCATTCACATAAAAAGTATGATTACAGTTAACATGCACAGGCAATTATCTGACACATTTGAACCTCACAGAACACGATGAAGCTTATTATGACTAACAAATGTGAAAAATCCCCTATTAACAGAAATTCAAATCCCACACATTAACATCCAAGTGAGTTTGTGTCCTACCTCCCACTGTGTCCTGACTGACTGTGTGTAGAACTCCATGTCTCTGAGCTGCGAGGGGGTACAAAAGGCTTCCATGCCCTTGGCTGCTCTCAAGAACTCCTCCAGCAACTCTGGGTCTAGTGTCCTAAGAGTCTCCTGGTGGGAAAGGTGCATATATTTATATAACTGTAGACTGGCTCCTTGAAAAAGTATTTATTTCAGTTAGAAATGTCAGTAAAAACTGTAATAGGGAAAAGGCCAAGTAGTGTTTTATATAGGCACATTTTATCACAAATACCTCCCCATGAAAGGTTATTACAGCACCCAGTTTTAATCTATTTTCATATTTCACCTACTGTGCGTCTTCTTCCCAAGAAGGACCAACCGACAATTAAATTTAGTTTTTATCAACTGGGTATACTGTTTTAACTGTTATCAATAATCAATGCAGAGTACACATTTTGCAGATTAAAACTTAAAACTAGTTAATGTTACTCATTGAGTATGATATTACAAAATAAAAGTGACTACATTACCTCTTTCACCGATGCCTGCTCGGCTGATATCCGTTTGTCCTTAAAAACGCTAATGGTTTCAAGGATGTGCTCTTGCAGACAGTGCTTGGCCTCCTCAAAGCCATTTCTAGCCAAAGCCTGTGCCTTGGCGTAAGCCTCTGTGTAAGCCTGGGGAGGCACCTGGGCCAGGGCTGGAGGTTTAATGCACAGGTCTGGTGACTCAGCCGGAGATTGAGGCAGCACATTGGCCTGGGAGAGGAGAATGGTTTGGGGCTGTTGAGGTTTGGGTTGCGGAGGAGACTGAGTTTGAGGTTTTGACTGTAGAAGTGGTTGGGTCTGACATCTGGCCTGTGGGGGTGAATGAGCCGTGGATTGTGGTGCAGTTTGAGCCTTGGGTAGGGGTGGTGACTGAGCCTGAAGTTTGGGCTGTGGTGGTATTTGTGCCTGAGGTTTAGGTTGTGGCAGTGATTGGGCCTTGGTTTGGGTTGGTGGCTGACCATGGGGTTGAGTTGGTGACTGAGCTGCAGGTAGTGGTGCTGTTTGTGTCTGCAATTTCAGTTGTGGTGGTGATTCAGCCTTCATTAGTGACAGAGCCATGGGTTGTGGTGGTAAGTGGGGATCAGGTGTGGGTTTTGGAGGGGATTCAGCTTTAGGTTGGGTAGGTGACTGAATCTTAGGTTGAGATGGTACAAGGAACTCTGGTTGCACTGCTAATGAGGCTAGAGTTTTGGGCTGTGGAGATGATTCACCGTTTGGTTGAGTTAGTGACTGAATCTTCGGTTGTGTTTGGAGCTGGGGCTGATGTTTGGGTTGTGGAGGTGGCTGCTGGAACTGAAGATTGAGCTGAGGCTGCTGAGTCTGAGCCTGGGGCTTTTCTTGTACCAATAGCTGTGTCTGGATGTGTGTTTGGGAGTGGGCCTGCAGCTGGGGCTGTGAATGACGCTGAGGATGGGCTTGTTTTGGTGGCTGTGATTGGGGAGGTTTTTGGGCTGGCATCTGAGGCTGAGGATGAGGCTGACTTTGTTGCTGATACTGAACTTGTGAATATTGCTGAGACTGGGGATAAGGCTGCTGCTGAAGCTGAGGCGGTGCCTGAATCCAAGTTTGTTGCTGAATATGGCTTTGTTGTGTCTGCATATGAAACGGATCGTAATCTCTCATCTGGGGTTGCTGTTGCATGGAACTCATTTGGGGTTGTGTTTTTGTCTGCATCTGAGGCTGAGTATATAATGGCCCCGTGTAAGAATACCCGGGGGACCCCATCTGAGGCCCTAGCTGGGGCCCAGATTGGGGCCACTGCGGTAACGTCTGAACTGTTGGATAAGCCTGAGATTGTGGAGCTTGAACTATTTGCTGAGGGTATGGTTGGGGAATTGGATGTCTCTGCTGGGCAATGGCTTGGTTTTGTGGATCTTGTTTGGGTGTCCACTGCTGGGATGGAGATTGACCCTGTGGGTAACCTTGGGGGTAACGTGGAGGTTGGGCTGTAGCCTGTGGATGCTGGACAGACAATTGGGAAGAGGCTCTAACTTGAGTCCAAACCTGTGTTTGGCCTTGGGAAATATGGCCAGGGTGCTGTACTACTGGCTGCGCATGTGTGGGATACTGAGTCATAGGCTGAGAATGACCCTGAGTCGGAAGTTGGACGGGACTTGGCCGAGCCATTGGTTGTGTACGAATTTGAGCCTGCATCATGGACATAGCATGGGTTTGAGACTGGGGCATTGACTGAGGATGGGTGTGAGACTGGGGCATTGACTGAGGATGGGTGTGAGACTGGGGCATTGACTGAGGATGGGTGTGAGACTGGGGCATTGACTGAGGATGGATTTGTGACTGGGGCATTGACTGAGGATGGATGTGAGACTGGGGCATTGACTGAGGATGGATTTGAGACTGGGGCATTGACTGAGCATGGCTTTGAGACTGGGGCATTGACTGAGGATGGCTTTGAGACTGGGGCATTGACTGAGCATGGCTTTGAGACTGAGGCATTGACTGAGCATGGCTTTGAGACTGGGGCATTGACTGAGGATGGATTTGTGACTGGGGCATTGACTGAGGATGGATTTGAGACTGGGGCATTGACTGAGGATGGATGTGAGACTGGGGCATTGACTGAGGATGGATTTGAGACTGGGGCATTGACTGAGGATGGATTTGAGACTGGGGCATTGACTGAGCATGGCTTTGAGACTGGGGCACTGACTGAGCATGGCTTTGAGACTGGGGCATTGACTGAGCATGGCTTTGAGACTGAGGCATTGACTGAGCATGGCTTTGAGACTGGGGCATTGACTGAGGATGGATTTGAGACTGGGGCATTGACTGAGGAGGGGTTTGAGACTGGGGCATTGACTGAGGAGGGGTTTGAGACTGGGGCATTGACTGAGGATGGCTTTGAGACTGGGGCATTGACTGAGGATGGATTTGAGACTGGGGCATTGACTGAGGAGGGGTTTGAGACTGGGGCATTGACTGAGGAGGGGTTTGAGACTGGGGCATTGACTGAGGAGGGGTTTGAGACTGGGTCATTGACTGAGGATGGGTTTGAGACTGGGGCATTGACTGAGGATGGGTATGAGGGTGGGTCTTTGGTTGGGGATGGATTTGAGGCTGGGGGATTGACTGAGCATTGATTTGAATCTGGGCATTTGTTGGTGGCTTAGGGGAAGGGGGCCTGACAGGGGCCCATGACTGTGGATGACTACGAAGCTGAATGTGGGATGGTACAGGAGGCTGAATTTGGCCCTGCAGTGGAGCCTGCATAGGGGAAGAAGGTCTGACTTGAGCCCAAGTCTGTACTTGAGCTACAGCTGGGCCATGGTTTAGACCCTGTGGCTGCATAGACGACTGAGGTCTAGCTGGGGCAGTTGTTTGGGGCTGAGTCTGAACTTGTGGCTGGAGCTGTAGTTGTGTCTGTGGCTCAGTCAAGGTTTTCATGGGGCCATGGGGCTGGGGAAGAACTTGTGTATGTGACCGACTTTGGCTCACTCTGGTTTGGGTCTTCAGTGGTTGCTGGTTGTCTGTGGTAGTGCAGGACACACTTGTAGACTGCTCCTGCACTTGGACCACTGCCTTAGATTTAGAGTGAACCATAGTTTGGGGATGTGACTGCTTTTGGGTCTTCATTTGTGGGTGAGGCTGACTTATAGTTACAGTCTGGGATTCAGCCATGGTGTCTGAATCTGGTTGTGTCTGTCTTACAGTAGGCTGTTGTTGTCTTTGTTGTTCCTGCTGTTGCTGCAGCAATTGTTCCTGTTGCTTTTTCTGTTTTCCCAGTTGCTGTTGTTGTTGCTGATGTTGCAGTTCTTGCTGCAGCTGCACTAGATTCTGGGATGGCTGTGTTTGTTTTTGTTGCTCTTTTTGCTGTTGTTGTGGCTGCTTGGTAACCTTTGACTGTGACTCAGGCTGCAGCCTGGCAGTTGCTATTTGCTGTGAAACAACCTGAACTGATCCAACTGTCTCTCTGTCTGACTGTGCCTGTGTCTGTCTAGTCTGAATTGGTTCCTGAGTGGAATCTTGTTCTGGATCTGGAGCTGGAGTTTTGTGCTCTCCTGAGGCTGGCTTCTGAAGCCAGGGCCGGCTCTTCATGGCCTGAGCCTTTCTGCTTTGAAGCTCCTGGTAGCTCAGAGATGGTTTCTTTACCTTTGGTTGTTGAGATGAAGCCTGCTCGTGGGGCTCTGGTGTCTGTTTGACTTGTTTCTCAAACTGTACACAAGTTACCACGTGCTGCTGAACTTGATACTGATGCATTTTTTCTATCTGCTGCTGCTCCACCTGTTGTTGCTCCTGCTTCTGCTGCTGTTGTGTTGGCATCAACTCTTGTGGTTTCTGATGCTTGTGTTCTTGCTGTTGTAGCTCTTTTTCCATCTCTCTGTTAAGTTGTTCCTGGTGCAATGTTAATTTTTGTTCCTGAGTCTGCTGTTGTTTTTGTGAAGCGGCCTCTGGACAGGCCTGAGCATGGCCTTCTGGTGGCGACTTTGTCCTGGTCTGCATCACAGCTTGTGCGTAGGTATATGGCATTGGAGGAGAAGTCATCTTTACTTCTCTGTATTCTTGCACTACTATCTTTGGCACAAAGGTTTCATGACACTGCTGAGAAACCAACTTTGCCTCGGGCTGCTGAGTTGGCCGCCTGGTGTCATACTGTCTCAGATGTTGAGGCTTTTCTTTAGCCTGGATAAAGACTTTTGATGGAGGAGATCCTTCTGGAGGGCTTCTGCTTCTGTCTCTTCTGGCTCCCAGGCTGCTCAGCATACCTACAGCTTCCTGGAATTGAAATCACACACACTTGAGAAAAACTAACATTGTAATTTATGTTACTTATATTAATATTCCGCTTGTTTCCTACTGTACTGTACAAGATAGAACATTGCTTGCATAGTCAATTTCTAAAATGACAACTGGCCTGTGACTGAGTAACAGCGGCTCGCACTCGGTCCTGCATGGCAGAGGCGTGGAGGTACTGGATGGGAGAGTTCTTCTGACTCGTCATTACCATCACCTGCAGGTCTTGCTCCTCTGTGACCACCTGACCCTCCAGCTGTAGACCACGGGAAATCAGAACCTGAGGGAATAAATGGTGTTGAACAACCATTAGCATTTCCTCAATTACACATAAGGGATTCTTTATGAAAGGACAATAAGCTATTCATTGGAACTTTAACTGTTTCAGAGTAACCGGAATTTGATCAACAGTCACAGTAGAAGAATCTTTCTATTCTGTGGATCATCTTACCCTTGCTCGTGTGTCCTGGCCCCGTTGTTGTTGTCGCTCTGTGGCCCTCAGCAGCTGGTAGAGTTCCCTGGCCTCAGTCTCCCAGTGCAGGAGTTCAGCCAGGCGACTGTCCAGACCTGACACACTGTGCTGCAACTCTGTGCATACCTGTTCTGCCTCAAGCAAGGTCTGCATCACCTGGTGACATTAAGGGAACGGTTTAACTTACACTACACGCTGTACAATCACAAATGGTAGCTGACAGTGGCTATTTAGTAACATGATATGATAAATCGAGGGCCAAGTCTCGAATGCTTATCAACACAGCTGTATGAAGGATGTATAAGAAGGAAAAATCATTCATACTTCAGGTATAGCCAGCTTCAGTTTCTGTAACTGATCCGCCGGGCATTCTTGGGAGGGAGCCAAAGCCTCAAGATCAGCTTCCTTTATTTTCCTCATTATGAACTGAAGGGAAGAACGGAAACAGTCAATTTTAGAGAGAGTTTTCTAGTCCGTAAAGTGCTCCTAAGGTCTAACAGGTCAATGACTCCACTTTTACACAGCTATCATCCAGTCTGTCCTCTGCACGTCCATCACTGTCTGGTTTGGATCTGCCACCAAAAAGGACAGGGACAGACTACAACAGACAGTCAGGACTACAGAAAAGATCATCGGTGCCAACCTGCCCTCCATTCAGGACTTATATATTTCCAGAGTCAGGAAACGGGCAGGAAACATCACTGCAGATCCATCTCACCCCGGGCGCAACCTGTTCCAGCTCCTCCCTTCTGGTAGGCGCTACAGAGCACTGTACGCCAAAACCAACAGACTCAGGAACAGTTCCTTCCCACAAGCCATCACTCTGATGAACAGCTGACTCTGACTCATGGTATCAGGAATAAATTCTTATGCAATAACCCAGTAACTCTGTCTCTATTCAGCCACCTGTTTACTGGTTACCACTTATTATTTATTCACCATTCTATATTTCAGTGCTGTTCATACTGTTCACATTGTCATATTGTAAATACTGTATACCAAATCCACCTACCTCAAGTCATTACTCCTGCACAAAATACTTTTTGTTTATTCCAGCATCCTTTGCACTATGCTTCATTGCACTGTGTACAAGTATGCACGAATGTGTATGTTTACCTGTATATCACATCTACCTCCGACATGTATACTCCTGCATCCTTTGCACTCTGCTCACGGAACTATTTGTGAATTTCTATATTGTTTTTGTTCATAGTGTGTATATTTGTGTTGTCTACACTGAAGTCTGTGTCTGACTTTATTTTATTCTATTTATTTTATTATTGTGATTTTGTATTTTTGTATGAGTAAGCACATGGTAAGCAATGTACAATCCAGAGTTAAATTCCTCATATGTGTACACATAGCTGATTCTGACTGCATCCAGAGGTCTGTTATTTCTAATTCTGATCACACTGCTGTTTCACACATAATAATTGCAGTCTGTTGCTCTAGTCTGATTATTGAAAACAGGTCTGCTGGACTAGTTGTTTGGCATGAGGTTATTACCAACTTAATCTTGGTGTGCATATTGCTTTTAACCAGTTTTCTTATTTATTTTCTTTAGAGCTACGTGAAAGTCAGATGTTATGACAGTTAATAGTTAGCTTTGATTATACCACGCTCTCTGAAGGTGTAATTTATCAATCCATTAGTCCTACCTGTATTCTTTTTCTGTAGGTGCGCAAGGGACCTGCCATGGTCTCCAAAGGCTCTTTAAGAATAAGAGTGGCTTCTCTGATCAGAGCGTGGACGTGCTGTGGTCTGGCCTGGACATCAACACTGGGCTCAGCCATGCTGTCCTGGAAAAGGTACAATTAAAGATGTTAAATAACAGGTAGATTACAAGAAAAATATAATAATCAGACAGACAGTCTGAGCTTGTAAATAGCTGTTTGCTTGATTTTAGACGGTAAGGTTTGAAGATAATACCATAGCACACCTGCTTATTTAAAGAAATGTATACCAGCATTTTACTGGACTCTTGCATCCTATTCTTTAATACTATAATAATAAACATGATACAATAGTCTGATGGAACAATTTCAAAGACAAGAGTTCACTGAGATATTTCTAAGACTAGTCCGAACTGTAAAAACCAATGAAGCAGTGCGATAACACACTGTAATTAAAAGCTATAAAAGCCTTGTTTTTATAATTACCTCCACACAATAAGTAAAGGTGGAGCACAACTTTCAAACTTAATGCCACTCCTTAATATCACAGTGTGGGAACAGTTTTAACAATGGGACAAAACAAAAAACACAGGGCTGACACCTTAAGTTACCCAAATCCCTGCTGTCACTAGACAGCAAATAAACACAGTAGAAACTAGGCCATCTTTTTAGGACAACAAAGCCATTCGCCCTGATAAAGGCACGGCAGAAAGTGTGTATATATATATATATATACACACACACAAACACACACAGAGTATAGAAATCGCGTGTTTCAGTCATTTATCATGCAAAATTACATATTCTTCACTTGTTCCAGCTTAGCAACTAAGATGTGAGCACAACAAATAGCACTGATCAAACAGATTTCCTGTTCCTCACCAACCAGGTTTTCCTTGTTCTGTAACTTACAAATGTGTTTCTCTTGACAAACTCGGCCCAGTGCATGTTGAGTTTGCGCAGCTCCTCTGCAAGGCTTCTGCTGGTCTGAGGGTCTGTTGACTCGATCAGGAAGTTACCCACCTCGTTCAGGTGGGCCTGCCGGGAGCCCCACTCAGCTATAGACTCAGCTATCACCTTAAAAGAAAAATATAGCAAACTTTTTGTACACACTTGTGTAGGCATTGCTATCATTTTTTGTGACATTTTAGAAGACAAATATTTCTCCACAGGAGGAAAGAATAATCTCACTGGTTGTGTTGAGTCTTAATGGGTAAAGCAAAGGAACCGTAATCAAGTGATGAAAAGTCCAGTTAAAAATGCAAGAAAAGCTGACAGGTTTATGAAGCGTAGTTCTCCTTACACTAACAACATATAACAATATATTATTTCTAATAATGATGTGTACAATTTAGCCACAAGCGGAATTTCTGGGTTCAAATCTTTTTTGTGTTCAACTGAAGCAATTAAAGTCACAGGCGGCTGTGAGAGAGTTTTGGGCTTCACAAAGCTGAGCAAAGTCACTTCAGCTAGTTTGATTTTGATCAAAATACATTTCTGATCTTCTGCTGCATTATAAACCATCCAGAGAGGTTGTCCGGGACAAAGTCGAAGTCAAGTCAAGAATGAACATGGAGAAGCAGTTTTTATGCTCCATATATCTGGAACAAACTCCCAGAGAAGGAGTTAATGATTACTATCTTACCTGCACTGTAACTTTTACAGTCCTGTTTACTTTTTTAATTGTATGTCTTTTTACATTGCCTTTTGTTGAAATATGCTATACAAATGAACTTGCCTTGCGTTACACATGTCACACGCGCCACATGTCTTTACTGAGTTTAATCAGGATTGCTGTGATACAACTTGAGTGATCGCCTCTTTCCTGCTAAGACCCGCCCTTGGTAAAGTTTTTTGATGGCAGCCATACTTTTAGACGGATGTTGCTCATTTACAGTCGAATTGTGTAAGACACAAGACACAGTTCAAGTCAATCAGAGTCACGGAGGGGCGTGGCCTTTCCAAATGAGTATATTATAAAGTTAATTATAGCGTCATCATCTGGCCCATTCAGGTCATATTTATTGTGAAGCATTTGCACATAATATCCAGTTATTGGGTCAAGTTTCCTGTCTCTAGCTCGTTACAGCTCACGTCATTTTGAGCAGCAACATAAGACAACAAATAATACTCAATAAGGATTTACCCATACGGGAACCCTAATAATACCTCTGGTCTGTGGCCATGGCTGTGTGCTACAGAGCCCTGCTCCAGCCAAGCCTGCAGGGAGCTGAGGCAGTCGCTGTAGGAGTCCCAGGCAGACAGGACCCTTCCCATGGTGCTCTTGGCTGTGGTCACATCCTCCAAAACCACAGCGGTGTCCTCCTCCAGCTGCTTCACCTGCTGACTGACGTGGTTGTAATCTCCGGCTGAGGGGCAAAGAGAAAAAGCAGTAAAACACTCCGTCAATCCAAAAATAAATCCATGATCTGGTCTGATCAGGAAGGAAAAGTTTCAATCAAACTACAAACTGCAGAACAGATGTGAAAATGAATTGTGCCCGTTTGATCTGTTCATTCAAATTTCCATGTAAAAATCCTAGATAGTGACCTCCTTTGATCAGTTAGATACAGATACAGGAATACATGCCACGCAGTCACAGAACACTTACCGAGGGCAGATTTGCTAGAATATTTTTCCGACGCCTGCTTCAGCTTATGACGAGCTGCTTCCAACAAGGAAGGTAGCTCCTGTTTGTTTACCAGCTCCTGTGTGTAATAAAATATCATAGGTCATAACAGCCATGTTCATGACACAGTAGAAATAGTTTTGGACGGTAAGGTGAAAAATTGGGATTAATTTATTAGATACTGTTAGAATTTTACCGCTAGTGGGGCTTAATATGTAGTTGGTTGTATGTTTGTCCAGAGCGTGGCACCCGAGTGGCCAGTTTACAAAAAGTTATGCATTTTGCTAAATGCACAATGTTAGTGTGTGTTTAGCTTAACAGCAGCATTAGGATACAATCACCCAAACCCTAACACATATAATGTGTCCCCTTGTACAACATCCTTCAAACCACTCCCAATAAATGAAATTATCTTGATAAGATGCCAAATCTGAACAAGCTCTACTCACATGCCATTCTTGCAGCAACACCCTGACAGCCTCTGGGGAAATATAAGGTCTCTTCCAGATCCGGAGCTTGGTCCTGATCTGCCCCAACAGATCCAAAACTGTGTGGCGGTGTTCCCGGTACTCCAGCTTGATCCCATGGTATTTTGCAGACACTCTCACGCTGGTGAACCTGGTGAAGATGAGGTTGTGAAAGTGATCAAAATAAAAAATAATAAACCTCTATAACTACAAATGATTTTCCCAGAAGAATTGTGAAATAGTGCAGGCAGACGATACAAAGGAAGTATATGTATCATATGTACAATGTTGTTAATGTTACTGAAAATCTCAAATTTCCAGGATTCATGGCCAACATTCCTGAATAAAAACAAGATAATCCACAAGCTGCACATTTAACACTGTTCTTTATTAGCATACAGAATGACACCATGGGGATGGGGTTTTTTGTGTGTGTTTAAACAATGACCGTGGCTATATCTAGGTCCAGGTCCAGGTCATGACATGTACTACTAGCACATTTAGCTTAATTCAAGTACTGCACGTACAGTACGAACATATTCACACATGAACACACAGTCCACTGGGAAAATATCCTCACCTCCTCTTTAGTTCATCCATCTTGTCAATAGGAACCATCATGTTTCCATACTCATCCAAGTTCTGGAAGGACTGGAAGGTCTTCAAATGCTGCGGCATCTCCTCTAGGCAAACCTACAGCACATTCACATGCATACTTATTTTTAAATTTCCCACAGAATGATCATTTCTGCTCATAAAGGTCTGTATTTTAATGCCTTACAAAGGAGGCAAGAGTATCCACATTATCCCAATAACAATGGCACCTTTCACCTTTCCTGAACATTTATTAATGAATGAATACACAATAGTGGGGCTGTTCTGCAGGGGTTATTTATATCTTAAATGTGAAAACTGGACTGAATAAATATTCACTTTGAGCAGCTCCTGTTTCTCCCTGGCTTCGTCAGCGGCTCTGCCGTGGTCCTGCGGGTCGCCTTCCTCCTCGGCCAGGGCCCCCTCCGTTTTCAGCAGCCAGCGAGCCACTGCATCCAAGGGGGCTGGGAGACTCATATCTAACTCAATTTTGTATTCACGTAGCTAAATGAAAAAACAGAGACAAAGAAGGCACACTCAACAAGTAAACTCATGAGTTACATAACAAAATACTACCAAAACAAACCAAATGGTTGAAATGTACCCAGTGCTTGAAGTGGAAAAAAATGGGTGCGAGTATACCCCCCCCCTACTATCCTCAACCACATGATGAAACTAGTAAATATTATAACATTAACGACTTTGCACATTAACCACTTAATTTCCTGCATTCTAAACACATTTTCTGCACCACTTCATGGAGAAAATGTTTATTTATTTGAAGGGAAACAAAATTAAGGAGACAGGTGACAATTCAAAATATAATATTTATAATTCGGACAATGCACATTTGTTTCTTCTATATTTCAGTTGCATTGCATGTTTTCTTATTGTGCAGTGTTTCATTTGTTATTCAATATTTCTTGTTGCAAGTTGTTTTTCAGTAAAAAGTGATGGAGTTATGCATTCTGATTCTCCTCACTGTAAATTACGCCTATCTGTCAATACTTTTAAATGTCCCGGCTGTGATTGGTCGGTTCACGACAATTGAGATTGACGAGCTATATTGAGCACACGGCTTCTTGAGAGGCACCCGGGCTTCTCTTCTCCCTCGTCTCTCTCCGCCGACAGAGACTAGCAGGCAGGCGAGAACGGGAGTGTCACGTAGCACCCAGAGTACCTGATATGGAGAGGGCAGAGGACCGGCAGCTTGGGAGAAGTCCCGGTACGCAAGAAAATGTCCCGGTATGCCAAAGAATAAAATGTCGAGGTGCCGGTACTGCGTACCGGTGCGTTCCGGCCCACTTCAAGCACTGAATGTACCAATATCAAATACTGTACAAGGTCTGTGTGGGATAAGAGATTTGTGTGGATGTAACCTTTTCAGTGAGGGTGTCCCACGCCTCTCTGAGAGCCCGCTGTTCATCGCTTAGTTTCGGGCTTCGTCTCATCGCTGTCAACAAAGGCATGATGGGACGCCGCTGCTCATTAAAGGATACCAGAAAGGTATGAAATACCTGAGGGATGGAGAATGTTATCTTTAGTGCCACTCTTATAATGTCAACTCAAACGGAAGAAAAACAAGACATTATGACAAATTCAAATTTCAAAGATCCACTTTTCTTTGCAGTACACTGATGATAGAAAACATTCAGCAGGATATTGTTCAAATTTGATGAGAAACGGGACAGGTAAATATGGCATTTTAGTACTAAACGGGATGAGGCTGCTGTAGAAACAGCAATGAGCTCTTTATAACTGAAAGCAACAGTTTAATTATATCACTGGTTTGAGAGTCTGCAATATGAATGTACCACAGTTAAGTAACAACGTTTCAGCGAAACTTACATGGTATCTCTCTGGGTAGCTCTCGCCCTCTGTGGAGTCCCATCCCTCCAGCAGCTCGTCATACGCCTGAACCAGCCAGCATGTCACTTCCTGTGCCTTTCGATCAGGTGTCGCCTGTAAGTGTGGAACACGAGAAACACCGCTGAACAATTCCAGGCTAAACTCAACTGTTTATTTGATATTTAGTTTAATTTAGATCTCTAGAAATCTTTATATCTGCACACTGAGGTCAAAATGTTATTTGAGGGGTTTTATTTTTCATTTTTCCCCCCTCAAAGATTTCAGTTTGTTTCTCAATTGAATTGTTGACATTATAGGTCACATTAAAAGGTGGATTTTTCTTTGTCTCATTATTTTACATCATAAGAACCTGGCATTTTAACAGGGGTGTGTAGACCTTTTCTATCCATGGTAAATAACTTTGTATTTATTACTAAAAATGGTGTTAAGAAGGGCAATATAGAGCTAAGCAAAAAGCTTTCCCAAAGACACCAACACCAGTCATGAGATATTTTACACAACACAGCTAGTGTGCCAAAATGTGTTGTACTTGAAGCAAGCCTGTGCACAGAGTAACATGCCCATACCGAAGTTTGTTTTAGCAAACAAATCCAATTATCCTGTACATGTGGATGCTAAAGACCACGTTTCAAAGTCTATGTTTATATATAAAGATGCAAAAAGAATTCAGTGTGTAGAAGCATTTAGGTTTATTTGTTGTGCATTTTGTCATGTATTTTCTGATGTGATTTGTAAATATAAAAAGAAATTGTCATTTTAAATAACATTTTCCAGACTGCGCCCTCTACCCAGTCATGGCAGGATCCATCCTAAACTCTAAAATGAACACTTCTTCGGGGGTAAAGTAACAACACAGAAAGTAGATTAAATACTCAAATGTCTACAGCAGCCTCTTCCAAACGCGCTGATATCTTGTCAGAAACCTGAGCTGACAGGTGTTCTGGTTGACTGTGACTGATGTTTCATGTGTTCTGCGGAGTGGAGGGAGTCGCTACACTGCAGAGTCGCCTCGTGAGTTCATCTCATGGGAGGCAGAGAAACACACCTTTGCTGTGCCTTTGGATTCCTTCCCTGAGAACAGGGCGAACTAGTTTGATTCTGCATGATGAGACGTGCTTTAAACCACCACACGGTTCGGAGGCAATCTTGGCTCTTAGCGACCAACTTTTTTATTGTGTAGCTGCAGTTCCGTATCAAGAAACAACTTTGTCGATCTAAAGTTATTCGTGGGTGCTACAAAGGTTTGGTGGGGTTGATTTACGCCGTGTGATGAGTTAATGAGGCTGATAATTTCAAACCAGCAAGCCAGGTTTCCAAACACACTGCACTAACGGAGAAAAACATTACTTCTTTCAAAACCATAAAGCAGCGATGGGGGGGCGGGGGGGGGGGGGCACTGACAGAAATACAGTATTTTCAGAAAAACATGTTTTAAAAGAGGGATTTGGGTTTGTTTTCCAAGCTATTATATATATTTTAAACATTGTGATGTTTTTCTCGCTGAGTGTAAGACAAACATTTTACTTGCTGTTTATGTACCGCTCCAATATAAAAGTCAGGTTGTATTTTCTTATTGTTTATTATTATTGTTTTGTTACTGTTAATGCTATTTCCTGAAAATTGTATAATCTGAATTTCCATGGCCACCCAAGGTTGGTGCAAATTACGTCTACAAATAAGTGTTATTATCTACAAACACATGACTTCATGGGGAGATTTACGTAGACAATAATTATGATTCAGGTGTCACCGAATCTATTGCAAGGTACTGTAATTGGAAGCAAAGTAGGTGGATGAAAAGTGAGAAATGAACCCGAGGTGGGCTGTGACTGTCGGGTCTACCTGTCGCAGAGGTGAAGCAGAAATAGCAGGAGTGTAGTGAAGAGGCAGGTTGACAGGAGAAGGACTTTTAGGAACAGTCAGGTGTTGTGTCTGGAAGGAAAAGAGGAATGAAAGAGAGCGCAGTGGAAGAAAAGTGAAAATGCCAAGCAGAAAAAGCTTCATATTTTAGTGAAATAGTTGGATATGGCAGAGGTAACTGCAGGGCACTGCTTCAACAGGCCAACAACTGAAACAAACAATACTTCTTAACATTAGTCATGGTCACTATACGCAAATTCAACTTGGGAACAGATGACATTCTAAATATACAAACTCCAAAAGGTGATCTGCATGCTGTAATTCATTTCACTTTTAATCTCAAAAAGGTGTAAATGTTCCTGTGTCTGCATATATTCTGTGGTCTCTATGCAAAAATAGAAATAACAGAATAGAATTGAAAAAGTCAGTTAAGGACAAAACATGTATTGTTCTACTGGACGAAACCCTGCCTTCGGTTTATTTAGAACAACTCTTCGATGGCCAGATTTAAAGGATTCCTGCACAACATGTGCATGATTATGTACATATGGTGCATGTATTCATCTTGATAGTCAAATACTTTGGCAACAGTGCAAAATCATCAGACATACAGACTGGAGAACAGGTAGAAAAAGAAGCCAGTGATTTGGTGAAAAACATTAGCTACAGTATCTGCGTTAAAATCAAATCAACAAAATTGGGTTGACATTTTCAGATATCTAGGTTGACTGGCCGTCTTGACAACCACTGTTTCAATAGTATTTTAGTGACCACATTAAGTGTGGTTTGGACCTGCATCACAATGAAATAAAGTCATTTAAATACTGTTGAAACAACTTTTAATGTAACCCAGGAATCTAAAAAATATTTCAACCAATGCCTGATTTTAATCTTGAAGTCTAGACTTCTTTTAACCTGCAAATCACCAAACCAATGCTTCCTGAGCAGGACTGGATTGACAGAGCTCAGATGCTAACTGCACTGGACTGCAGAGGTAAAACAGCTGAAAATGTCCTGAGCAGAATCCTAAACTCTACCTGAGCTGGTCGTCAGATCTCGGAGCTACACTGCCATTAAAACGTTTCTGCAGATGTTGCTGCAGTATAAAATGTTGCACCTTTATTATTACTTGATGTTTTTCTAGACAACAATAGAGAAATACAGACCTGCATTTCTTCCTCTTGCATTGGCAGGTCTCTGGAGTACTGCAGGAACTGAGCCACGTAGGTCATGATGGACTTCTCATCAGGGTCTCGAACGTCCACATCTGCATCCAAATCACAATCCTCCATGATCAGTCTCCCACTACAACACCTCTGTCAAAGGTTTAGACTAACACATGAGTAAGCTCTGAAGCAGGTGGAGTTTCGACTGGAATCTGAGGAATGGAGGTGGAACTTTTCTGTCTTTAAAACACCCAGCTGATAAAAGTCTGCTCATAAACTAACAGGCAGAGCAGAGCGAAACAAATGGGTTTTATATAAAGTGAAGTAAACAAGCAGCAAGTGAGTCAGCAGACTGTCAGAACGTCATCCCACTCGCCCTGGGGCTCGCTGGGTAAGCTACACTCATACAAGATTCGTGGCACCACATCAAATACTGCTACACAAGTATGTTAAGGAGAACAATCAGATGAATCATATTTTGTGAAGAGTATTTGATTGTTGAAACACCAAAACAGAGGTTTCATGGAAATAGAGGGGGACAAAGTAGAAATACGTGCAACTGAAGTAAACTGATTGTGGAAGACTGGCTAATAAATAAAAACATATGGTCAATCCTTGTGAGTCTGTGTTGTGAAATGGTTCTGCACCAGCATCCGCTTGACAAACTGCAAAGAAAGCAGTCACCTCCTTTTTATATTTCCTGCGATTGCAGTGCTGGAAATAAAAAAATAAAAAACAACAACAAAAAGACCAATGATGATAAAATGTAATGTGTTTTACAAATGTCTGCAACTATGATGAAATGTGTCCACAATTATAAAAGGTATTTAACCTCAACTTTACATCTAAACAGCTTTAGAAGCATTTAGTTTTCAGTCTTATCATATTTATCAAAATCATTTTGAGACACTGGCCTGTAGTTTTGTGCAATACCTCATCACAGCACCACAATCCTTATTCATATGAAAGCTGTCAAATAAAAAAAGGCTTTTTAACAAATTCAGTTACCAAGTGCAAACAAAATAACAGTTAGCCTAAATGTAAAAATAATTATACAGTTAAAACTAAAACCAAAATGGAGCACAAATTCAAATAGCCCCCCCCCCCCCCCCTTGGTAGCCAAAAAAAGTTCAAGCCCCCCAGCTAAAGTGGATTTGATTTGACAAGTGACTGAAATAAAACCAAAGATTCAGGTTAGCAAAATGGCCTTGCTTGCATCACAACTTTTGTTTTGTTTGCGCCACCACATGCAACTTTAGGTCTGCTCAACATCAATACCCAACCTGAAGCGGCACTATGCCCCCCAGTTTGAGAACCACTGACATAGTTTATGGTCTCAAGCCCTGTATAATGTTCCTAAAGGAACTACAACCAGTGTGTAGAATATAAAGTTTATCTCACTGACGTCACCAGCATATAATATTTAAAAATATTCCTATTTCACAGTAATGCATCGATAACAGTGTTGGATTCATACCTCGTCACTTTATCCACATTTATTGGAGTTTTCATAAAGTAGTAACCTAGGATACTTCACTCACATCTGCAGCACTATTCCAAGCTCAACACTGTAAACAGAATATTCATGTATTTGCGATTGTCAATTACAAAAGAAAACAAAGCCTTCTACTGAAGATACTTGCTCCTGCTGCTCTACTGTCACTGGTTTCTGACCTGGTTGAGGGCAGTAAAGCTGAATTACTCACCATCAGGATCCAGCAGTCTGGGGATCCTCAGCTCTTTCTCTGCGATGTAAAAGGCCTCCTCCAGATTCTGCCTGTTGCTTCTGGTTCTGGCTTTGGACAGATCCACCAGGTCAGGCCTCAGAGCATACAGAATCGCCAGGAAGACCACACCACTCCTCCAGCTAGCTTTGAAGTCTTTCACATTTAATGAACATCCAGCTCTGTGGGAAACAAATCGCTTTATTACTATTACATTTTATTTATATTTTTAACAATATTTCCAAATATTTCCAGGTATGTACTGGAATAAAATCCCATGCACATAGGAATGTATTTCAGATTCTGGCAGGCAAAGCATCTGACAGCGCAGACAGAAAAGCCCTGATCAGGCTTGGGTCTTTATCCCAGACGTGAAAATAACCAAGAGGTATCTGTGTGAGGATCTATCACTTCTGACATCACAACAGAAGAGATGCATCAATTAGAGGGTTCTCAAGGCTTTGATATATCAGCGTTACCCTATATAAACATTACCCTAGGTGCTTACTTGTGGCACTGTTCCCGGACCCAGAGCAGCAGGGCCTTTTTGGCAGAAACCCTGAAACGATTGTGTAGGGGTGAGCCTCTGGGAGGAACGGGACTGCTGCTGGCCGAGCGGCTCGACAGGGTTGAGCGTGAGTCCAGACTGGCCAAAGAGTCCATGGAGGACTGACGGGAGCTGAATGAGAGGGCGCTGGCCAACTCCTCGATCTAAGAAAAACACCAACACACACTTTGTCTAGCATTTAGGGGCATTTATATCTGATAAAGGAGTAAAAGTTAAAAAGGTATAACACAGTAGAACTCCACAACTGGACAAAACAACAAGCAAGATAAGGGAAGAGAAAACTTGACACCACATAAATTACATCAGAATCTCTGGCTTGCACAAAAGATATAAATGGGCTAATTTGAGAATTCAAATTGGCTTCCCTGCTCTAGTAATTTGGTCTAATTCTGTAAAAACAAAATATGAAAGAAAACAGACAACAAGAAAGAAGAAGAAATAAAATCTATTAACTCAACATATTAAACTCACATGATACTGTAGAATGATTGTCCATATGAGGCCCAGGATGATGGACGGTTTACCATCAATGATGTCAGGAATGTTAATGTTGACGAGTTTGATCTGGAGAGAAAACAGGAAATGTTTCAAACTTGCACAAAGTCTCGACTGATCCATGTAGAAATCTAATAATCTCATATTTTCCTGCAAACAATGCCTGGCAAAATCATCAGACTGTGAAGCAGTAATCACGTGTAGTAATTAGTATAATGTTAAAAAGGCAAAATCAAATGACAAAATGCGTCATCCCCCTGGTAGTAAAGTCCTCACTATGTGGTTGGTGATTGCATTTGGCTGACAGCATAAGGGTGTCATTTACCGATTTCTTCTTCAGAAAGGAAAGGGCCTTCTCAACGTTGCTCCTGTGCTGAAACATTCCCCTGCCTCTCTCCCGACTCTGCAAAACACAACCGGAGAGTCAGTCAGTGGATTCATTAAAACTGCCGGGCATGTTGAGTGCTGAACCGCGAGGGGACTCACAAGGCGCTGGCCGCTCATCACCTCCAGCAGGTCCAACAGTTTGGAGCCGTCACGGAAATCATTGAACAGATCCATGACCATACATGGTGGCCTCCGCTGTCACAACACACACACTTTAATTATTTTAATCATAGCAGCTTTAAAATACTCAGAGAGCTGATACCCACACCAAGGCTGCAGAATGTATTATATCAATACAAAGTTAGTACGTGACAAAAACACATTTTTGTGAAATAAGCCATGTTTACAAGACATCGGTAACCATTTTAGAGAATTCTATTTAAATAACATGAAAACTTTCCTATCATTAAAATATGTGCCAAAATTATAGCAGTGTTAAAAGTGTTTTTCTGCATCACAATCTGACTGCGGGAAAATCTGTGAAGACAGAAATCTGTGAGGCATGCATCTGAGCTGAGGATGACTTGCTCCTTGTGACATCCAATCAAAAGCAATTAGTTAAACTAAACACATGGTGGTCGTGCTACAAACAAGACTGTTTGTCAGTTTCTGAGAAGCTGACATTTTGGAGACGGTAAACCTTCTCCACAATATAATGATAATTGTTGTTTCACTATTTTATCTGTCATGTCATGAATCAATGTTTTGTTCTTTGTCAGGCTTTATAAGGCAACAATAAATAATTGTATTGTATTGTCTTATTTGGTAAATATACTGACTAACATAATTTTTACGGTTCACAAACAGAGGAGACATTGGTTTATTACAGCCTGAAAGTTACATCAACCTTAAAGTTGACTGATATTTGCTGATCAGACGTATATTTGTGTCAGCATATATGTAACAAGAAGCTGCATTGCCAAAGATGTGTTTGAGGCACACACTGTTGCCATGAATAACTGTCCATCAGAGAGCAGCTTCAAGTTTAAATGTCAAATCTAAAATACCCTGTGCAGTACACATCCTGATCACATTCTTTATTATCAAAATGTTATCCTTTCCAAAAATGTATGTTTACATTATGTGTAAATAAATTGGATATCACTGTCAAATACAAACACAAAACAATCTTTTTAGCTGCAAATGATCTTTAACCTTGGGAACCTAGTAGTCAATGACTTTTATTAACCTCCACGAGTGACAAGTAGGAGTAAAAACACGATGATGAACAATACAGTCTCATTTAGTCAGCAGAGAAGAATAAACTTTAACTTTATCCTGAAGGCTGAATGTCAGCAAGTTAGGGCTTTCCAAAGCAAACATAGAAAAAAGAAAACGATTCACATGTGACAGAAGGTAATGTTGCTATGTGAGCTCTAATGTAAACAACCAAAGGATTAACAATAATCTCCACCATTCAGGTTATTGGCAGAGTCCCACACGGAGCCCTGAGCTGGGTGGACTGGTAGGTGGATCGGCGGGGTGTGGATGGTGGGCGGTGGTGGATGGTGGGCAGTGGTGGATGGTGGGCGGTGGTGGAGGGCAGGCGAGGGTGGTGGCCGTCTGTTGCTGTCTGTCTGCTCGCTGTGAACCTTGCTCCTCAATGCTATATTTATGTACACAGTTCACCCCCCCCCCACCGTAACATTCACAGCTGACCTCCAACATGAAGCCAACAGTCTGCTGCTGACTCATGTTAGGTAACAAGTTACTTTGATAACAAGAGAGTGACCTTTTGCAAATCTGTGTCTCAGAAATGTATTTAGCATTACAAAGCTCATGGATTTATTTGCGACAACAATGTAATATTGTCGTCTGATTATTAAATGCCTTACAGGCTGACAAAGAAAGCCACAGCACAATGGTTGGTGAAACAGATGCTCAGTATTTTAGAGGTAGCCAATTTAAAACCAACTGTGCTGTTGTGATGATTTCTTTCCCTGGTTGTAAACACAATTTTACTGTGAGTGGCTTATATAATGTCAGACGCATCTTTTTATTGAAACATTTTTTATTTTAGGGAATATGTTTGCACATGAGCATAACTGGTGATCCATCAACTCATGTCCTCACATGTTCCTGCTCACCTGCATTTTGTCATAAAGCTGCAGCAGCTCAGCTGAGATTCACCGTGTATACATGACATCTACAGAAATTTTCTGTTTCTGTGGTTTTGTTTTAAGCTCCCTTTATCGTGTGACCAAGTCTTATGTCTGTTAAGTTGCTAATACTCTATGAAGCTTTGAGACAGTAAGGAATACTCAGTGTACTAATGTGGACTTATCCATTACAGGTGTAGATGTTCTGTTAATGCTTTCATGCAGCACAGCTAATAATGACAAATTTAGATTAAATTCCTCCATCAGAAACACTGCCCCCTCAGTCAGACCTGTCAGAGAGGTCAGGGTTCAGAGACACGACTCACCTTTGCCAGTTGAGCGTTGACCCAGTTGGTAAAGGTCTTCTTCTGAATCTGTTCTTGTTCCACTGTTAAAGAAGAAGAAACACAAATTGTCTATTTATATCATCACATCTAAATAGTAAATCACAGGTAGCGTAAATTTAAATTGTAGACATTACGGTCAAAATGCAATGCAGAACCATTTACCTTGACTGCAACAGTAGAGTAGTTTCAATGTGCTCGACCGCTAATATTATTAGCAACAGTGTGTATATCTCACTGGCTAAGAGCGCTGTTAACTGCAGGCACCATGAGGTTAAAGACTGGACAACACTGTCTGATCCAGAAAAGATTCAGAAAGAGTCATTTGTACAAGTAGCTGATATGTATCCACCTACCTCAAGTCATTACTCCTGCACAAAATACTTATATACTGTGTACATGTATGCATGTATATGTACCTGTATATCACATCCACCTCCAACATGTACAGACTCCTGCATCCTTTGCTCTCTGCTCACGGCACTATTTGTCAATGTCTATTTTTTTTTTGTTCATGTGTGTATATTTGTGTTGTCTACACTGAAATCTGTGTCTGATTTTATTTTATTTTTATTATTGTGATTTTGTATTTTTGTATGAGTAAACACATCGTGAGCAATGTACAATCCAGAGTCAAATTCCTCGTATGGGTACACAAACCTGGCAATAAAGCTGATTCTGAGACTAAGGATTGCATCCTGTCTCGTACAGTCAATGTTGGTTTCTTTTCAAGACTGACCACAAAGCATCCTTTACATTAACTCAGCAGTTTTAATGCTTAGATTTAACCAGACCTCAACCAAAGGGGATCAAAAATAAAACACATGGAACACCCATCTTTGCAAACCATTTGGTACTCCTATTGTGAAATTAGCCAACTATCATAACCTTGCCTTTTAAAATCAGGGTATTGTTGTAGCTAACACCCAGGGATTTGGCCAATCATTTTGGAAAACCTTTGGGCATAATAATCACAAAAAGAAGTATTTGGTCTGTGTGTTGCCTGAACATGCAGAGAGCCTCAGTGCAATAATAAAAGCCACAGAATATAGTTTGGCACGAACAGATCTGCAACTGAGGCATCTTCAGATGAATGTATAACCAGGCATCCTACACTGACATTTCTTTATTTCTTATAACTCGATCTAGACTCACTGGCCACTTTATTAGGTACACCTTGCTAGTACCGGTTTGGACCCCCTTTTGCCTTCAGAACTGCCTTAATTCTTCGTAGCATACTTTCAACAAGGTGATGGAAACATTCCTCACAGACTTTGGTCCATATTGACATGATAGCATCACGCAGTTGCTGCAGATTTTTCGTCTGCACATCCATGATGAAAATCTCCCGTTCCACCACATCCCAAAGGTGCTCTGTTGGATAGAGATCTGTTGACTGTGGAGGCCGCTGGAGTGCAGTGAACTCATTATCATGGTCCAGAAACCAGTTTGAGATGATCTGAGCTTTGTGACATGGTGCATTATCCTGCTGGAAGTAGCCATCAGAAGACATGGTCAGCAACAACACTCAGGCAGGCTGTCGTGTTTAAACACTGCTCAGTTGGTTCCAAGGGGCCCAAAGTGTGTCAAGAAAATATCCCCCACACCATTACACCACCACCAGCCTGAACCGTTGATACAAGGCAGGATGGATCCATGCTTTCGTGTTGTTTAAACCAAATTCTGACCCTACCATCTGAATGTCAGATCAGACCAGGCAACTTTTTTCCAATCTTCTATTGTCCAATTTTGGTGAGCCTGTGCGAATTGTAGCCTAAGTTTCCTGTTCTTAACTGACAGGAGTGACACCCGGTGTGGTGTTCTGCCGCTGTAGCCCATCTACTTCAAGGTTCCCATTTTCCACAAACAACCATGCAACGTTCAAAGTCATTTAAATCTCCTTTCTTGCCCATTCTGATTCTCAGTTTGAACTTCAGCCAGTTGACTTGACTACATCTACATGCCTAAAAGCAATGAGTTGCTGCCATGTGATAGGCTGATTAGCTGTTTGTGTTAATAAGCAGTTGAACAGGTGTACCTAATAAAGTGGCTGGTGATAGTTTTTACTTTTAAGAAGTGGATTTGTATTTGAATTTTGGTTTTTAAGTACTTTCCAACACATTTGAAAGAGTTTACAGTTTACAATACTCTGCAGTGTTTCCCATACGTTCATTTATTTGTGGCGGCCCGCCACAATATCAACGCTGACCGCCACAGATTGATTTTCAATTTTTTTTACTAGGCCTATTTAAAATTGTATTTGACTGGAGAGCGCCGTAGCGCGTTCGCGCAGCACATCCTCTCGCTCGTCCCTCTCTCTCGCTATCTTCCTCATGAACACAGCTGCATGCTGTGAATGTCGGAGACCCAGCTTAAAAAAGTTATTAGCAAGCATGTAAGTAGCCTACCTTATAAGGAGAGCTAACTTAATGTTAGAAAACACCCGGGTTTTAAACGCTAGCACGCTGTATATAGCTGGTAGTCAATATCGACTGCACGCGACCCCCATTCAGTGGGAAACACTGCTCTGGCATTCATTAACAGATCTGTGCTGTACATTTTGAAGCTCTCAAAAAGGTACAGTGTGTAAGAATTGTGACTACTCTCACCTGTGGAATTCATACTTAAAAAAGTAGGGGGCAGCATATCACATATCAGGTCATAACTGCTGCTGTTAGCTCAGTTAGCCATGCAGGTTACTTAGACGTCCTATTAGCTTACTGAGTCCAGATCTGGGGCAGGGCAAGCAGGGCGAGCAGGCAACAGAACCGGCAACATAAGCAGATCTCCCAGTGATCACAGCCGGATCGGGAGCGAACACAGCCTCCGAGACCGACTGAGTTTGATAGCAGGGCATACAGTACGAGTTGATTTACAGCAGCTCGATCCAGGACTCTGACTCCGGGAAAGACGAAGATACGACGAAAATACAACGGGTTCAGCATGAGTTACGAGGTATGTATTTCTACCAACATGAACTGAACTGCATATAAATATACTGCTGACACGTTGATATATTTAAGAGAGAGGAAAGTGGGTTGTTTTTATACTGTATATAAAATGCATTTTGAAATATATAGTACACTGTGCTGTTGTACTGACCTATGAAAGTAAAGAAGGGCGTTACTGTCAAAGAATATTCATAATCAGTGAGGCAGAGTTTCATTTAACATGGAACTTGTTAAATACCCTTGAGGGAGGCTATAATAACAATATATGCATAAATAAAAAGTGTATTACAATAATCTGAGCCAGGCTACAGAAAGGTTTCAGCACTCAGATTATATAAAGACTTGTAAAACAGCAGACTTAGTCAGTTATTTGTCCATCACTCACCATTGTAAAGCTCAATGAAGTCATTCAGGTCAGTCACAGTATGAAGAGTCTCACATATAATCCAGTCCTCGTTCTCCATTGTCCTCATAAACTCAATGAATTCACTGACTCAACTAACTCAGTCAGAGCTGTTCTAAACTAAACTACATTCACTATCTCCATAAATGGTTTCCCCTTAATCAAGATTGGGTTTTTTCCTCCAATAACTTTAAGCCAATTTAGTGCTACTACTCTTTAAATATGGTGACAATGTAATCAGCCTGTTGCACAAGTCAGATTGTGAACCTGCTGTTCAGTACTAAAAAATCATTGTAAAATATAAGTAAAGCAAGTAAAAACCAACACCAGGTATGAGGTAGGAGCTATGAAAGTTTTTACCAACAGGGATGTATTCCTACAACTACTCTTTTCAAAATTGCCTCATCATTTAGATCTTTGTTCGCTACAGTAGGCAAAGGCTAGTGGTCCTTTCTCGTCCTTGCAGAGCTCGTTCAGGCTGACAGTTCACAGACTATTTTCTGTCTTGATATGTTTAACCGCAGGCCTCCTCTGGCTTCAGTTCCCTTACAGTCTAATCTTAATCATACCCATATGATGACATCTTATTATAATTATCTGGTATCATCAAACAAAGATAAGGGAGAAGGAGGTTGGTTTTCTTTGACCCTCTGAATTGTCAACTGGATTGAAGCGCTGCTGATCACTAATCTTCATACAAACACAAAATGAGGAGCAACCTAAAGATGGCAAGAGGATGAAGAAACCGGAGAGCTGTTACACACTTGAGAGTTTGCCAGAAGAATTATTTTAAACAAGCCTCAGAGCTTTAAAATCAGTTCCAGAGTGCTACCATTTTAGTAGCTGTATAAGCACCTGAAATGAATCTCTGCTATCTCTGTAACAGGGTTCGTTAGAAAAACAAAGAGTGACAATTTATGGAGGTAACACGATCTTGCAAATAACCACTTCCAAATGTTATCCAAGAAATATTTACTTATTTTTCAGAGATCTTGAATCTTCAGTTTCAAGCTGAAACATGTCATGTTCTGGATATAAAACTATGATTTATGGTCATCATCACCAGTTTGAGTGTTACAGTTGCCACATACTAACTCTGCATGTTTCAACTTCATTTTTAATAAATCTTTTTTAGTACATCACAATCCACACGTTAACATCATGAACAGTGCACAATAATCCAAATCCCATCAAGAGAATGATGTACTAATCACAAAAATGAGGATAATAAATGTATTCAAATATGGTGACTGAATCCAATTTCAAGAGAAGGAAAGAGATTCAGTGACATTCACTCTGTTCATTGGATCAATACTCTAATGACTTTCTGAAACGCTAACAAAGACCGGAACATTTCAGGATCATGGTTAGACTGGGCTGTAACAATTTAGCTCAACTGCTGGCCTTCAGGTGATGTGGTGTACAGCGCCTTCTCATGCGAGTTTCAGGTGTGGCAACTGAGCCCTGTAAAGTTTAATGTTTACAAAACTAAAAACATGGCCACTGACTTCCCACTCAGCCTCACCAATAATAATCAAGGGCTCACCTGTTGAGACCATTGAGTGCAACACGTACGTGGGAACAGTGATGGACAATAACCCCAACTTCAACACATCTGCTATCTACAAGGGTACTTTTAATGTGGCCAAAACACTGATCACTCAATTTAATAAATCACAACCAGCTCTAA